GTCTGTTTGACCAAACCGAAGTCCAGTTCTTGGGGTATTTGATTTCCGCTAAAGGTTTTCGTATGGATCCCCAGAAGCTTGCTGCTGTAATAGAATGGCCTCTACCGCAAGGTCTGAAAGCTATTCAGCGTTTTCTTGGGTTCTCCAATTATTATAGACGTTTTATCAAAGGTTTCTTGTCCATTGTAGCACCTATTACCCGTATGACTAAAAAGGATGGCAATACTCGTGTTTGGTCTACCGAGGCACTTCAGGCTTTTGAATTTCTTAAAACTACGTTCGCCTCTGCACCTATTTTACAGCATCCTGTCCCCTCACTGCCCTATATTCTTGAAGTTGATGCTTCGGATATTGGGGTAGGTGCTGTCTTATCCCAAAGAGAGTCGCCTGAAAAGCCATTGCATCCATGCGGCTTCTTTTCTAAACAAATGTCCAAAGCAGAGAAAAATTATGATGTGGGTAATCGCGAACTCCTTGCTATTATTTTAGCACTTAAAGAGTGGAGACATTTGTTAGAAGGAACTAAGGATCCTATCCTCATTTTTACGGATCACAAGAACCTATCCTACCTTAGCGAAGCCAAAAGATTGTCTTCCAGGCAGGCTAGGTGGTCACTATTTTTGTCCCGTTTCAATTTTATTATCACCTATAGGCCAGGTGATCGCAACACTAAAGCAGACGCTCTGTCCAGACAGTTCGAAACTACTGACAAACAGGAGATTGATGTTACTCCTGTCATTCCCCCAGACAGGATAATAGCTACTACTATTTTGTCTATTTCCTCGTCCCTCTTGCAGGCCATACAAGCGAAACAAAGCATGGCACCTAGCGAGAGGCCTAATGATAAACTGTTCGTTGATGTTCCTGAGAGACGGGATATTATGTCATTATATCATGATACTAAGACCGCTGGACATCCTGGTATTTCCAAACGGTGTCAGCTGTTTCTCGGTATTTTTGGTGGGATTCCTTACGAAAGGATGTCACTGACTATATAAGTGCTTGTACTACTTGTGCCTGTATGAAATCCTCCCGTAGAGTTCCTTGTGGGCTGTTGCATCCGTTACCCGTTCGAGAGACCTTGGTCTAACCTGTCCATGGATTTTATTGTTGAATTACCCCCTTCAAATGGTAACACAGTAATCCTGATGATAGTGGATCGGTTTTCCAAGATGGCTCACTTCGTGTCTCTTCACAAGTTGCCCACATCCAAGGAACTGGCTCATATCTTCGCTAGAGAAGTATTTCGATTACATGGTATTCCCGTATCTATTGTATCCGATAGGGGTAGCCAATTTATTTCCAGGTTCTGGAGGGCCTTTTGTTCAGAAATGGGTATTTCTCTCTCATTTTCTTCCGCTTATCATCCCCAGTCTAATGGGGCTGCTGAACGTGCCAACCAGTCTCTGGAGCAATACCTCCGTTGTTTTGTGTCTCACCATCAGGACAATTGGTCTGACCTGCTTCCTTGGGCTGAATTTGCTCGGAATAACGCCACTCATGATTCTTCCGGCAAGAGCCCTTTTTACGTTGTCTATGGCCAGCATCCCGTTGTTCTTCCGGCTGCATTCTCCTCACAGGGCATGCCAGTTCTGGATGAGCATTTGGCTGGTTTGCGTAATACTTGGGAGCAGGTTCAGCGTTCTTTGGTGGACTCTGCTACTCGCCAGAAGGCTCAGGCTGACAAGCATCGCAGAGCAGCTCCGTCCTATGTTGTGGGGGACAGGGTTTTGCTTTCCACGCGGAATATTCGTCTCCGGGTGCCTTCTATGAAATTGGCTCCCCGCTTCATTGGACCTTATCGTATTATACATAAGGTTAATCCTGTTTCTTATGCCTTAGGCCTGCCTAAGAATCTACGTATTCCTAATGTCTTTCACACCTCATTGTTGAAACCTTACGTACGCAACCGCTATACCCGGCATACTCCTCCTCCCCCTCCTATCTCAGTGGAGGGTCATGAGGAGTTCGAAGTGTCTGCTGTTCTTGACTCTCGTTTCCTTAGGGGTCGACTTCAGTACTTGGTACATTGGAAGGGTTATGGGCCTGAGGAGCACAGTTGGATTTCGGCTGATGCTGTTCATGCTCCCCGTCTTGTGCGCTCTTTCCATTCTCGTTTTCCTGCCAGGCCTGGTCCTACCCGCCCGGAGGGCGTGTCCTCAGGGGGGGGTACTGTAGCGTTACTTACCTTAACCGGGGCCGGTCGCGGTCCTCTCTTCAAGCCACGCGCGGCTCATCCGACTGCTTTAGATGGAAGGCGGGCAGTGACCGCGTGAAGCGGTCACGTGTCCCGCCTGAAACTAAGAGCGCGCCGCGAGTCTCGGGCGCGCTCTTAAAGAGACAGTGGGAGCCTAATTGCCAAAAGGCTCCCATTGGCTCCTGTCATACCACACTCCCTATACAATTACCTTTTGGGGGTGTGGAAGTGACAGGAGCCAATCACTTTCGTTTAAAAGCTATTTAAACTTACCTTTTTCCCTTAGCTCGTTGCCCTATCGTGGTTTCTGTTTCAGTTCCCTTTAGCGCTTGTGGTGTTCAGTTGTGTTTTCTCGTATTGACTTTGGCTTCGTATTCTGACTTCGTTTTCGCTTTATCCTTATCTGTACTGTTTGCCGGCTTGCTGTTTTCCGTGTACCAGACCCCGGCTTGTCCTAGTTTACGCTGTCTCTCTGTGCCCTTGACCTCGGTTTGTTCCTGGCTCTGTCTCCTCTCATATACGTCGAGTCCGGCCATTCTAAGGTCCGGTAGACGTATCTCTCCTCTGTATTGGCTTCTGTTTAGCTGGATCCTGCGTGTAGGGGTATATTCTCGTTACAGTAATCTGAATGTACCTTTCCTTTATTATTAATTAAAGGGACACATTAACATCATCACCTCTATAACTTACTGTACACTTTCTGTGCATGAAATTTTGGCAGACTGAGGTTTGACATAAACCAGGGTTCTCTCGGTGCCCAGATTCTGGCCCCTCTGCTGCTGCTACCCAGATAACCCAGCCCATGAGCACCGGAAATTGCTTAGCCCTATATTCCCAGTCTATTACTACATGTGTATGAAAGCTTCATAATGTAAAATGGCTCCTGTCAACGTATGCAATTTTCAAACTGCAGAGTAGTACCTATACCTAGTATACATTTTATATAATGTGGCACCTGTACCATGTATAAATTTGATATTCCGCAGGATAACAGGATAGCACTTGTACCATGTGTATAATTCTACATATTGCATTTTGAAATATATTTGCTATGAACTGTATAGTACAGGACAGAAGATGCAATATGAGAAAATTCTATAACGGAACCTGTATAATGTAAGAATTCTACATATTTAAGTGCTGCCTACAATTGCCAACATCATACACATTTTCCACCCAATTTGAATTCTCTAGGGACTTTGCAAAAGTGCAAGACCCTGTGTATGTACAGTTCCTGTTTAGGCATGCCACATTGCCAATGGGAAATTTTGAAGATATGGAACAGCTAGGAGTTATTCTGATTAAAATGGTAACATAACAACAGTCTCATCTGGTTCTTAAGATTATAGATGGAACTAGGGTTGCCAGATCCACCATGTTTTCCTGGACATATTTTTTTAAAGATACCGTATACTGTTGGACAGTACATGAAATTCAGAGGATTTGACAGGTAAATAACGTTTTTGTTAGTAGTTCAGTTTTTTTGTTGCATGTTCATATTATAACGGAGTCTTGGGATATTCATCATGGGTAATTTCACAAAGAAAAGTAAAAATATGGGAATAATGAAATTCAAAAAAAGGTCTGAAATTCCATCGTATGATTGAAGTTTTTCTACATCCTGAGGTGCAAAATCATCCTGAAATGCGGTTTCAACAGGATGGGGCTACTGCCCATAGAGCCAGAGCCACAATGAACTGCCACCTTAGGCCAACCTTCCAGCTCCCGATTACTTCCTGTAGGGATATCTGAAGGAGCAGGTGTACGTTAACAAAGTGCGTACACTTGAGCAGCTCAAGGGGAATGTCTGTCCAGAAATTTGAGCGCTAGAGACTCAAACACGAACTAATGTTAAGAGCAATTCAATCGAAAGAGCCTGACTTTGCGAGGCGGTAAATGGAGCTCATTTAAAAGATGTTATCTTCTGTACCTAGTCAAACAAATCTCCATACGTTAAATATTCATTGTACAGTATGTCACACCATTGAAATTGGTTCATTGATTAAAAAAAACAAGTTATTGACTCCTAAAGCCCTACTCTGAATTTTGGCCCGCCCTGTATTATTGGAAAATGCAGTATACCAACTGAGGCTTTCTGGAGTGGAGACAATAAACTACATGACCAAAGATTGAGTGATTTTGTACTATTATTTTATTTTTCTATGTCACCAGTACAGTAAGATGTTACTATTCTTCCTCAATATACGTGTCATTGTTTATGTATTTTTACATGAGAACGCATAAGAATAGGGGCAGTTATTATCCAGGGCAGCATCTGTTACTTGCACCTGCCGCCATTAATTCCGCCATCATTGTGGTAGGGCTGAATCCAAATGGTATCCGTTTCAGATAGCCGCTGAAATCTAGGATTGTTACTCCCACTAAATATTTCTGTGAAATTAAATTTCCTGCTCTGCACACTAGCAGTCAAATCAAACTGTGCATTACAAAAAATAACGTACAGGTGATGTCACCCACCATACAATACAGAGTTTAGAATAATGGAAAGATCAAGTTAAAAATATATATTTATTTTTTATTGCACAGATTATTTTCTTTTTACACGTATCCCTGCTTTGAATATGTAAACACAGTTTATACACAGTTTGTAGAGGCCGCCTTTGCCATGCAGGGCTGTTACACGCCTCTCATGGAATGTGGATCTTCCATTGTAATAACAATCTCTCTCCCTGCCCCACACACAGCTCCCTTGCCTGGAGGCTGGTTGCTATGTGGCGGTTGCTAGGGCGGCCATTTTGGAGGGACTAGGAGGCCGCAGGGCGGAAGTGCTGCTTGTCGCGCGGCCTCCTCTTCCGGTGAGAGATTTTTGGTAGAGGAAATGGCGCCGTTGAATGTGTTGACCGTGTTTCCAGTGCAGCCTCGGACCGTGTGAGCCAGAGGCGCCCCGAGTCCGCCGCTCACCCCATGTCACTGCAGTGCACTTTATCTACATGAGGTGAGTCCGTGCAGGGGACGCCATTAATCCACCCTTCCCGCTAGCACCGTGCAGCATTTAATACTGCGGAGAGGGCTGCCGGGACCTGCACCCCCCCCTGACCCCTGCACCCCCCTGCCCTGTACCCCCGGGACCTGCACCACCCCCCGGACCTGCACCCCTCCCCCGGGACCTGCACCTCCTGGACCTACACCACCCTGACCTGTACCCCCCACCCCCGGACCTGCACCCCCGGGACCCACCTCCCGGACCTGCACCCCCCTGCCCTGTACCCCCTGACCTGCACCACCCCCGGACCTGCACCTCCCCCGGGACCTGCACCCCTCCCCCGGGCCTGCACCCACCCCACCTGCCCTGCAACACCCCCCGGACCTGCACCCCCGGACTTGCACCCCCGGACCTGCACCCCTCCCCCGGACTTGCACCCCCGGACTTGCAACACCACCCTCCACCTGCCCTGAACTCCCCCTGGACCTGAACTCCCCCGGGACCTGCACCCCTGCCCTGCACCACCCCCCGCCCTGTACCCCTCCCCCCCGCAGCCCACAAAGGGTTAATGCACCCAGAGGGTATGGATAATACTCCGCAAAGGGTTAATGCACTAACAGGGTAACGTTAATACCCCCACTGCCCACAAAGGGTTAATGCACTAACAGGGTAACGTTAATACCCCCACTGCCCACAAAGGGTTAATGTACTAACAGGGTAACGTTAATACCCCCACTGCCCACAAAGGGTTAATGCACTAACAGGGTAACGTTAATACCCCCACTGCCCACAAAGGGTTAATGCACTAACAGGGTAACGTTAGTACCCCCGCAGCCCACAAAGGGTTAATGCACTAACAGGGTGACGTTAGTACCCCCGCAGCCCACAAAGGGTTAATGCACTAACAGGGTGACGTTAGTACCCCCGCAGCCCACAAAGGGTTAATGCACTAACAGGGTGACGTTAATACCCCCACTGCCCACAAAGGGTTAATGCACTAACAGGGTAACGTTAATACCCCCACTGCCCATAAAGGGTTAATGCACTAACAGGGTAACGTTAATACCCCCACTGCCCACAAAGGGTTAATGCACTAACAGGGTAACCTTAATACCCCCACTGCCCACAAAGTGTTAAGGCACCCAGAAGGTAACGTTAATACCCTCACTGCCCACAAAGGGTTAATGCACCCACAGGATAACGTGAAACACCACCTTCCCACCCCTTTTCAGACTTAACCTTGTCATCAGGGGTTAATACAATCCACTCGGGGCGAATTGGGCACATTCTAATTTTTGGGCATCCTTTATTGCCCAGTTTGTTATTGTAGCTGTGTATGTATATATTAATTAGTCAGTAGGTATATGAGGCTGAAAGGTTTAACTTCTATTTGTTAGTATTATTTTTTTTACTGTGTGTATCAACACACAGATCTCAGGAGGTTAATAACCAGTCCTCCTTCCCCAGTGAAGTGTGAGCTTCATATATAACACCATAGGTTTCATTGGCCCATGCTTATTTAATGTTTATCGTCTGGTGATCCAATGGATCTCCGTATAGAGTTTAGACCAACCCTAAATAGAAAAAGCAAAAAATAAATATACATCTTATGGGTACTAGAGAGCAAGCAAAAGGTTAAATCATGGGAGGCCAAATGGGTGTGGGATATGTAGGGAATATGTCGTTTTACAACAGCTGGAGGTTTACCTTTTGGCCATTTGGGTTTATGATCTTTTTGTGTGCATTCATAGCAGGTAACTGGGTAATCTGCTGCAGTGAATGCACTCCTTTACACCCCTTTTGGGTTTTTCTCCTATGTGTAAAGTGTGTCCTGTTAGACTACTGAATGCATATATGTGATGTGTTGCTTCTGTGTTAGCCTGTATTTATCCCTTTTAAAAATTATTTAGTTGACTGGAACATGAAGAGCAAAATACATATTTCACGACAACCTATTAAGATCTTACAATGTAGTTCTTTGCCCACATATAATGTGGATGGATGCATTACTGAAATCTGTTAGAGGGTGGAAGCAATCTTGTTTTTGGATTATTCATTAAACACAGTTTTGAAAAACAATCTGCAAAAATATTTGCAAATCAGTTGTTGCCTACATTTTATTAGGTTCTGTAATCAGTACAATTTCTTGTTTAGCGAGTAAACCCTAAAATTAAAATGTATTCCATAGTGTGAGATTTTAGTATATTTGTTTTCCTGATTTCTTGAGTCTACACATTCTGTTCATTTACCCATAGAATAATGTATCTATAAGTCAAAGTGTAAAGTAGCTCTTGGATTGTAAAGTCAGTACAGATGACCCTGTAATGAAGTAGCCTTTTCCTGGTTCTATTATAGCATGATTATGTGCAGGCATGTTTACACTAGCAGAGTTATGTAACATTGTTTAATATTTATGGTCAGCAACATATCTAGGTATGTAATTGGCAAAGCAGGAATGTCCTGCACAAAAAGCGTACAATTGAGAATATTTTTTTCCCTAATCACCTTACTGTTGAGCATGATTAGCGTTTGTAACGGGCTCCCCTGTCTTTATAAAGACATGCCTCTAATTGCTGTAGCACTGGGTGTGTTTGGCTAAGTCTGCTCAGTATGCTTTCAATAGTCCCCCCAAAAATGAAAAGGTTTTTTTTTTATTTTTTTTATTATTTGATCATTGTAGTAACACTTTCACTGCCACTAGGGGCTACAAATCTAGATAGTCTGTAGTCTAGATAGTCTGTAGTGTTGCAATAAACTGCAGGCAACTGTCCTGATGTCTGTCTAATGACAAGTGCCATGATGCTCAGCAATTGTCCTAAAATTGAGGCTTGTATATGTGGTTGTGAGCTATGCTGGCTTCCACTGATCTGTAGGTTAACATATTTTGTTCTTTTAATGTGAACACACAGCACATTATTTTATAGTTGGTTAAGACTTTGTAACTGCATGTGCCTGTTAGGGATACATTAAAGGGACACTCCAGACACCAAAGCAAATTCATCTAAATTAAGTTGTTATGGTGCCTGAAAGGCACACTTTCCTTAAGGGGTTAAACTGCTCTTGAGCGGTTTAATCTCGAAATTGCCTAGAGTGCCAGTCTCTGCTCCTCCTGGCGGCATCCAGCTTCGAAATTTGTTTGTGAAGCGTGGCGTGCTGCCAGGCAGGTCCCAGTGGCAGAGCTAGAGGTAAGAGTGCCTCCTGGTACTAAGAGAACCTTATTTAGATGATGCTGTTTTGGTGCCTGGAGTGTCCCTTAAAGTACCAGAACAACTTCCCTCCGTACCTGTGGCAAGTAAAGGATTAACCCCTTTTTGTTTACCTGATTCCAGTCCCTTGGCACAGAGTTTGGGTCCTCCTCCACTGACCTCAGCTGATGGGGGGGCACCTAATTCACATGAGCATCAAGCACCTAAGTTAGGCCTTCCCCATAGGAATGCATTGACTAGATGCTTTCCTATTGGGTTTTAGAAGACTCTGGATGTCCAGTGTTCTCATTGAGTCAGACTCCGTGAAATGGCAGGAAGCGCCTTTAGAGGCTGTCTTAACCCTGCAATGTAAACATTACAATGTTTGCAGCTGTGGGGCTAAGGGGGCAGGAACAGTGTATCTAGCTAGACTACTGCAATGAGATGAAGTGGCCAGGGTGCATACAGTGTCCCTTTAAAAAAAATTTTTTTAAAAATAATCTTACAGGAAGTGCAGGGAGGCTGGGTCTCAGACCGGGGAGGTGTGGCTAAGCTTGCATTGATTTAATTCGTAATTGGAAGAGAATTAGCATTTAGACTAGATGATGCATGATCTACACAGCAAAAGCACTTCATTACCCTAAAGTTGTTTGTGTCTCTTTTAAATTACTCATGTTTCTTATATCAATAGTAAGCACTAAATAATTTCACTTGCAGAGAATTGGAAGCGGCAGCTACCAAAGACGTTGAAGGAAATCTGAGAAGGTACGTTTCTAAATACATTTACAACTGTTTCTTTATTTGTGTTTTTTATGTGTGTGTGTGTGTATATATATATTTTTATACAGTGCATGATAACACTAAACATTCCTTTCTTAACTGTTACACTCACTCAGTTTGCATTATATATAGTATGTTTCTATACATGCTCAGGGGAGTGGTTATAAAGATAACTTTAACTGTTTCAACACCAATATGTAACAAGTGCTTAGAAGGGACACTGTATGGAATCACATTCATACATACATACATATCTTTACTCTTTAAGAAGCAACAAATATATTATTTTCTATAATTGTTTTATAGTGTATTATAAGAAAATACACTTCTATCCAATATACTTTATACATTGATTGTTGGACTAGCTGCTACCTACATGCTTATGTTCTCCAATTGGAAAATTAAACAAAAACGGTTACATTAGGTAAGTGGCTGTTTTAGTTAATTGCAGTAAGTTGCTATTGTAGGAATTGTTTATATGAAGCATGCACTTTATCTTGTAATTTCAATTAGTGCTGAGAACTACATTCACCCCTTCTAAGCTATTGTTTTTTAGTAAAATATTTCATTTCAATCTGCTGTATTGTTTTGTACGCGCAAGAGACCATTCACATAGACCCCCCTCACCACCTGGTCTAAATACCTGAAATGCTTATTAATGATTTCGGCTCCTTAGTGTCTAGTATTCACAACTAACCGCTGGTCAGTATAGGGATTATGTACTCCCTGCATTGTCTTCTAATTATGCTATCTTGGCCTCCCATTTGTTTTTGACCACGAAGCAGTGACCAAGATAATGAGGAATTAAAAAGCAAGGGCTCTGGAGATGAATCCCTTTGTATAATCAATACAGCAATGACCACTGATGTTTATTATGTATAACTGATGCTATTCTATATACAAAAAAAAAAAAACCTTGCCTAAAAGTTCCTTTAACTCTTTCAGTTTCCAGAATGTGGTGTCTCATCATTAATTTCTGCCAGTAATTATTTGTTTGTACAATGTAGACAAAGTCTGTGTTAAATATATTTAATCATTCTGTTTTACTTTTTCAAAACTGGCATTAATCCTTCAGCCCCACTTACAAAAATGCTTAAAGGACCACTCTAGGCACCCAGACCACTTCAGCTTAATGAAGTGGTCTGGGTGCCAGGTCCTTCTAGGGTTAACCCATTTTTTCATAATTATAGCAGTTTCAGAGAAACTGCTATAATTATGAATGGGTTAAGCCTTCCCCCAAAGCCTCTAGTGGCTGTCTCGTTGACAGCCACTAGAGGCGCTTGCGTGCTTCTCACTGTGATTTTCACAGTGAGAGCACGCCAGCGTCCATAGGAAAGCATTGTAAATGCTTTCCTATGCGACGGGCTGAATGCGCGCGCAGCTCTTGCCGCGCGTGCGCATTCAGCCCAGGAGGAGGAATGGAGGAGGAGAGAAGGAGGAGAGCTCTCCGCCCAGCGCTGGAAAAAGGTAAGTTTTTACCCCTTTCCCCTTCCAGAGCCGGGCGGGAGGGGGTCCCTGAGGGTGGGGGCACCCTCAGGGCACTATAGTGCCAGGAAAACGAGTATGTTTTCCTGGCACTATAGTGGTCCTTTAAAGATAGTTTTTGAAATAGTTTGCTTATTTTAATCCAGTGTCGGACGAAGCTTCCTGATGCTGCTCGGCACTCCCCCAATCTAAGGCTTCTCATTGAGAAGGTTTTGACCGGCTCGTAGTGCATGTGCTCATTATATGGGAGGGTGGCAAATTAATAATAAATAATAAAATGCGAATGTAGTTGGGAGAAGAGAGGGGGGAGGGCTTCCCTCTCTGTGGGAGGGAGGGGAGAGGAGCTACTCCTTTGCAGCAGTTACATCTAAGTCACGTGTGCTGATGGGGCAGACTATTAAATTGTCATGGTGGTTGGAGTAACCCTTTAAGACTCCAGGCAATTGTTAAAGGACCACTATAGTGCCAGGAAAACAAACTCGTTTTCCTGCCACCATATAGTCAGTTTAATGCATCTCTATGAGGAGATGCTGTTTGGCTCTGCCGCCGCCTCGCCTACTTGGTTGAGATCATTTATAATTGAAGACCTCAGCCAATCCAATGCTTTCCTGTGGGAAATCACTTCTAATGATGTCAGCCAGGCAGTTTGGGGGCAGAGCTAGTGGACCTCTGTGGCGCTGGAAATAAGGTGAGATTTTACTATATTTAGGGGAGCCAAGGGGGCTAAATAGGGATTTTTAACACTATAGGGTCTGGAATACATATCTGTGTTCCTGACTTTATAGTGTTCCTTTAAGGATTTGACCATGCAAAAAAATACCATATTAATAAGACCAAAATCTGTCAAATGCATTAATGCTGTATTGGTGTCCAGAATGTCCTTTTAATCAGTTTCCATTGTGGCATTTTACTATAGACCTTCAGAAAAGTAAGTTGTAATGTTTTCACATAAGTCCCGTCATAATTTGTGAACTGCAGACAGCGCATTTCCTCCATGTGTATTGGATTCTTACACCATGTTATCTGTTACATGCCAGTAATTGTTGCCTACACACTCCATTTTTAGAATTGTGTGTTGTTTTGTGTTTTTCATGTTTAAAGGGATCCCTGGCACTATAGGGTTAATAGGTCCCCTCCTGCGGGGCTGAAGGGGTCTAAGCCTTTTTCAGTGCTTTCCTATGGGGGAAATCTGATGCTGGAGGTCCATGCGAATGGACAAAAAGTCCGGTTGGATTCCAGAAGTGCCCCCAGTGGCTGAGGGCAGACTTAGAGCTGCAGTGTAAACATTGCAGTTCTCTGGAACTACAATATTTAACATTGCAGCACTAAGTACAAAAGCACTCAAACTACTTCCATGAGCTGAAGTGGTCTGGGTGCCTACAATGTCCCTTTAATTGCTCTCATTAGAAATATCCAATAGGTTAACTCCAAAACAGTGCCAAATAGATTAGCACTATGATGTGGGGGGAATAAATACATAATGTTGTAATAAATACGTGTGGGGGGAAGGGACAGTTTGGGGAGGCACAGTAATAATTTAAAACCTAGATTATTCTTCAGTGTCTCCTAAAGAAGCAATCTAACCACCATAACCACTATATGCCATTGTAGTAGTAGACTGAGTCCTCATGGCACCTGAAGACTGGCCTCTACTCGACGGAACGTCACATTTGCAAATTTAATTTCAACCATTTTACTCATACAAACTGTTATACTTCACCTGTAAGATTGGGTGGAGTAGTACATTTCCTTTGCAAACTGGTAATTGTCTCTTTGATGGCTTATGTTTACTGGAAGAAAGCTGAAGAGATTAAACAACATCATGTACTTAAATTTGCAAGAACACCCATCCACATATCTTTCCACATTAGCAAATTCATTCTAATTTACCCCTAATCCCTTTTGGTGTTTCACTACTCTGGTACCCACGGTATGTAAAAGTGTCTCCTCTTGTAGTTACAGCATTTATAAAATTTGTGTTCGAAATTTACAGAAGATATTGAACTATTAAAAAAAAGAAAAAAAGTATTGCAAAAATGGTCAAATGCAATTGCAGTAGTGCTCACAAATGGTATATGGAATTCAGGCACTATAATAAATAAGATCCATCTCCAGATAAGTAGGTAGCCTCTGGAAATGAAGCAAAATGGCGTAGTATGCCCACATTATTGGTAGATATTACAAATAGCTGACTAGTATTCACAGATTTTTACATTTTGGGAAATTAAAATAAAAATGAACATTGCCTGCGTGCAGTCCACTGTATCGCCAAACACATTTCATACTTGAAGTCACGGACTGTCTGAATTCAGACGACCCCTGCATGCCATTACAGTTTCATGAAACCCATTTTAGTTTCTGAGAATTGTACTTGTCTGTCTGTAGTTATCACATTTTAATGTTTTGTTACTCTTGTTTTTGGGTTTGCCTGCATATCTAGAAGCCATTTTAGACACTTAAGTCTCTGAATACATTGTTATAAAGGTGGGACAACAGAAAAGTAAAACATGATGGCTTTAATGTTTAACATCTAGTTAATAAATGCCCAGAGTCCAAATCTTTCCTACACTATTATTGCCTGGCAAATATACTTTAGATGATCTCCAGTGCTTGTTATTTTTACAACTGTTTAGGAGTGCTGCTTTGTTGTTCCATGACGGCTTTCCTACACACACTTTTGACTACGCGTTACTGCTGTGACCTTGTTTGATATCTTTAATATATATACATGCATAGTTTGAGTACATCAATATAATTAGCTAAATATACAGCAACCTCTGCACCTCAGAAATTCAATGGCCTTCCCTGGATTTATTGCAGCAATGTGAACTTTTTCTTTCCTATTCAGTCTGCACATGACGTCTTTTGACTACCTAATTATTGAAATACAATCAAAATCTTTTTGGCTTGTGTGTGTGTCCTTTTTTTTTTTCTCTTTACTAAATGAAGAGGCAGTTTTTGAATACTGCTAAACATCTTTGCTGTTCTGTATCGGTTTAAATTTAGTTTTTAGCCTTCCTGAACAATTTATGAACTTCACCCATGTTTGTCGTAAACATTTGATTTATTTTCCACGTACATCATGCATAAACCGTTATGTTACAGACTATTTCCACCTGGATGTTATTAATGCACATTGTAATCCTTTGCGCAGTATATTCTTTATTCCAGTCAGTGTGGAAGCATTGGCGGTTTCATTTCTGAATTGTTTCTCCAGATCCTAAAATAGAATTTGTTTAGGTAACTCTGAAACCTTCAGTTCTGTGCCAACCAATCTGCAGCGTTGTATCAAGCTGGAACATGCTTCAAGAGCCTGTTGGAATTCCTAAGAAATTACTTCCTAAGCAACAAGTTTTACACAGACTCCAAATAAACTGCAGTTTTATTTTGCCATGTCTTGAATTTGTTTGACTTGACAGCCTTGTTTGCATCCATACATGTCTTTCCCCATTACTATGTACATTCAAATGACAGGGCTGTTTAATAAAGTGGGAATTCACAGTGAATTTCAAAGCTGATGCCAAAGTAGTCCAATTGGTAGCAAAAAGAATGTTTCCAGTTTGGCTATTCATGCCTTGAATTTAAATGATTCACGTTGACTTCCCACTTAAATGAATAGCCTTGCTGGTGTTTTGGCTATAGGCTCTGTTTGTTGAATCCTGGGCTTCTAAGTTTTTAGTGGGCTTTATCATGTTTAAGCATTTGACCTTCATCCAGGCAGCACATGGCTGGTGAGCCTTTGTAAGATTTGCTTGCTGGCATCGGACGTTCTTGTATTTTTTAACAACTCATCTAGGATATTGTTGGGTAATTAAATAATTTGTCCCCCTCGGGTGGTGCAGTTAAACATGTAGATTGATGATGGATAATAGTAAAGTCTAATTTGCGGATTAAAAGCTAGACTGCAAACACAAGGCCTATTATATAGTCCTCTATTGTGGGTTGTGGTTTTTTCCTTACAAAAATTCACATTATACCAAACAAAAGGATTGTGATTTGGAAACAATTCAGCTTCAGGAAGTTAATCAAACAAGTTAAGTGTACAGAAAAACTCCATTGATTTAATACTGAATGTTTCTCGCCATCTTATTTTATGGATTTGTATCCATAAATTAACAATTTTCTGGCAAGCCTACCTAGTGTGTATGTGCTCTTTTAACACTCAGAGCATCTGTGTGTTTATCTAAGAAGGCAGACGTGTGTTGTTGGTGATGTGTAGACGGGAGATAATACATGTCTCCTATATTGTTTGAGCAAACTGAGCAAAACTTCTTAACCAATCATCCCCATAGGTGTCGAGGTATTCCCCAATCTATTGGAGCAGGCTAGCAAAAAGATGTGCCTGTTACAGAAAGGCATCTCATGTGAGAGCCACAGTTGTCTGTGGTTTGTTTTTGTTTTGTTTTTGCTGGGTTTTTTTTTCCCTCTCTTGCCCTGATAAACCTGTCATTCTGTAGTTTAATAGGCGTCATTACTCCATTACGATAGTGTAGTCAATGATCTCTATTAGATTGCATGTGACCCATATACTTAATTGAGCCAAGCATTTAATGGCACATATTTTATATCTTTAATGTTGTACACCAGTATTGGTAACAGCTCTCTGTGCTGCCTTATTGGACAGGAATCTATCATTATTTCTTGTCTGCAAGTGTGAACTTTTGGCACCGGCGAGTAGTGCCATAACTTGCTTCACAACAAAGTACCATAAAATTGCATTACTTTTAACCAGCGACCCTTGGACTTTCATATTGCTGCCATAGAGATGTGAGATTGCAAAGCAAACAACTCTGGGCTGGGTGCATGAGACAAGCCTGGTCTGTTTAACCTTAGGACTGCACCGACCATTGCTGCTGCAGTCCCCTCACTAGATCAGAAGCGGATTGTTTCCTTTTGGACACTTTACTAGTTGGTCAGTAGGAAGCAGCTGCTGGTCGTTGTTTGTATTGTCTCAAATTGATTTCCTTCCTTCACCCTGAGCAGGAAAAGTACAGTTTGTCTCAAAGTTAAAATGGCCATTACTAAGGCAAAACGTGGGAGGGATGCAAAATGGTTTTATATATTTTAGTACACTTTTTATTCTTCTCTAGTTAACCATGTAACCTGAATTTGCTTGCACTGTGAGAAGTCAACTTTCTTGTGTAGCTTTTGCTGCAGAGATTTAAAGCAGGTGTCAGGGTGGAGGTTTCAAGACCATAACACAAGGTATCATCAGGAATATGAAAATAGAAAACTTTGGTTTGATTTTGTTTATAATTATGTAGATACAGTGGTGAGGAATATTTAAAAATGAAAAAAGTCTTTTTGTCCTGACACAAAATAATATAAATTACAAAGATTGCTTTATTCGGTCATAAGCTTTGCGCATTGCACCATGCGTTTGCTGCTCATCGCACATTCTCATGCTTACCGGGCAATGTATTGTGTCCCCAGCCAGCTCTGGGAGAAGGCACCGTATCAAATATCCCAGCAGCAGGTCTTAAAGAATAGATAACTTCTCGCCTGGAACGGCTTATCCCAGACATCAGGGGATATGACTTTCACATCTGAGATACGTTTTGAACTTTCCATATCAAGATAGGGATATCAACAAAGTTGGTAAAGAAAATATCCAAGTAGTATAAAATCCACCATGTGTATGAAATGCTCAGTAAATTGTGGCTTAAAAGTGAGAATATGGAAAAATTATATTGGTCAATTCTCTACATACATATACAGTGTAAATAAGAGCTGCAGAACATTTGCTTTAACAAAACAAAAATAAACTAAAGAGATCTGAATGTTGAGAAATACAGCATAGAGATCAAATATACTTAAATTACTGGGGGATTGGCGGATACGTTGTTTTCTATACTTTGGTTGTTCTAAAAGAGGACATCCTGGGACATCCCCAGGGCAAGCTGTATCTTCATTCACTTAAGTGTTTTGTTCCACACCTATCACTTTTTGGGTAAAGTTGTGGGTGTTGTATTTGTTTATTTGCGATCAAATATTCTTGAGTTAGTGCCCAGGGGGCCCTTTTAAAGATTGTAGCGAGACCTGAGTAACATTTCCCATTGACTGTTCCCAGTTCTGTCCTCTGTGGTGAACTCTGAGCAGTGCAGTCAACTCCCGTGCTGTTGTAAAATACTCCCAACACATTCCTTCTTGCCTTATTTGTCATCTAACAGATATGCAGCAACAGGTTAAATCCAAATGCCTGCACAAAGCTGTCTACAAGGGAACAATTGCTGCATTGTTGTGGCACACAAGCCAGCAGTATACTCACAGAGAGGGCAACAAGTTATCAAAGGCCACCGTTGATCTTTTTCACAATTAGATTAGGGTAATTGAGCAAAACATTTGATAGCAAACTGTTTGGAAGCTCAACGGCTTGATGCCTGTGCAATTAATCTGCTGTTTTCTGTATGGAATGCTAATGAAATGGTTAATGGGACGGCTTTTTATAAACCAAACCCATAGCCTCTCTATTCTCCTGCTCTGCGATTTCAGTGTGTACCACAGACACTTTGTTTACCAAGTGTTCTTTACTGACTCTGCTGTCACAGGTGCACAATGCACTGCATGCTTTTCTGCTGCTCTGAGGGTTCAAACTCCACCCACCCATTGCTCCCCAGACTCCTTTTCAAGGGGTGAAAAAAATGCTGATGTGGATGGATCTTTCGCTCATTGTTGGTTGGTTTTGTGTACTCTGTTTAGCATAGTCTGTGCAGAATACATGGAAGAATAGACAATTGTTTGCGCTTTGAACAGTGGTATTTGTAAGATTGTTGCTTTAACCTTCTCATTAGAAACAAAGGAAGAAAATGTATGTCAAAGGCTTTTCATTTTAGTTTATGTATATATTTAAACTAGTTATATATATCATGAATAAAAAGTAATATACAATTTTTCTCCAATAAACAGCAGATCGGACACATTTTCTGCAGCTCAGAGAATGCCCAGCAAAAAAGAACACATTTTGGCATCACTAAACTGGTAAAATAAGAAGGGAGGATGTTTCCAGTTATTCCAACCTGCCTAAAAAAAATACAATTAATAAAATAAAGCTTGCCCAGATGCAGCTTGTGTCCAAATCTTGTGCACCCTCCTAAATTCAAAGCATTAACCCAGAAATGTTGGGTGTATTTTGTAGTGGCCAACTCACATTTCCTGCTGATGTAGCAATCTTCTGTTTAAGGGTGTTTTTGGTCCTTGCTATGGACAGATGATGTTTAACCCCTTCAGGACGGAGTCACCAGTACACGTTCTGATCTAAACAAAAACTGGAATTTGCGCTGTCTGTTCAACCGTAATTCACCTCTTTCATATTAAGTGCACCCACACTTATTATATATCATTTTGTTGAGGAGAAACAGGGCTTTAATTTCTAATGAACTATTCATATATGAAACATAATTTCTTATGAATACAATAATAAAAAAAAAAAATTTAAGATTAAAAAAAAAATTTGTTGTGTGAAAAAAAATGAAATGCAAGCCTTCTATTTGAATCTCTAACTTTCCAAAACACCATAAAACCTGTACATGGGGGATACTCTTATACTTGGGAAACTTCGGTGAACACATTCACTGAACATTAGTGTTTCAAAACAGTAAAACATATCACAACAAAAATATTGTCCGTAAAAGTGCAGTTCGTGTGAAAAATGCCCAAAACTTCACTTTTACTGTAAATAACATCGTTGTAATACCATTCATCATTTTGAATCACTAATATTTGTGTTCAGCGAAGTCTCCTGAGTAAACTTATGTAAATGTCATTCTAAGTGTAATATATATATATTAACAGTTAGAATGAAATTGTATATGTAATTTAAATATTTAAAAAATCTATTTTATTGTAATTCTCTCTCTATATATCTATATATATATATATATATATATATATCAATATATCATTCTAAGTGTAATATATATAAATAGTTAGAATTAAATTGTGTATATATAATGAAAAAAAATGTTAAAAATATATTTTATTGTAATTATACACATATATAGATATATAGATATTTAGAATGAAATTGTGTATATATAATTTATTTAAATTTAAAAAAAAATTATTTTATTATTGTAATTATACATAAGTGTGTGTATATATGTCATTCTAAGTGTAATATATATATATATATATATATATATTAGTTAGAATGAAATTGTATACATTATTTAAATTAAAAAAAATTATATTTTATTATTGTAATTATACATATATATGTAACTTCATTCTAAGTGTATTTTAATTACTAATATATGTACTTATATTAATATTAAAATACACTACCTATGACGTTACGTGTGTGTATGTGTATATGTGTGTGTGTATATATATATATATATATATATATATATATATATATATATATATATATATATATATATATATATATATATATATATATATATATATATACACTTTATTTTAACATATTTAATATTTTTTTACACTACCCACCAGCAGGGGGATTGTCTGACAGACCAGACAGTCCCCTTGCTGGCAGATCCACAGCCTGCTATAGGGGGCTATGTGATCGCTCTTTGAGAGCGATCACATGGCCCCCAGGGGCCTGATTTCCCGGGGGAGGGCTCTTGGTGTAGAAAGCCCCATTATAATGTGGACAGCATAGGGGGAGGGCTCTTGGTGTAGAAAGCCCCATTATAATGTGGACAGCATAGAACGACGTTAAGGGGTTAAGCCAAACTTTAGTAAATGCATACATTACGTAAAAGGAGCAGGTGGTGTGTATGTATGTTATATTAAACTTGGTGTTTTATTCACCCCTCTTATAACCAATACCATGTCCCAGTGGAACCCTTGCAGGATATTGTGGAGATCATGGTGTGATTATGTGAAGAGTTGTATTTGGCCGCAGTGCCTAATAAACTATGTTAAAGACTGTCAAATTAAGGATTCTTGCCTCAGTAGATGTACTGTTGCTTTAGATGAAGATATAAATCAGTAGTTACAATTTAAGGTGTAGGAAATTTGTAAATCTCCCCCACCAAAAACAACTTCCAGAAGACATTTGTTCTCGGCAGTTGTCAATTATAATCTGTGCGTAGTAAGTCACTCTTCTTCTTCTTGAGAGAGATCAGGTAGGATTTACTGAACTCCTTGGTAATGGTAAATTTACAGAGGGACCACATTAAAAAAAAAAAAAAAAAAAAAAATTACGTTTATATGGAATGGCATCTGGTAAATACAAACTAATTTTAGCCCCTCATTAAATGTGGTAAAATCCTTCATTTGCCAGAGGAGATCTCTTCCTTAGTGGTTTGAGTTAGCATATCCCGTATGCTTGGCTGGATTCCTAAAAGCTAGTGTACTCTGTCCGCTGGTGCTGGCTGGGGAGTAAACTAGACTCCCTGCATTCCTTACTTTCTTTTAATTGCACACGTGGCTTTTGTGGTGTTCACAGTAATGCAAATATTTATTTTGAACTCTTTACCATCGTTCCTTTTAAATTGCACAGTTTTTAGTGTGTTCATGTTGCTCTTTCTTTTGGTGCTAGGTATAAAAAAACTGAAGAGGAAGATAATTTGATGGAAGAAAGTAAGAAAAGGAAGGACAAGAAGAAAAAGAAGGCTGTCCTCAAGAAGGTAATTGTCTCAGTATGTTTATGTATTCTTCTTTCAGTAGTTCGGGCTGCTTAGAGTGTTGTTAAATGGAGGGAGAAACTAAATATATTGAGCAGTACACAGCGTGAATACTCATTCCAACAATTGTACAGCATTAATTGTGTGTCTATGGATATCTTATTTCCAGACACATACTGGTCAGTGGCCAGCATTCCGTCCAATTCGAGTCTGATGTGATATTCCTAGGACAGGCAGTATACTCTACCACTGTCTGCAGCAAAGGAGGCATCTTACAGTTTTGTCAGCTCTTAAAGTTCTCCTCATATCTGGGCCGGCATACTACAGTAATTTTGGTGGTCCTGACAAATGCAGGTTATGCCATAGCGTTATTACCAATTAACGAATACATCATGTATTTCTGATTTAATGTGTGAGTGCCTAGATTTATCGTTTTACATATTGAATGGTCATAGAAGTATTTTGTGGGAATATGCTATAAACTTTATAATATTTCTGTGTGTACTGATCTATGTTTGAATGCTGCACTTTATAAGTGAAATATTAAATCCAATAAGGATTGTTTAAAGCATCTTTTAAAACCTTAATGTCATTTTGCGGTATCCTAAGTGTTCTGTATGCTAATCCCTTCATGTATATTCATGTGAATGCGAGGGGGACAGGGTTCTGCTACATTGTTTGTTCCCTTTTTATGTACGGGGGTCCACTCCCCCTCTCTGATCTTTACCTAGCAGAGAAAATAATTACTTCACCTGTTTAGTTCCCCTCCTCATCCACAAGGTCATAGCCCACCCTATATGCATCATGGGACCTGTGTGTGTATGATGCTGCATAGGTGGTAAATTCCTATGAATAGCTGTTTAAAAGCTTAAAAATTATCCAAATCATTCTTACTGCACTCCAAACACTTTATATTCATTTTTATATCCTGTACCTACTAATGGTATCTGTACAGGATTGAGAAACAGGGAATGGTGCATAATCATAGATAGTCAAATACTTCTGTAACTAATTAAAACAATCTTTACATAATTATCAACATTTATTGCCTTCGATCATGCTAAGCAAGCAATGGTGTATTAGTCATGATGAATATTTAAATAGAAAATAAACTCCTACTGCCATATTGTAGGCAAATTCAATTATTTCAGCATTTTCTAATTTAGATACTATTGAGGTAGAAGAAAATATGGCCTCTGTCACCACATCTTAGACCACTATAGGCACCCAGACCACTTCAGCTTAATGAAGTAGTCTGGGTGCCAGGTCCATCTAGGATTAACCCTTTCTGCTGTAAACATAGCAGTTTCAGAGAAACTGCTATGTTTACAAATGGGTTAATCCAGTCTCTAGTGTCTGTCTCTAGTGTCTGTCTCTAGTGTCTGTCTCTAGTGTCTGTCTCTAGTGTCTGTCTCCGCGCTTCTCACTGTGATTTTCACAGTATGAAGATGCCAGCGTCCATAGGAAAGAATCGAGAATGCTTTCCTATGAGACTGGCTGTGCGAGCGGCTCTTGCCACGCATGCGCATTCAGCCGATGACGGGGAAAGGAGGAGGGTCCCCGGCGCTGGGAAAAAGGTAAGGGATTAACCCCTTCCTCACCCTAGAGCCCGGCGGGAGGGGGAGCCCAGAGGGTGAGAGGGACCCAAGGACCCTATTGAGCCAGGAAAACTAGTATGTTTTCCTGGCACTATAGTGGTCCTTTAAGGCCATGCATGGCATTTTGCAGTACCTATTGCACAGATTCTCTCTCCATTTGTCAGGCCACTATTGCAGTGTTGTTTTTGGTAAATTAACTTCCAAGCAGTAATTACATCCTTGCATTTTCGCCCAGTCATGATCTCGCGTGCAGAATGAGAGGCCTACATGGTCTCAACAGCTGCAGTGTGTTTTTGCAAGTTTGATCCTGACAGCTGTAGTGCAATGTTTGGGTGACGTCTATGCAAAATAAGTAATTAGGTATTTTCAATTGTACAACCAATGTTAAAGGAACACTATAGTCAACTAAACAACTTTAGCTTAATGAAGCAGTTTTAGTGTCTAGCTCTAGATCGTGTCTCTCAGGTTTTACTGCTCAATTCACTGCCATTTAGTAGTTGAATTACTTTTGTTTCTGTTTATGCAGCCCTTGTCACACTTCTCCTGGCTATGATTGACACAGTCTGCATGAAAAAAACAAAACTGGTTTCACTTTCAATCAGATGTATTTTACCTTAAACAATTTAATCTCTTGCTCTGTAAATTGAACTTTAATCACATACAGGAAGCTATTGCAGGGTCTAGCAAGCTATTAACATAGCAGAGGGATAAGAAAATCTAAATTAAACAGAAATTGCAATAGAGGAAAGAAACTTTAGATGACTCTTTACAGGAAGTGTTTAGGAAGGCTGTGCAGTCACATGCAGGGAGGTGTGACTAGGGTTCATAAACAAAGTGATTTAACTCCTAAATGGCAAATTATTAAGCAGTGAAACGGGAGGGGCATGTTCTATACACCAAAACTGCTTCATTAAGCTAAAGTTGTTTTGGTGACTATAGTGTCCCTTTAAATGCTTAGTGCTTAAAATACCCAGTAACTATGTAAAATATTTAACTTTACATGGTTTGTTTGCTTTGCCTATATCAGGAAAAAGTCTGACTGGCAATTTAATGTAAATCAGTATATTTTGGTTTTTGTACCCAAATTCACTAATTTTATTATTCCCTCAAAGCCCAACCATCAGTGGTTATTTTTACACACACTTGTAATGTTGGTTTTGTGTAGAATTCTTTGCTAGTCTAGTATTTACAGTTTCTGAGGTAGTATGCAGACTAAACCAGTGTTTCTCAACCTTCTACAGAGAAATACCCCTGCCTTGAGAAAGTAATTTCGATTGATTTTAAATTCCAAATTAAATAAGTAGACATTGACATTTAAGTTAATCCAGTATTGGAGAACAAACCTGATTTAAAGGTAGTAAAAATGTTTCAAATTATTAACACTTTAGGAACACTTTAGTCACCACAAAAACTACAGCTTAATGTTGTTCTGGTGAGTATAATCATTGCCTTCAGACATTTTCATGTAAACACTGCCTTTTCAGTGAAAAGGAAGTGGTTACATTGCCCCTAAGGCCATTTTTTAGATGGCCACTGGAGATGCTTCCTAAGGCAGTGCTGCACTGTAGGCAGCACTGCCGCTCAGCGTCTCCATGCTCTGCATGGGGACCCTGAATTTGAGATGACTGGCCAAAACGGCGGACATCCTCACGATCTGCATTAGGACATCCAGCATTGATTCAATGCTTTCCCTTGGGAAGCTCTAAGGGCGTTGTCGCCCTTAAATAAGTTAACTCACCTTTATTCTAGCACCACATGGATCTACCTGCGCCTGCCCTGTTCCCCCTCCCATAGGAAAGCATTTGATTGGCTGAGAGTCAATTCTGATGATCTCAGTCAAAGAGGGATGGCGGGGGGCAGAGCCAAACACTGCCCTGGTCAATTAGCATCTCTCATAGTGATGCATTGAATCAGTGCATCTCTGCGGGGATAGTTCAGCGTAAACACTGCTTTTTTTTCTCTGAAAAGATTTGCATGAAAATGCTTGCAGGGACTTACTCTACTCACCAGAACTACATTACCTGTAGTTGTTCTGGTGTCTATAGTGTCCCTTTAAGTTTTCGATCGCAATCGGCACTGGCGGAACAGTCTCTTCTCTGCAGCTTGGTCTGGTTCCGTTGAGCTAATCAGGCATGATGACCATTTAAGACATCTCAAATGCTTCCTATAGAGAAGCATTGTGGACTTAATGCCCATGTGTGGTATTAGAGCAGGGGTAAGCAACCCTCCGGCGCTCCAGATATTGTGGATTAAATCCCCCATAATGCTCTTACACCCAAAATGCATCATGGGGGGTGTAGTCCAAAACATCTGGCGTGCCGAAGGTTGCCTGTGCCTGAATTGGCATTGAATCCAACCATAGAAGAGCATTAATGCCTGAGAGGGTATTCAATAACCTCATGCGAGGAGGTCAAAAGTCGAACAGATTCCGACTGTTTTGGAAGCTGAAGCATCACATAGTGGCTTCCACGGTTACAGCCAAACATTGCCATAACAAAAACACAAATGTTTTACATTGCAGAAGTAATACAGCAGAGCCACTGCACCCAGACCACTTCAATGGGATGAAGTGGTATGCATGCTTATAGTGACCTTATGCTTTAACTGACCCTTTCAAAGCAATGCTGTTCATCTTATTAAAGAAGTTGGCTGCATATCAATTTTGTAGGCTTGCGGACCAGGATATTTTTGATGTATTAAGCTAGCTCAGTGGTTAGTACTCCAGCTGCACTATATCCAATAGCTTTTCAGGCATCTCTGTCCAGTCAGCCTGTCGTCCTTTCAAGGGTATCGTTCCTGTTTTTTATTATTACCATCACTGCAAGGTTTTTGTTTCAATTACAGATGCAGGTACGTTAAAGGCAGTCTTAGCCTTTAGCTTTAAAACCCATAAACCACTACCAGCTGTAGTTGTGGCACAGGACGTGATGTATGCTCTTGGTTGATACAGTTCATCTTGCGTTAAGCAGATATTTCTTTTCAAGTTATGAGCGAGTGTTTGAGTGCATTGGGTAAAGTGACATTTCCTTGTTTTGCAGTCAGGACTCTATTTTCGGTATTTATAAGAACATTGTTTTTTCACACACTTTGTGACCTGTTTGAGAAGGAAGCCATTTCCTAAGCCAGGATTTTCAAGTTGTCCATTTTGTGAGGGCAGTAAAACAATCTAGATGAAGATGTGTTGATTGCAGCCTTGGAAAGTATAAGCCAAGGAATCGGCTTTTGGTTTATGCAGTGATTTTGTCTTTCTGTAGTGATTTAGTTGTATTTTGTTCCTGTCTCCATTCTTTATAAATGTCCTAAACGAAACATGCTCACGCAATGGCATTAACTGTTTACTCTTACTAAATGGTAATCATGCAGCCAGGCAAATGCACTTTTAGTGGATAATTAAATCTCTGTAAATCGCTAAATTTATTTAGTGGATAGAGGACATGGGAGGGAGTGGATTGGAATGTATATTTAAATAGACATATTTGGCAATTATGATTAAACTAATGAACAAAGATGGATTTTGTGCTAGCAATTTTTTTTTTTCATTGACTGTTTAGTTATATTAGACATTTACTATTTTTTACAGAGACTTTTTTTCTCTCCCCCCCCCCCCCCCCTTTTTATCTGGACTGTGAGTTATTTTTTATTTTTCCGTGTTCTTTAACTTTTAAATACTCTAATCTACACTTTGTAGTGTTCAGAGACATTCCAGTTACATTGTTATTTTTCTGTTTCAGGCTACTGAGCAAAAAACCAAAGGTAGGCCTCGGTTTTAAGTGGTTACGTACAGGTTTGTGGTATGTTAACTGTTGGAGGTTTGTGTTGATGCAGGTATTTATGTGGCTGTGTTAATGCGTCTTGAGATGTTAATGGGAATAACTTTTGAACGTTAATGTTGTGCATGTATTTCATTCTACAATTGAGTTTCTCATTTAACTTTGAAAGTGTTAAATTGCAAATTGAGGTCTAGAATACTGTGGACCTGCATCCATGAATTGTTTTTTTTTATTTTTTTAAATGTACCTATTATGGTAAACACATGTTTATTTTACAATAAATTTCAGAAAATTTAGAAACATGTATTCCTAATGCTATAGTTTAATATCTATTTAACTTAGAGTACCCCTTGAATGTGGTCACCAAAACAACTTTAGCTTAATTAAGCAATTTTTGGGGATAGATCATGCCTATGACGTTTCTCCACACAATTAGCTGCCATTTGGGAGTTAAATCACTTTTGTTTCTGTTTATGCACACCTAGCCACTCCTACCCTGGCTGTGACTGACACAGTCTTCATAAAATAAAAATGGATTACTTTTCAATCAAAAGTAACTTACTTTAAAAGTTTTTATCCCCTGCTCTGTAAATTGAACTTTAATCACACACAGGGGGCTCCTACAGGGTCTAGCTGTTGGCAGAGCAGGAGATGAGAAATTCTAAATTAATCAGAATTTGCAATAAAGGAAGTGTAAACATTAGATGACTTTACAGGACGTGTTTAAGAAGACTGTGTAAGTCACACGCAGGGAGGTGTGACTAGCGTTGAATAAGCAAAGTGGTTTAATTCCTAAATGGCAGAGAAGTGAGACTGCAGGGGCATGATCTATACACCAAACCTGCTTCATTAAGCTAAAGTTGTTTTGGGGACAATGGTGTTCATTTTAACCTTCTTTATAGAGTAAATGCTCACTTTGTGCAGCCTCCAGCTTCAATTCTGGTGACATCGTCCTGCAGGCATTGCCTGTTGAACTTCCTTTTTAAGTCTAATGATTCTGATCGAGAAGAATTCAGTACGAGAAGCGCATGTCCAGTGAGCGCTTTTCTAGTCCATAAAATACTTTTCATATTGTCTGCATTACAGGTGCTCTTGCAGTGCTTGAGCATATTAAACATCTCACAAAAGAGAACTATTATACTAGTAGTCACTACACATTGTTTGAAGGAACACTATAGCATTAGGAATAATACATGTATTAACCCTACCTATTTGGGTGTCCAGCCAAATTTATGCTAATGTAAATGTTGCCAGAAGAAAAATAAAGACGGGTTCTATGCGCCCAAACTGCTTTAAGATGAAGTGGTTTTGATACTTAGTGTTCCCCTTTTAAGGTTTATTTTAGCATACTTTCTTTTTAGGTTTGAGAGATTTGCGGGGAGGTGATACTATGGGTTGTTCTGGCTTGAAAATAGACTTGCACAGCCGAGTCTGAAATGGCAAAGAAGTTTGTTATTCTGTAAACTCTAAAAAGGTTTGCCTTTGGATCATTTTCTATATTTTTTTTCTCATGGCATAATTTTAACAAGCAGTAAGCACACACACTTGCTAATTTCATTGATGTCTTGTTCTAAGAGACAAAGTAATTTAGACCAAACATTTTATTTAAAACATCAATCCCTCAGTGGATCTCAGGGATTCTTGTCAAATAGTCTTAGTTCACACAGTCATTTTAGCCAAAATCTGCCCCCAAAATGACTGACTAAAGGTTAGATTTTTTTTCTTTTCTCCACTAGACATGTCTGAATGTAGTTACACGTGGGCAACTGTTAATGTGTATGATTATAAGATGTCAGTGCCTGACACAGAGGAATATACTGTGCTATGTCTCAAGTATGCGTGACTCCATATGTGGGGAGTAACTGAGGAATGACCATTTAACAGCATTAGGGACATAATAATCAAGGTAAAACAAGAACTGTTCTTGGCAAAGGGCTATATATGGAAGTCTATTTTTTGGGGGATTGCCCCTCTACTTCCCTCCCCCTCCCCTCCCTACAGCCAGGGGAGGTGCTAGGGCTGCTATACAGCCCTAGCCACAACTTCCCTGAATGTGACTGACACCGCCTACATGACAGCAAAATGGTTTTATTTTCAATCAAACGTAACAGACTTTAATAGTTTGTATCTCCTGCTCTGTAATTTGTACTTTTTTTTTTTTTTTTTAAATTCTTTATTTTATTTGACAAAGTATTATAGAACAAGGCAAGATGTTCCGGTTTAAGCATAAACCGTGGTCAAGTATAACATAACATATTACAGCATAGGCATACAGTTGATAAGCGTGGTAGATATCAGATGTTACAATAAGTGCCTGTAGCACAGGACTCTTTATTAGGGGGCTTGGACATCACTTTTGTGCTGTCAATTTTTTATTGTATATTGAGTCAGTTACAGGTGGCCAGAGCGTGAAGGTGGGTTTCTGTAGGCATTCGGTGGTGCCTATCCTAGCGCTATTGGAGGGTTTCGGGTTACCGTTGGGCGATGAGATATCTCTTAATGATGCTGTGGAGTCTCCAACTATGTTAGATACAGGTGACGGCCCTTCTGACTTGTTCCAGCTGCAAATTGTCCCCTGTATTGTGGAGCCCGCGTTCAACTCCTGCTTTGTACTAGATACAACTGAAATACACTTTGGCCTGACTGGGCCCCCCTCCACTCCCTGGCGCCTACCTGCCTGGCGTGTGTGTAATTTGTACTTTAATTACATACAGGAGTCTCCTGCAGGGTCTAGCAAGCTATTACAGAGCAGGAGATAAGAAATTCGAAATAAAACACAATTTGCAATAAAAGAATTGACTCTCTAGATGACTCTTTACAGGAAGTGTTTAGGAAGGCTTTGTAAGGCACCCCTTCCTGCATGTGACTTACACAGCCTTCCTAAACACTTCCTGAATAAAGTAATCTAATGTTTACACTTTTATTGCAAATTCTCTTTAATTTATAATTTATCGCCTGCTCTGTTAATCCCTTGTTAAACACTGTATGTAATATAAAAGTTAAATTTCAGAGCAGGATTTAAAATTTTTAAAGTAACATCTGATTGAGGGGGCATTGGCTGATCTTCACTGCAAGCAGTAGCATGTCTGCAGTGCTCCAGACCTTACTGCCTTCTGAGCCCTGCGACACCATGGGGGAATGCACAAAAGCTTAAAAACCGCACTCTGGTGACTGCACTCAGAAGATTGGAGATCTTTTTATGGCGCAGCCTACACATGAAATGGCGGCACTGCTGCACTCCCAATGCTTATCTTGGGAGGAAGAATCTCTTGACGCCCCAGATAACATACTGGAGGCTATGGACTCATTCTTGGCAATACCATTAAGTGATCTGGGGGCTCCAGCCACTAAAGGAGTCATCCTGAGCCTACTGAAGAACCTATGCACCTTGTTTTATATAGATATTGTGGTACTTGGGGAAGAAAGAACAGCCATCACAGACTGGGTGAAAGCTACTGAAGATGTTTCCTCAATCCTTGCATCCGACCATGCAGGCCAGAATAGATGTGCTGGATGATGCGAGACGGTGCGGCAATGTTAAAATAAGAGGGATAGCTGAATCCATTAACGATCAAGAACTGTCTCACTTTATCCAATGCCTTCTGTCTGTGGTCCCTTTGTACCTCGAAGCCGACATGACATTCTTAAGCTAAGTCATACAATTAATCCGTCGAGTGCACAGTCAAAATGATTCCATGATTACGTTTTTTTTTTTTTAAAGTTGCGTTAGTTCTTGCCTCTCCTCCTTCCCAGTGCTCAGGGGTTAGTGAGCGCTATAATTGCTAACACTCCTGTCATGGTAATGCAATGTGCAGCTTTATTTTGTCCAATTGGTGTTTCTGCTCATGCACTACCTTTAAAGGATCAGGAGCACAAACATGTATTCCTGACCATATAGTGAAAACCCACCATTTAGGTGGCTTGCCCTCCATTTAGCCCCCCCAGAATGGGTTAAAAATCACCTCATTTCCAGCTCTTTACCAATCTGCACCTCCTCATAAAGATGTGTTGAATCAATGCATCTCTATGAGGAAAATTCAGCGCATGGGGACGCTGAACGGCAGTGCTGCTCACTGTGCAGCCCTGAGCCAGGAAGCCTCTCCAGTGGTCATCTGAGGAGTAGCCAAAGGAGGTGTCCCTAGGGGCAATGTAAACACTGCCTTTCTCTGAAAAAGCAGTGTTTGCATAAAAATGCTTGAAGGGAGCTATTATACTCACAGAACAACTACATTAAGCTGTAGTTGTTCTGGTGACTATAGTTCCCTTTAAATTTAGTACTTACTGTCTTAATTTCTAAACCACATTTTGTTTTTTGTTTTTTTGGGCAACTAAGCTGTCCTGTTTCTCTCCGTGCCATAAACCACTTGGCTTCAACCGGTAGGGCCTCTCACTACCATACAACTTGCCTACTTGTGCTCTAACAGCCCGCAACCGTCCTATATCATCCTGCCTGCCTGCATTCCCTGCACACATTACAGAAACCCTTGCTCCAACCATCCATATCTTATAGCAAATTGTTACACACTGTTTACAATGTTATCTGTATGAGGTCTTTAACCCCTTAAGGACAGAGCCAATTGTTCAAGTTGTGATCAAAACAAAACCTGGAATTTGCGCTATATATTGTTCAGCCATAATTCACCTCTTTCATATTAAGTGCACCCACACTTATTGTATATCATTTTGTTCAGGAGAAACCGGGCTTTCATTTGATATCACATATTTTTATATGAAACATAATTGAATGTGAATAAAATCTAATCTGAGAAATTAAGAAAATGTGTTATTTTTCAAGTTCTGCATGACATTTTAACTGTGAGTCATAATGCTGTTAGATTTTTCTACAACAAAACACACATTTGTATTCAGCAAGGTCTCACTAGTACTACAGTACCCCCATGTACAGGTTTTATGAGTTTTTGGAAATTTACAGGGTCAAATATAGTGCTTTCCCCTTTTCTATTGAAATTTGCTGGGCCTATGTTGCCTTTGAGACCATATGGCAGCCCAGGAATGAAAATTAACCACATCTTGGCACACCATTTCTAAAAGTAGACAACCCAGGGTATTCAAAATGGGGTACAGTTTAGGCAGTCCCCCTGCTGCAGATCCCAAGCAAGCTATACCGACCATCACGTGGCCCTCGGGGGCTTAAATTTCAAGGGGGGGGCTGTCAGGCAGTTCCCTAGAAGAGGATCGCAGCGGAGGTGAGTAGACAGTGACTTCTGGGGCTAAAAGCTGTTAGGGCGTTCTGACACAGTAACTGCTTTAAAGCCCATTATAATGGGGACGGCATAGAACGGCGTTAAGGGGTTAATTAGTTGCTATTGTCTGAATTATGGCCTAATACATGTTGGAACAACACATAAACGAAGAATTAAAATAAAATCTCAAGTGAAACCATTTTGTTTCCATGCAGGCTGTCAGTCACAGCCAGGGGAGGTGTGGCTAGGCCTGCATAAACAGAAACAAAGTGATTTACCTCCCAAATTGCAGGGAATTGATCAGGGACCAATCTATATACTAAAACTGCTTCATTAAGCTACAGTTGTTTAGGTGACTATAGTGTCCCTTTATGGCCTGGCTTGTAGCATAGCATATTTTAAGCACTAGTGCAATGTATTAATGAGTTTTACTACTATTGGGAGTTCTAAATTAGGACAAATTGTGGGGATTTGTTTTGGTAATTTTTTTTGTATTTTATTTTATTTTTTTAGCAAAGATATCCAATTTAGTACAAATTCCCCAAGTAGGCCATGTTTGTTTGCGTTCAGATCTCTTGCAAGCTCTTTTTAGAGATACCATACTACCAATATGTATAAATGCATGCATGTGTTTATTGGGGTATAACTTCTAAATAGTGTTTTTTTGTTTGTTTTTTGTGTTCCTTTATAGTAGGGTGTTCCATTATTTTCTCAGGCTGGCTACTGTAAAAGGAGAGATTAAAATGTTACTAATGTAAAAGTAGATGGTAATACTGTACCTGCTGATTCTACTTGTTTCCATGGTAATTACTTAAGTGATACAAACATGAAATAGGGGAGATGTGCATTTTGTTTCCAGTGTAACTGCCCCATATTTAGTACTTTAGAACACTTTTTTTGTACATAACCACCTATATATAGATGCCAAGAAGTGAGGTGGGGACACAAAAATCTTGTTTTTTGTGTGTGCTGGTTTTAGAAATACTGGAGTACATGCAGTGTGATCAGTCTATTCCGATCACACAACCATTTTTTTTCAGTAATAATGTGTTCTGTCAGACTCCAATAACTTCTAATTTTGGAGAAAATTTGCCTTAAAGGACCACTATAGTGCCAGGAAAACTTTTTTTTCCTGGCACTATAGTGCCCTGAGGGTGCCCCCACCCTCAGGGTCCCACTCCCATGGCGCTGAGGGGGGAGGAAGGGGTTAATCCCTTACCTTTTTTCCAGCACCGGGCTCCCTCGGCGTTGGGACTCTCCTCCCTGGGTGAATGCGCACGCACAGCACGTGCCGCTCGCACATTCAGCCAGTCCATAGGAAAGCATTCTCAATGCTTTCCTATGGACGCTGGCTTCTTCTCACTGTGAAAATCAGTCGGAAGCGCCTCTAGCGGCTGTCAATGAGACAGCCGCTAGAGGCTGGATTAACCCATTGGTAAACCTAGCTGGATCTGGCACCCAGACCACTTCATTAAGCTGAAGTGGTCTGGGTGCCTATAGTGGTCCTTTAAGTGTTTTTTAAAAAAATTTTTATTATTGTTAAAGGGACACTATAGTCACCACAACAACTACAGCTTAAAGGATCACTATAGGGTCAGGAACACACATGTATTCCTGACCCGATAGTGTTAACACCACCATCTAGTCCCCCTGAGGCCACCATAAATATAGTAAAAACCGTACTGTATTCAAGCCAGAAGCAGTAAATCTGCATGCTGTTAGACTCAGGAAAAACAAGCAGTCTGCTGATGTGGTAGCCTGATCCAATCACAGTGCTTCCCCATAGGATTGGCTGAGACTGACAAGGAGGCAGATCAGGGGCAGAGCCAGCATGATTCAAACACAGCCCTGGCCAATCAGCATCTCCTCATAGAGATGAATTGAATCAATGAATCTCTATGAGGAAAGTTCAGTGTCTGCATGCAGAGGGAGGAGATACTGAATCACAGGATGCTGTGCACAGTGCTGCCCTGTGCTCTGCTGACAGCAGATCTGAGTGGATGGAGGCATATTATGCCTTCATCAACTCCGAAGTCCCTCTGGTTCACTCTGAGTGACTGCAACTGGAGGTGTTCCTAGCTTTCAATGTAAACACTGTAATGCAGTGTTTACATGAGAGAGGCTGCAGGGAGCTATAGTTCTCACCTGAACAACCTCATTAAGCAGAAGTTGTTCAGGTGACTATAGTGTCACTTTAATGTAGTTGTTCTGGTGAGTATAGTCAGTCTCTGCAGGTTTTTTTGCAGTAAACTCTTTTCAGAGAAAAGGCAGTGTTAGATTACAGCCTAGGGACACCTCCAGTCGCCATTCCTCAGACAGCTGCTATAGGTGCCTCCTATGGCAGTGCTGCACAGTGTGACTGACATTCAGTATCTCCACTCTCTGCATGGAGACACTGAACTTTCATCATAGAGATGCATATTTTCAATTCATCTTTATGAGGAGATGCTGATTGACCAGGGCGGAGTTTGGCTCCATCCCACGGCCTGTCTCCTTGGCTGAGATAATCAGAATAATCTCAGCCTATCCAGTGCTTTCCTATGGGAATTTCTGATGAGGGGGCCTAATGTGCAGCAAGTGCCCTGCACGCATTAGGACTTCCCCATAGTAAAGCATTGCCTCTGTTATCATAGTAAAGCATGGCCTCTATGGGGGTTTTCTCTGACGCTTGATGTCCTCATACAGAGCACGAAGAAGTCCAGTGTTTTTTCATGGTGTGTAACTCCTGGAAGTGCCTCTATTTTTGCATTGCAGTACTAAGAGGGACAGGGACACTGTACCAAACCACTTTAATGAGATGTAGTGGGCTGGGTGCCTATGGTGTCTTCTTCATTTTGTGGTCCATCTCCACCTCCTTAGTATAAGTCTTTGGGACAGCCTTTACCTCCCTCTTGTGTTCTAGTTAGAGGACTCATTAGCTGCACTTAAATGTAATTGTGTTTTTTTGAGGAATTACTTTGATATCTTTCTGACTTATGCACGTCAAAGTGCGCTGCAAGAGTTAAATTGCAGCCAGAGACTCTCCATAGTGTTAGTTGTTTTTCCAAAATTGTCCACTGTACTGACAATTCATTGAGAATATGAGAAATCCTCCCCCACTTCCAGTGACAGTCTGTATTCCTATTGGGATTCTCTTGCAGCTAAAAAGGAGCAAAAAGCCTATGACATAGTTGGGAAAGTGGTAATGTAATGCAGAGACTTGGGTGCCCAGAATGCCTATGATATCTTTATGTAAGCGGAGTAGAGCAGCTCCAGAGTGGAGGAGTTAATTGTCTGGCACGGAATTAATAGGTTAGCACGTGCTGATGAGATTTTCCAGAGCAGTGAGCTGGGCTCACAGCTGCAGCCATTTTTACGGTGTTTTTCTGTTCTTCCTCTTGCATTGACATTTGTAGTGATGCTCCGTCAGCTTTTAAAGCCAGGCTTCCTGTTTGCCCATCATCTTTCCTAAACTGTCAATCCTTTAGCTTGTAAAGGTGTGTGTTTAAAGTATTGCAAAGTGCAAAAAAAGTCTACCTGCCAATCCACACGGCATTTTGCTGCACTTTTTACCCACCGATAATTACTTGCTTTCTGTTTTATTTCTGTTTTGCATGGACTGCTTTTACCAGCCATATTAATGTCCGGACAGCTGCTGTTATTTATTAGAAGGGAGGGTGTATTTGTCTGAATGGGCCCCTCCGTCAGGAGTTGGCAAGCAGGGACTTCTCCCAGCAGTAAAATGACACCAGGCTTCTCCTCCATTTTCTAACGAAATCTGCAGAGTGGGAAAGTAACTGGAGTTGGAAACATCTTATTTTTTTTTGGGACTCTTGCTGCATAGCTAGCATCTCACCCCCCCTTCCCGTGTGGATAGCCATCAGGTTTGTGTTGTGTGCGTGCAGCCACCCTTGTCCCTTTTTCTGTATTTTGGCTTTCTTTTGCTGCAGTGCACAGAAAGCTGGCAAACGCTGCGGTAGTGCTGTGCATGTTTATGTTTTTGGTTTGTTTTTATTCTCCCTATTTTTTGGCACAATGTATTCAAAATGAGGGGTAGCAGACTTTTTATTAGCAATGCATAAAGTGGGCAAGTGGTGTAATTACATTAATGTGTGTGCTTAATTTGATTACAGACTGAGGATGTTATTTGTGATATTGAGAGAAAGAAGTCCGAAGCTACATTAAATTAGGCTCTGGGCTAGTGGAGGTAGTGTTGCGTGCATGCATATTATTGTATTTAGCCACTATGTCACACAATTTTTGATGTGCTTGCTTTGAATTTTTTTTTTTTTGCCTTTTAGGCAAAGAAGTGTGGTCCAACTGTCCCTTTCTTTGTAGGACATTAATGTTGATTGCAGTCATAAAAACGTGACTCACCATGAGCAGAAAATAAATAGTAAGGATCGGGACCTACTGAGCATTGTATTTTAAATGAATGTCTCTGCTGTTTTAAATTTCCTAAAAGTGTTACTTTCTTTTCAGCGGCCACCTACTAGCCTCCCCGTATTCAGACTAGAACCAGTGATTGCTTGTTCACTGCACAGCTAGAGGAATCTGCTGATCCCTGGCTAAACTCTTCACCGTTTATTTCAAAGTGCGTCACTGTTGTTCCATTGAAGACATACCTTATTTTAATTTTGTTTTTAAAAAAACAAACATGCGAATGTGCAGTAATGTGTATTCCTTTTAATTTTGGCATAGATTTTATTAGGAAGAATCTATATATTTCTACATTGATAAAAGCAATTAGGAAATAAATATATTTTTGGATGCAACGCAACATGTTATGTATTCCTTTAGTGGGAGGACAGTTGGTGTCACATGGCTAGATGTAATGGGGCCTAGGAAATGATTTAACTCTTCAGTCACCAGTGAATAAGAAGTTTGCGTTGTACGATTTTTTTTTTTTCCCCTGCCGTTGTGTGCATTAGTTCGAGTTCTTGCTTTTTAAACAAATCTTAAATGCACTGTAATTTAAACAAGTATTTACCATGTCTATTCTCCCCTGTATGCATACGTGCTGCAGGCATTGTGTTAATCTTTTTATTTAACCTTTTGATTTTTCAGTAGAGCGGTAATGCACGATGTTGGCTTTCAAGCCTCAGGACCTATGTTCCTCATGTAAACACCATCCCTTGACAGCTTTCTACAGTACCCATGTTGCAGGCTGATGGCAGTTTTAAAGGCTTCAACTTTGTGTTATTTACAAGCGCAGGTTGTGAAGCGCAAACCTGTTAAAACTCTTTGACATGCCTATGATCAGTATTTCTAGTGCTATGCATTGCTTTTTTGCTGCAGACAATGAACTGCTTAAATTTAATTTTTCTATGTGCTCCTCTGGTCACTGGCTTGGTTTGAATTCTAGTTTATATTATATAAACTTATTTTTGTTGGCTGAAAACATCAGCTTGCTTGCTAGAATACATCATTACATGCCTGCTTTTTCCTCGTATCCTTTTCAACTTTCAACTTTTTTTTTTTTTTTTAAATCCTTAACCAGTACATCCCTTATTTGTATATAATAACTTATTGTGCTATTTTTCCAGGTTCCGTTTACTTGTAAGTAAAAGGAACAATTTTCATAGAACGAAACTTCATGCATGACTCCTGTAGTCCATGTACTTTTGGAGCCATATAGGATCTATCTAGATAGCTCTGGCTGTACTGAAATTGGCTAAGAGATCTCAGACAGTTCTTGGTCCAAGAGGACATTTCTGCAGGAACTGCAGAGCTTGCAAATATGTATCTAATGTTTAACACGCGATGATGGGTGTTGATTTTACACTGATTCTTGCCATCTATATGAGCATGGTGCTTTACAGCCTAATGAGTATCACACACGTTGTGTGTCAGGAAGTCTGCCAGGTAGCCATCAGGAAGCAATATTCCCTGCCTCCTGGTTTTGAATGAAAATAAGGCTCTGGTTGCAGAGAACTTACCTTAGAGTTTTTCTCTCTATTGCTTAATTGTCTGTCTCTGTGAGAAGCAGAGATTGTGTCTGTGACCTGGGCTGGTTGCACATTATACAGTGAAGAAATGAGGCTCCCTTTGCAAAGCATAAAATGTCCTGTATAGTTAAGTACATATTGGTTTAAAGGCAGTGTTTTGTTTTCCCCCTTAATGCCTCCGCGTATATTAAAGAAACAGATATTTAAAATGGCTCTTTAATGACGTCATTTTATTTCATTGATATTTGTGCTACCCAGATAAATGCCAATCTAGTAGTTAATGCTTCCTTGAGTTTATTAAATTTCTATATTACTCTTTATCATTTACTACACAGTGCCAGATCAAATACTAAGCCAGCCTCAGCCTGTCATCGGGATTATTGGCATTTCCACAGGAACCAGCAGTCAAAATAATAATGCCAAGCGGCTCTTACCAAACAGTCTGCAACCGGTGCCTCGTTATCCTTCCTGCGAAGTACCACCTCGATTCCGACACCACGAACAGAAACATCTTCTGAAGCGTGGTCAGCAGCTACCGTCCACTGCGGCCAGGGTGGGGTTAGCCTCTAACCTGCTAAACCAAGAGTCCACAGTTGACCCTGTTCAGTGTACGGATCACACAGAAGGCAAAAACGTGAAGGACAGTTGCAAAAGTCAACCAGGTAAAGGGAAAGTGTTCGCTATGACGACCTAAATCTAGGTGGTATTACAGGCTGCTTTCAAGGAGCTGTCCTGTTCCTTACTGATGAATGAGGGATAGGGCTTTTATTTTTTATTGCATGCAGAAAGAAGAGGGCAAAGAATCACAACCAATAAATCTGTCAAGTCAAAGGCCTGGAAATACGGGACTGGTTTATAAAGTCATGGAGCTAGAGATAGGACATGTCTGGGATGTGGGAGCAAGTAGGGCAGGATGGGAAACGCAGAGGAATACTTAATGAACTAAAAAGAAAAATCACTGGATTTCATAGAATTTTATTTTTCTCCCTACCTGTCAATTAGTTTTTGCCCTTCTTTATTTTGTGGGACTTTAATCCTATCTGTTATTATAAATTGATGCAATAGTGCTACATTTTAACTTTAAGTCTGAATTCTCAGTCGCTGTTTAGTTTGGTTTAGTTTTTGTGTAGCAGTTAAATGCTCTGACGTATCTATTTTAGTAGTTCATATATTTTAAGTAATTAGCTTTATAGAGATATAGAAAATAACTCCCCCTCCCCCTGTTCCATTCCTCCCTTCATCCACTCCCCCTTTCCCCTCCTTTACCCACCCTCCCCTTTTATTTTTTTTCTTTGCTTTTTATAGGCATGCCTCCCATTCGGGATTTGGTCAGTCACTCCCCTAACCAGCTAGGTGAATTATCAATTTTGTTCTATTGTCTCTTATTAATTTATTTATAATTCTTTTTAAATCTTGTGGGTACTATACCTTTATTTGGGTGTTTTGTGGTCATATGCCGGGTGAAGGTGCTTAATATTATATTTGCTTGTCTTATTTGCTTCTCCGCTAACGTTTGTGTTGACGACTGCAGCCGATTTGCATGTTAACGCCAGTTTTGTACAGCTTCCACTCGCGCTTTTTGTAATTGTGTGATTTTAAACAAGTTTTTATTTGTGGATTTTTTTATTTTTTTATTTTATTTCTAAGCAATTGATGGGAACAGAATATTTGACCTATTCTATTACAGTCCTGGTATCATGAAATATGGCATGTTGAATGCTAGTATAGCCAATTTCCTCAGCAGTTGTTGACTGATGATTGCTACCTTGGGGCTGGAGCAATACTTTGAACTGTTACCTTGATCCTCAGCCAACATTCAGGAAATGTAGGAGATAATAGAATTAAATCAATAGATTTCAGTGGTAGTGGCATTGCGCATTTGGAAGCGACTCCCATTCGTTTTGTAGCCCACCAAAGGAAAAGTGGAAAATAGTTTAGAACAGAGTGCCCAAAAGTGAATTTTCTTTGGAAAATGTTAAAAAAACTGATTTAACTGCGCATATATTTTTATATCTAGTATAATATAAAAGGGGGTGATACATTTCCTAATTACCACAGCTGAAAGTAAGCAAGAATCTGTACCTGTTGACTTTACATCTTTTCTCATACTATTCATACTAACATGCTATTCACTTTTCAATAAAGCCCAGAAACATAAAGGGATACTCCAAGCACCATCATTAAAGTGGCTATGGTGTCTGAAGTTTCCTGAATCTATCCCATTGTTCAGTTTTACAGTTTGGTTTAAAACTGGGTCTTGTGCCTCCCCCACCAGTGGAGATATGGCTAAGGTGAAATGTGTCATTACCAATAGCAAGTCATAGTAGAGGTGGACAATTTTGATTGACGAGCGTGCTCGGTTAACACACTAAGCCTGTCTCTGCTCCTTGGGCTTGTGGTTAAGCATTAAACCAAGCAGCAGAGGGGAGCTGCATTGTTGAGTGCCTGGGGTCCCTCATGCTGTGTCAAAACATTAAACTGTGGGTGCCAGTAGACCCCAGGCACCATAACCACTTCAGTAAAGTATTGTGATTACAGTGCCTAGAATGTCACTTTAAGAAACTTGCAGAGTTAAGGCGTTAAATGAAAGTTTGTTTACATGGTACGTTAATTTTGGAATAGAGATAAAGTATGTCAGTAACTTTCTACAGAAAAGAAATAGTACCTTGGGACCAGTAGTATTATTTATAGAAAATTCGGGTGAAACCTCTAAACCCCCATTTCCAAACCGGTCTCCTTTTCCCAACTAGCAGTTTTTACATCCAGCCCCTCCCCTTTGTCCTTTTGGGCCTCACGTCACTGCTGCTGTTTACAAAGCTAGTTTATTTTTACTGAATGATTCCGTACTATTGGAATCTGTTTTGTTACTTCCCATGAATAGCTGGGCGACAGCAGCTTTAAGACCTGCTGCTAGAACCACATTCAAATTTTTACGTGCACGCTTAACATTTCAGGATGGCTCCAGGCAAGTCAGACATATTATGTATAAGCAAGATTAAGTGAGAGATTTATTCAAAACAGAAAAGTTCCATTAACATGTTTACTGTGAGTTTGAGAATAAATAAGGCCCCTAATGCATCTAAATATACTGTAGTGGGGATAGGAATAGCTACTATATAAATATGTAGAAAGCAAAAACAAATACCATTAGAACAAAAAGGCAATTATTTTTATTTTATTTTTAATTTCCACAATTTTACTTCAGTTTGTGGTTAATTATTGAGGGAGGGGACAACTTTTTATATTAAATAATCAGGGCTTAAAATTTCTAATTTTATTCTTACTTGTCATGGCAAATCTTCTACCTGACCTTTAAAAATAAAAAATAAAGTTTTGGACTGATTTTTATTAGCTTCTTATGAGGAATAGAGAAAGTTAATTGTGATTGCTCTCTCACTGTCTAGCATGTGTCCAGTCTGTGTTTCAAGTAAACCGTGCCTGATTTACTCAGATGCAAACCACTGGGATCAGGCTCAACTAAAAGATGTGACACGTTAAGCTATAAATCTTAAATCCTAAAGTTGACCACAAACTATAATTAACATGCCAAGATGGCGCCCTCCCTCAGCAAGCGAAGGTAAAAGACAGGTGAGTCAGCCCACTCCTATCAGTGGCAAAGACAGGGTATTTGCAGGAAAGTGCCCATAGGGTGTTCTTAGGATGTTTCCCCTACACTATGTTCCTACTTCATAGTCAAGAACACCGCATTTCGGTCTCTGATCTTCTCAATGACCAAGTCCTGTTCCATCTCGAGGTAACATGAGGGTCTGAATACAGGTTCTGTGTCAGGCAGTTGGTCCTCCGTACTTGAGAATGCTTTCGGCCCAGTCAGATGGCTAGATGGTCGAGCAGGTGTCTGCCAGAGCTTGATGCCCAGAGGGGGTTTGTGATGTGGATTGAGGTGTCCCATGCAGACCAGTGTCTCATGGGCAAGGAAGGCGTTTGGAGACAGCCAGCTACCCGGGTCCAGAAATCTTGGCATATTTGGTTGAATCTGGCCTCAAAGCTCCGCACCCAATCCTGACCCCCTGGGTCTGCTTTCTGTAGCAGAGGCCTCACTCTGGTAGCCATCTTTAATAAATCACACTGTCTTAAGAGCAGAAGAAGTCCGGGTAACCACCTTGGTGTAGGTAGTGCGTCCAGTGGGGACCGGGATTACCTCCACCGGTCCTGGAGGTGGGGGGGAGGGCTGCAGGGTTTCAGCGCGGTCCCAATTGGGAGAACGGCCGCCTCTCCCAGCCACAGGGTTCACAATCCCTGTAGGCCACAGATAGCCAGGTTCTCAATAGAAATTTGCAGAAAGGAATATTTCGGGACCCACAGTATCCACTTTAGTAGAGATGCCTGCTGTACTGGATTCTGAGCTGTTTGCCACTATTTCTTTGCCATTTTAGCTGTAATTGAGCTCACTTTGGAGGGAGCTCCTAGAAAACACGTCTTGTCAGCTTGCAGGTCAGATCCTGCCCCCCAAGTGGACATTTTGAGCTCTGATGTCTTTTATCTTGCAAAACTGCATGTATTGTTTGACACACTCTAATATTCTTACACCTTTTATATGTAATTGAAATTATTTTTTGTAATATAAAGTTTAAGGAGCATGGAGCATAGTTGCGTTTTTATGAGATGCAATTTTCAAAGTGTCAACAAGCTGCTGGGGGTATAGTAGGGCTCGACAAATCCCAGAACTTCATGGCAACTAGAATTTTTTTTTTTTCCTGGCTCTTGGGGTTTGTCAGCCCTTTAGCTAAGGCGATTTCCCAAGGGAGCATTTATGCCAGCCACTGTGGGGAACACTGGAGCAAGGAGATGGCAAGCAAGGGCGCAGTAATATTTATGCAGTCCCTCTCTGTTCCCTTGTGCGCTGTTTAGTGATGCCCGGAGCCGGAATATGACAGTACTCTGGCCTCTGCGTCGCTACAGAGAGAAACTGCAGGAAGGTGATCAGAGCAGCCAGACAGGACCCCAGGGAAGGATCCACTCGACTCTCTAAATTGACACACTCCTAAATTTAAATTTTTTTTTTTGTTTTAGTGTGTATGTATATGTCTGTCTAGGTACCTTTATTTACAACCAGATTTCATATTCAGAATAATACATTTTCAGATTTGTTTAACCGTTATATCAGAACGGATTTTGGTATATGCCATTAGAAATGTATAGAGGATGATGAAATGACTGCAAGGCAAACAATCTCCAGATTAATAGGTTTATCACCCATGTTTGGAGAACACTTTAAATTAAAGGTTTTCATTGTGTCCACATAGGTTTGCAGAATAACAATGGGATTAAGGACTTTTTCTGAACTTTGTTATAAATTTTTTGCTTTGAAAAGGTGCTTATTTCTGCAGACACGTTTAACTTGGATTTATGGAAAATGTAAATATTGCATGAATATACAGCCTCATACTGCACAACTAATCCATGTTACATGCTGAATAACCTTTGGATTAAAATGTATCCTTAGATAGTTTCTTCTTCCAAAAGGGTTTCAGATTTAAATGTAAAAAAAATTCATAATTTTACCCTAAAATAACTAAATTTTTATGCACTCTATCTACTTAGCCAAGATGTTAAAATGTCTTAATCTGATGAGACCCTGATTATTTATGGCAACACCTTACTTTTTTTTTTATATTCTAAAAACTGTACTATAATGGAACCGTCCTAAGCATGTAACTCTGCAGTGACCCTATTACATTTAATACTGAAAATATTTCAAAGCATGGCTTTGGTTTATTCTGCTATAATGTGCCCAAGACCGCAGTCGATCTCCGTAACATGCTATTATTTGTACAGGCTGCTCTTAAAGGTGTCTTGTAAATTTAAGGTGAGGCAAGCTCATATTGCCATAGATTTGACAGATATTATCCATTAGAGGGATGAAATGGCATTTATGGCCTGGTGAGATTTTCTTTAGAAATGATCAAAACCAGCGGTGAGCTAAAGCTGGTTTTGATCCAGAAATCTCATATTCCATATGAAGTATCTATATAATATTGATTTTGACAATAGATTTATTTTGCTTGATGTCTTATTTTTTTAATAACCAATGTTATTCATTTCTTTCCAGATCTCAATCACAGTAGTCTGGGATCCCACTATGAAAGTTCTCATTGGGGATCGGTCTCTTCCAGCGGTGATTCTGGCACAAACTGGGATAAAGTTATTGTAGACGGCACAGATAAAGAGGAGTGGCCATCAATCACTGGCAGCAGCTCAGACTTGGCAACAGAATGTATGCATATTGACTCTTTCCCAAACTCTGGAGCTGAAAAGAGCCACTCTATGCCCTTTGGGGGGGTGATTGAAGAAATGGATACTGTGAGGAATGGCATTGGGCATAGTTCTCAGAGCAAACATTTGGTCAACAGCAATAATGCAAGCAGTGGAAGTATTAATGGGCCTTGGGGAATCCCCAATGGATCCATGATAAGCACATGTCATGATGGCCCTGATAGCAAAGCTGATAACAGGCACAGCAAAATCAAAGCATGGGGTACTGCAAATACGTCGAATGGAGTTCTCAATTCAAGCACTTTGAATATGAACGGTAACCATGGTGCCTGGCCCGTTTTAGAAAGCAATGGACATTCCCTAAAAGGGTCTAGTAATTCTGGCACAAATGTTCCAAGCAGTACTACAGGCCAGGTGCCCAACAATCGTACTCTTAACCCAAAACTGGGCAATCGTGCCCCTAACTCCTGGGGAAATGTTCAGGAGAATGGTGATGTTGAACTGAATGGTACACGCAAGGCTGGTTATAATGTGCAACCTCAAACCCATAACACTGAAATGACTGGACCAAATAACACTACTAACTTTATGACCTCTAGTTTACCAAACTCTGCTGGCTTAATCCAGACAAACGAACTGCCTAACTCTACAGGGCACGGGGGCTGGAATACAAGCAACATGAATCATTCTCCACTTCACGCCTCTTCAGTTACAAATGGCACTTCCAGTCCACACCTAAGCAATGGTGAGGATAAAAATGGCGGATCATATGGTACTACGTGGGGTAACTGCAAAAATTCAGTACCTAAAGGGCAAGCTATTAATGACACTGTGAATGCGACTGTAATCCAAACGGCCACAAATGGTCCAAATTGTAAAGTCAATGGGACTGCAATGCATTGGAGCAATGGAAATGGAGGGACTTCTGGAGGAGGTCACCGTAGATTTGCAAACCCAGCACAAAACACTGGCACTAATCTAGCAAATGGTGATTGGAACAAAATGCCTAACAACCAGCATTCCAATGATGGAGAAAACATAGAAAAAAGTGATAGAAAAGTTTCAAACCCTCGGAAATATCCTGAGGAAGAGAATGGGGTTCAAACGTCAACAGATTCTAAAGCCAATGAGTCTAGTAAGGTATACGCCAAAAGTACAGGTACTGAGGAAACTGAAGGTAGCCTAGACAGCACTGGAAACCAGGGTGAGCAAGCCATTGGGGTCGAGAGTGCAGAAGTTCAGAACGTGGATGAGGAAACAGAATTTCAGTGTATTGTAATTAAAGAAGACCTGGACCCTCGGGTTCTGAGCAACGAAGGCTGGGGAACGACTCCAATTAGACAGGACACTCCCTGGGAAATAGAAGCTGCTTTTCTGTGGGATGACAGAACTGACAATGGAACAGCTGTTTGGATGCCATATCTGTCAGAGACTAACTCAGGGGGATTGGTGGGCAAACACAACCCTAACAGAAATGAAACCTTATCATTATCTGGACGGGGAGATCCAAAGCCTACTACAGGGTCGGGTAATGCCAAAGGCACCATAAGCCGAGGGGAATGGGAAGATCAATTTGCTGCTACTACTGGAATGGTCAAGAGCAATCAATCACGAGGGACTGGTAAAGAGGACAGATCCAGTTGGAATGACGGACAAAAGGTCAAACAGGGGTATGGAGGGCACCATAGTAATAACTTTGGGGATAATTCTAAGAGTAATCGATGGGGTGGATCAAAGGCAAGTTCTGACAGTGACAGATCAATGTCTGGTTGGAATGACTCTAGTAGATCTAACTCCTGGGGTAATACATGTGGATATTCTAATAACACATTTGAGTCTTCTAAGGCAAGCTCAAACCAGGGATTTGAGCCCAGCAAAGGCAATGGGGAGGGTAACAAATATGGCCCAGCTCAAACTGAGAGTGATCACCCCAAATCCAATAATTCAATGGAATGGAACAAGAACTCTGAAAACGGATCGTGGGGAGTGCAATCTAACCACAATAAACAATCTAGTTGGTTAGGTGGACCAATGCCAACTGCATCAAAGGAAGAAGAGATGTCTGGTTGGGAACCTTCATATCCACAGTCCAACAGACGCAAGCAGGAGATAGATGATGGCACCTCAGCTTGGGGTGACCCCAGTCAATACAAATACAGGAATGTTAACATGTGGGACAATAACGCTCCAAATGCCACCAATGGGGCAGACCATCAATCTCAACTACATCAAATGCCCCCACCATCAAGTGCCGTGCCAAACAAAGAAAACAGCAGCAACTGTTCTGGTGAGAGTCTGGGGAATTCAGATAGATTAATATATCTATAGAACCCCAGACAGAAATGGGATACGGCTGTACAATCTATAGAGGGAACATATAAAGGAAAAAAACACAATAGTGTAATACAGTAAATACAGTGAATAATGCGCTTAAATGGATGCACTCACAAGATGATGAAGATGAAAAAGCATTCATAGGGTGCCTCCCCAGATAGCATAGGGGGCTAGTGGTTTCCCCTATCCGATGTAAAGCGACCAATGGAACACGGGACTCCAGGTAAGTAATAGTAGAAAAGCAATACTTTTATTTTCTTAAAAGGTGAACAAGCACCATAAGAATAAAGGTTTAAAAGTGCAGCAATAGGTCCAACGCATTTCGTTCAAGACTAGAACTTCATCAGGGACCGCACAGTAAAAAAATCACAGACAATATCATAGATTGTAAAATAACATCCTACTTTCCCCTTAACAGAATCTCTATATATAGGGCTAGTCCCAAAGTCCCATTGGTCCATAGTGTAGGAGTATCCAGTAGCCAACCAATCATCTATCCAGGGGTATTGTCCTCCAGCTGATAGTGTTTGGGTAGTTTAAAAAGGGCGCGTTCAATGTGAAAGCCGAAACCGGAAGTGGATGTCTGCCTTCACTTCCGCGTTCCATATGCGTTCCAAACACGCTCCAAATGCGTTCCAAAAACATTCACTGCTCTTTTTCAACTAGAACAGCGAGGAGCCATCAATATAAGTGATCATCAAAAGGACAAAGCCCAAAAGTGTTAAATGCATTAAATGTAATTAATCTCTAGAAGAAGAAAAGTGAATTAATGCATGTAATATACAACCATGTTAAGATAGTTCATATGGAACTTCCCCACATATTATATATATGACAATATCATACACCATTAAATAGTGCCATGTATGTCTATTTAAAGTGACAAACATCTCATTATTCAAAAAATAAGAACACAAATAATATATTCCTAAAAAAAGTTCCCTCAATATCAATAATAATAATTTTAAACCATATAACCTGCAAGGTACACCTAACTATATAATATAAAGATTTTTTTTTTTTTTTTAATTATATAAATTATGAATTGTATTGATTAATTGTCTTTAATCAATACAATTCATAATTTATATAATTAAAAAAAATAAAAATCTTTATATTATATAGTTAGGTGTACCTTGCAGGTTATATGGTTTAAAATTATTATTATTGATATTGAGGGAACTTTTTTTAGGAATATATTATTTGTGTTCTTATTTTTTGAATAATGAGATGTTTGTCACTTTAAATAGACATACATGGCACTATTTAATGGTGTATGATATTGTCATATATATAATATGTGGGGAAGTTCCATATGAACTATCTTAACATGGTTGTTGTATATTACATGCATTAATTCACTTTTCTTCTTCTAGAGATTAATTACATTTAATGCATTTAACACTTTTGGGCTTTGTCCTTTTGATGATCACTTATATTGATGGCTCCTCGCTGTTCTAGTTGAAAAAGAGCAGTGAATGTTTTTGGAACGCATTTGGAGCATGTTTGGAACGCATATGGAACGCGAAAGTGAAGGCAGACATCCACTTCCGGTTTCGGCTTTCACATTGAACGCGCCCTTTTTAAACTACCCAAACAGTATCAGCTGGAGGACAATACCCCTGGATAGATGATTGGCTGGCTACTGGATACTCCTACACTATGGACCAATGGGCCTTTGGGACTAGCCCTATATATAGAGATTCTGTTAAGGGGAAAGTAGGATGTTATTTTACAATCTATGATATTGTCTGTGATTTTTTTACTGTGCGGTCCCTGATGAAGTTCTAGTCTTGAACGAAACGCGTTGGACCTATTGCTGCACTTTTAAACCTTTATTCTTATGGTGCTTGTTCACCTTTTAAGAAAATAAAAGTATTGCTTTTCTACTATTACTTACCTGGAGTCCCGTGTTCCATTGGTCGCTCTACATCGGATAGGGGAAACCACTAGCCCCCTATGCTATCTGGGGAGGCACCCTATGAATGCTTTTTCATCTTCATCATCTTGTGAGTGCATCCATTTAAGCGCACTATTTACTGTATTACACTATTGTGTTTTTTTCCTTTATATGTTCCCTCTATAGATTGTACAGCCGTATCCCATTTCTGTCTGGGGTTTTATGCATATGTTAAGATCGTTTGTTGTGGATAACGATCCCGGGAGGCTGCATATTGATTGAAGTTAAGTAATTTATTTAATTAGAACACTTATCTAAAGGTGTTCGTTTGTTTGTTTTCAGATTAATATATCTATTTGAATTTCCTTTTTGTTTCCTTTTATTCCATCTTAATGTGCTTGTTGTAATGTGCCTCGTTTATGCAATTGATGTCTATAAATATTTAATTTCTTTCAAAAAACAAAGAAACCTAAAGGAAGTCTTAATGAAACTCATGCCCATAGAATATTACAATTTTACAGTAGGTATTGGCCAGTCTCGTTTTAGAGGAATTGAGTTTGTAACCGTTTTTGTACTTTCCTGTTAAAGGGACACTATAGTCACCAGAACAACTACAGGTTAATGTAGTTGTTCAGGTGAGATCTATAGCTCCCTGCAGGCAATCTAGTGCCGTCCAGTGGCAGTCACTCAGACGGCCACTAGAGGGACTTCCTATCATGTATGGCCCTAAAAAGGCCATGTACACGTCAGATGTATTAAAATACGTCTGGCGTGTGCAGGAGAGAGAAGGCCCTGTGTGCGCGCCTTCTCTCTCCTGCCTGTCAGGAGAGGTGGCGGGCAAAGACCGCGAGCTGAGTTGTCAGCGGAGTTGTATTGTGCTCAGGACTTCATAGGGCGGCATGAATGCCGCCGTATGAAGTGTGTGCGCATGTGCAGCGAAGCTGCGCATGCGCACAAGGGAGCAATGACTCTTCCGAATGGAAGCGTCTGATTGCTCCCTGCTAGCGCCCACCTTTTTCGTCATTTTGACGAAATAGGGGGCGCGGCTTCACGAGGCTCCTGGCGCTGGAAAGAGGGGAGTAAAAAGGGCTGCCTGGAGTGTCCCTTTAAGCCCCCTAAAAATCTTTGCTGGTGTGCATTGGTGGCAAGTGGAAAACATTTCCCAAAGAGCGTTACTTCATGTTAAACAGATGGAACATGCAGAGATGATAAGATAAATGCAGACTTTAGCAACCCTTAAAGGATACCTAAAACCAGTTAAAAAATTGTTCTCACAAGGGATAGTGGAATAGACCTCCCAAAGGTGGTCCTTCTGCGCTCCCAAGCTTACCAACTGTTGCTATGGAAACAACATAGCAGACACTGTAACGCAAAAAAGCCAGTGTGACGGCGTGACTGAAGAGGTTTGGGGAAGCATTCCCAAGCAGGGCAAATGAAAAGATTAGAGCAGGAGCTGAGGGTGGAATGGATATGAGAATTACATGAAGGATAACCTCCACAAATCTCTGAAGATGGCAGAGCTGGAACAGGTTGAGGTGAGTATACCTTCATTTGTCTACATTGAATACATCATGTATCTTCGTGAAGTATTCAATGTATATGAGCTGATTTAAGGACCATGTATTTTTCATTTATTTTTTTAAAGGGAAAAACTTCATAGAAAAAAATGTAATCATATGAGTGAGTAGTTGCTTTCATTATACCTTGCTGAACAGTTTCCACTCTTGCCCCTGGCTCTTCTGGAGCTCTGCTGGTTTCATTGATCTGTGGTCTGCCAGCCCTGGGACCATCTGGCTATAGTCACTCCAGTAAAATATCAAGTTTTCCTCGAGTAACCATTTTCAGCAAACTTTTTTTCATAATCCTCTCCAAAGGCAAAAAAGGCACAGAAACATTGCAACTTTTTACTTTCTGATAGAAACATAGAATGAGACGGCAGATAAGAGCCATTCGGCCCGTCTAGTCTGCCCAATTTTCTAAATACTTTCATTAGTTCCTGTCCTTATCTTACAGCTAGGATAGCCTTATGCCTATCCCATGCATGTTTAAACTCCTTCACTGTGTTAACCTCTACCACTTAAGCTGGAAGGCTATTCCATGCATCCACTACCTTCTCAGTAAAGTAATACTTCCTGATATTTTTAAACCTTTGCCCCACTAATTTAAGACTGTCCTCTTGTTGTGGTAGTTTTTCTTCTTTTAAATATAGTCTCCTCCTTTACGGTGTTCATTCCCTTTATGTATTTAAATGTTTCTATCATATATCCACTCTCTCTCTTTCCTCCAAGCTATACATAAGATTATTTAACCTTTCCATTTAATTTTTATCCTGTAACCCATGAACCAGTTTAGTAGCCCTTCTCTGAACTCTCACTAAAGTATCCATATCCTTCTGGATATACAGTCTCCAGTACCATACTCCAAGCGAGGTCTCACCAGCGTTCTGTACAATGACATGAGCACTTTCCTCTTTCTACTGCTAATACCTCTCCCTATACAACCAAGCATTCTGCTAGCATTTCCTGCTGCTCTATTACATTGTCTGCCTACCTTTTGTCATCTGAAATAATTGCCCCTCAATACCTTTCCTCAGATGTTGAGGTTAGGACTCTCAAATATTCTGTACTCTGCCCTTGGGCTTTTAAGTCCAAGATGCATTATCTTGCACTTATCCACATTAAATGTCAGTTGCCACAACTCTGACCATTTTTTCTTGTTTACCTGAATCAATTGCCATTTGGCTTATCCCTCCTGGAACATCAATCCTGTTACGTATCTTAGTATCATCAGCAAAAAGACATACCTTCCCATCAAGACCTTCTGCAATATAACCAATAAAAATATTAAAGAGAATGGGTCCAAGTACAGATCCCTGAGGTACCCCACTGGTGACAAGCCCAAGCTTTGAATATACTCCATTGACTACAACCCTCTGTTGCCGGTCACTCAGCCACCGCCTTACCCATTCAACAATATTGGTATCTAAAGTTAAAGATTGCAGTTTATTGATGAGCCTTTTATGTGGAACAGTGTCAAAAAGCCTTACTGAAATCTAGGTAAGCAAATATCTACTGCACCACTCTGATCTATTATTTGTTACCCAATCAAAAAAAATCAATAAGTTAGGCATGACCTCCCTGAAGTAAACCAATGTTGTCTCTGATCTTGAAATCCATGTGTTTTTAGATGTTCAACAATCCTATCCTTTAACATGGTTTCCATTACTTTCCTCACTACTGAAGTAAGGCTTACTGGCATATAGTTGCCAGACTCCTCCCTACTACCTTTCTTGTAAATGGGCACAACATTCGCTAACTTCCAATCTTCTAAGACTTCTCCTGTTAACAATGATTGTCACTCTTTGCTTCCTCTTGTTGATAGTCTGGTCTGTTTCTATATTTTCTGCATTTGTCAATATGTATTTAGTACTAAAGTTGTTGCGTTTTTCTAGGTTGGGGTGAAACATGGGTGAGCACACAAGCTCCTGCTGTAGATAATGGTACTGCGGCATGGGGGAAACCAGTCGAAAGTAACAGTGGTTGGGGAAACCAAAACAGCGAAGCATCTGGATGGGGCCACACTCAGCAGGCTCCGGGCAAACCTGGTATGTTCTCCAGCCCTTGCTGTATTTTAAATGTTTTACACTAGAATGTATTTCTCTGCCAGAATTATTTGAATTAAAGGGGCTGATACACTAGTCTGTCTGAATTAAAACAAAATAAAAAATCTATTAAAATTTTCCATATGAGTACAGAAAACGTTCTTACTAGCAGTATATTGTTGGAAATAGCCAAGTGTATTCTCAACAAAATGTTTGCAACGTTTAATTTAATCCCAGACGGAGTACAGTTCTCTGTACATCATTCTCTGCTATAAAACGATAGTACATCTTGCTATAGTATATGTATTGCCTGGGGAATCCCAGTGCAAGAGATATTCCCAGTAAGTGAGCAGATTGGCAAGGCACCAAAAACAGACACTTTCCTCGTGGTCTCCAGCATTTTCCCATTGCAGAGTCTACTCTCTCTAGCCTTTTTGTGATTTTGTCTCATTATGATCTATTTACTGTACATTTTCATCTCATAGCATTTCAGCCTGTTGTCTACCATGCCTATCCTTTTAGCACTTTCCCTGCTTTCTGGACCCACAATAGATCTTTTTTTTTTTTTTTCATATTGGTTTATTTATCTTATATTCTTTCACCTCTCCCTGGTCTGTCTGTAGTGTTTCTCTTATACCTATATCTCCCAAATATTTGCTTTTTTTTTTTCTTGTTTGTTGCTTTCTTCCGTTGTCCTATTATGTTGTGTAGTCCTCCTGTGTTTTTCTGTCCCTTTTTTTTTTTTCCGTTCTCATTGCCTGTTTATCTCCCCGATCATGATGGTCACAATACTGACCTTTCACAAATGATTAATTTTCAGGCTGTGAGCAGGAATATCACTGGTTTACTAGGCAGCACAAGTTCTGTACATTTATTTTTTTGTTATATTCAAGCAACTGCTATCATAATAAACTGAATAATATTACAGTGCTTTGCTGCCATGCGCGCACACCTCAGGATTCTTCACAAGTCACTAATTAGCCCTTCATAGTGTGAAATAAGATTGGAGCATTTATAACCATGGTTTTACTAAACTATATTCCTCTGCTTTACCTGGTGTTAGAATGTGGTCTTCTGCCTCTTACACGTTTCACCCTGTTTTCAAACAAGGTCCAAAATCTATGCAAGATGGTAGCTGGGGCAGGGATGACATGGCTTGTGCTACTGGCCGACAGAGCAACTGGGAGGAGGAAGAGCTTGAGATAGGAATGTGGAACAACAATACATCGCAGGAAAACAACTGGTCGCCCTATATGAAGAAAATGCCTACAAAGGTAATTTTGTGGTTGTAGTTGTTGGGAAGCTGCAGCAGAGAGGTAAAGGCACCAGTTATATTTAGCTTGTAAATATGGTTACTCAACAAGTAAAATTGTACTGTTTGCTTACCTTGTTCTCTGCCTCTACTTGTTCATTATGACTTGTGTTAAAGCAGGAAACAAATTGAGCAGGCAAAAGATTTCATAGGATAAAATAGATAGTGGTAAATCCTCAAGTTGACCAAACTTGACACAAAGTATAGCTACCGCTATCAAGTTTTGTTACTTTCCCAACTCATCACTAGCAACAGCTTTGGCAATAAGGCATTATCTTAACTGTGGGATCCTCCATAGACATCAGTGTTGTAGTCTCTTGCATGTGTGAGAGTGCAGTACTGACTTGGGCTCCTGGCGGATGAAGTTCCAGGAGCTTAAGACTGATGGCGGCATCTGTGAGAGATGACATCAGGTAAGTATAACTCACCACTATACACAGTGGCAATATTAATTTGGGGAAGGGGAAGCAAAAATGCAAAGTCAGCAGAAGGTGACAGAGCCCCTTTAACACTTTGCCAGCTGGGTGAACTGTGCAATGCAAAGTGACATTTGCCTCACCACTTAACATTTTTCTCTCTTTCTTTATACAGGGAATGATGAAAAATACAAATAAGCAAGAGGAAAACTGGATGAATCCGATGTTAAAACAATTCAACAACATGGGATTTACAGTGAGTGGTTTTTTTCCTTCCTACTATGCTGCCAAGTGTAATTAAAATGTCTTCAGACAATGGAATAACAATGTCTGTCTGTGGTTGCAGAGGGAGTCTCAAGAGGACTCGATGCAGAGCAATAAGATGGATATGTCTGGAGGTACGTTTCATGGCAGGAGAGCTGTGGCTTTTTTTTCCTGTTACAATTATTTATATAGTGCCAACATATTCCACAATGCTGTACAATTGGTAAGCGAGGGCAGTCTATTATGACAAAAAGTTTGACGTATTGGAACATTAGGTGAAGAGGGCCTTGCGCAAATGAAATTGCACTTTAAATATTTGCTGATATACATTACTGTGTAACCTTCCTATATGCTGACCATCGGTCCAGTTAAAGGGACTTACCTTGGCCTCCGCTCACCCACCAGTATCACATTAGTGAGGTCTGCTCATGCCCCCCCTCTGACAATCATGGATTTTCTCTGCTTGAGGACTCTCCCCCAAGCAAGACAAACCTCCTCAGTGATGCTGACACGTTGGCTTCATTGCCAGTGTTCCAGAGCTTGAACAGAGTGATGTCATACCATTCTGTTCCAATATCCCCAACCCAGCATTGGTCTCTTCTGCTCTTCCTGTCACTCAGTTCCTTGGTTTTGAATGCCTACCGAGGAATTGAGACACAAATGCTTGAAAAACCTATTTTAATTGTTTTTTGCCCAATCTAGAAATTTGCTAGCAAAATTGCTGGCACAATGTGTAGATAGAATTTTAAGCTCTTTTTAAAGAGCTAAAATAGTGATTTTAATGTAATTACTGCATTTTACTAGTTTAGTGCTGCACAGTGTGCAAGGGGGGCAGCGGCCAGCTAAACATCGATTTCTGCACTATACCTTTAAGCAAAAGGAACCTTCAAACGTGACGTAAATAAATGGGTGGGAGCCAGCGATTGCTGTGTGCGAGTGCTGCAATAGTGTGTAAAAAATAAATAAAATTAAAAATTAAAGAAGGGTAGTGTAGCCACAGTGTGACTATAACTAGAATGGAGATTATATTTTCTCCAAATCTGCTCTTGTGGTTTTTTGGTTTGTGTAGTCAAATTTGTTACTGCAGCTGTACAAGTGAATGGGCTGGTGTATCATACAGTAATTTTACTCTTTATTCCATGCACAGGAATGCTGCCAGACAAGAGGATGGATATGGATAAACCTGGCCATGGTGTCGGGGATTACAGTCGTGTGGTTGGCAAAGGCCCAGGACCCCGACACTATTCCAAAGAGTCTTCCGTGGATCACAATCCTTACTTTGATAAGGTGCGTTCAGCCTTCCATATCTGTTACTTGACGTCCACTCTGAACACAATGCATGTCACCCAATGTGAAGCTTAGTTACGTGTTTCCAGAAGAGCGGGAGTAAATGTATATTGATGTTATAATAGCACAATTGATTCACATGCCTTGATTTTGTTTCTTTTTTTAAAATTAAACATAGCTGGCATGGCCCAAAGGTTGCCCTTGCCCCAGCTGTTTTGGAATTGTAACTCTGTAGAGCTAAGGGATCAGACTTGTTCTTTTAAAACAGCCAGAGGGAATACCTTTTTCCAACTCCAATTTAAAGGGACATCATGGATAGGTTGTACTAAATAAGATAGAGATATAGAATTCTGGCAACTGGTCAATAACTGGTCTGCGTCGGTGCACTGAATAATGACATGTGTGTGTAATTAAACATGTGTGTAAATTGTGTGGAATTGTGTGTGTGTGTGTGTGTGTAAATTAAATTTTGTGTGTAAAATTGTGTGTGTGTAAATTGTGTGTGTAATTGAAAATTGTGTGTGTGTGTAATTGTCTGTGTGTGTGTAAAATTTGTGTGTGTGTGTGTGTGTGTGTGTGTGTGTGTGTGTGTAAAATTATGTGTGTGTGTGTGTGTGTGTAAATTGTGTGTGTGTGTGTGTGTGTGTGTGTGTGTGTAATCTGTGTGTGTGTGTGTGTAAAATTGTGTGTGTAAATTGTGTGTGTGTGTGTGTGTGTGTGTGTGTGTGTGTGTGTGTGTGTGTGTGGGCCCTATGTGTGTGGGGTCTTAGTGTGTGTGTGTGTGTGTGCAGGGGGGTCTAGTGTGTGTGTGTGTGTGCAGGGCGTGCATAGAGGAGAATTATTGTGGGTCTGTGGGGTTTGAGGGTGGATTAATAAATATATCATTTAAAAAAAAAAAAAAGATAAATTTGATATCCCACTCCCAGCTTGCCTTTGCCTGGGAGGGGGGACAGTGCAAGGCATTTTTCCCATAACTATATTAACCTGTGATTTCTCCTGTGCTATTAACCTGTATTGAGACATTATACTGCTGTGTGGGCACTACTTATCCTGCTTGAAAGGAACTATTTTACTCTGTCTCATAGCAGCTTCCCCATCTCACTGTTAAACATATGGTCTGTGGTATTCAAAGCATTTGATGTCTTCACTACTGAGTTATACCTTTCCAGATACAATCATGTTATAATAGTGTGTTGTAGGGGTTAGTAGAAAAAGGAATTTAATTCAACAGTCCAACTACCATGGTGCTAGGAATAGTATGGCCCTGTCCAATGGTAAGTTGTAGAATCATTTTAGTACAATTTGACACATTGCCTAGATCCAGCCAGGTCCCTGTGGCTGCATTACTGCCGGAGAATATGGATTGCTCTACAGAGCAAAACGGGGCCATGCTGGACTGCACTTACTGTCTGACAGCAGCAGGTGAGCTCTGGCTGGCTCTTCCAGCAGTAGAAGATAGGACATGCTATAGGCGCCCAGGTAAGTGTTCAAACCGCACTAAAAGGGCTTGACTGCTTGCCTTGGATGACACCAGGGCACTGCTAGTACCATAATCACTATTGCATGTTTTATTTGTTACATTGCATGGACTGTTCTTTTAAGGTCTTTGAGCTCCTTCTTAAGTATACCCAGTTCTAGTAGTGAAGAGGTTAATCTCTGCTTTGCGCACTGCTCTAACTTGTTGTTCTCTGCTTCTTTTTCTGCTTTCATCACGTTGAATCCTTTTGTGTGTCTGCTTCGGGATATCTGGCTTCCTTCCTCACTGTCTTCCTTCATTTTGGGTTCTGGCATTGGTCTCCCACTTTATCCCCTCCACCAGGATGGCACTGTAGCAGAAGAGCAGCAAAGCATGCAGTATATATCCAATCAGAACATGAAGCTTCCCCCTTTAAATAGTGCACTACCTACTCAATCCCCTGGCTCTTTCACAGGACTGGGAATGCCAAATGCCAATTCTGTGAGACAGGTGAGTCTGTTGGGAATCCATCTCTGCACATTTTTTTAGGGTGCATCAGTATAAGCCTCACCTCTATTTACTGCATGCATAAAGTACATGAACCTCCATTCCACACAAAGTGGGACTAGCCCTGCCTTGTCATCTCTTATGGGCATTCGTGTTTAACTACACTGAGGTGGAGATGACTCTCCCCAAACAACCAGCCATTTGTCATCAACACTGTGCTGTTTCAATATAAAGGGAGTGTGTTAAATCATTATGATGCAGGGTGGCTAGCAAGATATGGTACCCCAATAATGCCACCTTATTCTAGGTTCTTGTCTTGTTCCGCAAATGGTGAGACAGCTGACCAGCTAATCTCTTCATAAACTGCATCTTCCATTGGACTCCCACTGCCTAAAGTGCTTGTGGTTGCTGAGAATCAAGGGAATTGTAGTTAATCGTTCTGCTTCTATGCTATACATTATTTGCTATTCTTGCACTGTCAGGTTGTTTAAAACATACTGCATTATTTCCCACAATTCATGAGCCTGTGAAAGAGCAAGTTTTATTATTTTAGAAAACATTTTTAATTTAACCCTTTAAGAGTGACCGGGTTGTAGCATGCCTTCATCAGCTCGCTACCACTCATTGGGTTATTGAATTCTTTTTGGCTTGTGTGCCTAAAGCCATTAAAACTGTGGGAGGAGTCCTGCACCAGTTTGGTTGCAAATAGTCAGTTGCACCTCTCTCTCCCCCCACAGAATGGCAATCCTAACATGTTCGGTGTTGGCAATGCAGCACAAGCCAGGGGCTTGCATCAGCCTTCAGCACAAGCTCTCAACTCATCTCAGCCTAATCTCCGTGCACAAGTGCCTCCTTCTATAATACCCCCTCAGGTAGGTTTGTGTAAAGCTGCCTCCATTTATATGTGTGTTTTATTTATATAAACTACAGATGTAGTCAGGCTTATGTTTTGACCACAGAACAGAGGGGGAGGCACATTCAATGCGATGATATATCAACCTTATTCCAAGAGGGTCTGAAGGTTTTAGTTTGTTACTGGTCCCTGTCCAATAGAACTTATATTCTGCATTAAGAAATGGTGTAAAAACGCATTCCAATATGTTGGCTAAAGGCAGACATGCTGTGTTTGTGTTTACACTAGTTTTGCCAAACACTCGATGACATTGCAAAGTGGCTGTTTTTATGGGGGTTTTTTTTTTCTGTAGGCAATGTTAGTTCCACATCCTCAAAACTGTGTATATTAGCTTGTTTTGGTTTTTAATTTGAAACAAGACAAGTGTAGTGGTAACCTCCCTTTGACTATTATTCTTACCGAAGCGAACTCCAAAATGGATAGTGATGCTTGCATAGCAGACCCAAAGTACACATTTTTACAGAAACTGTTTTAGTTCAGCCGTTTTCAAGCGCATGATGTATGCTGTTAATCATGTTTGTTTTTCTTTTAACTTGAGCAATTATTTTTACTTTGGGCCATTTAAAGCTGTACTCGGGTTGTTTTACCTCAGTCAAGACATTTTTATATATATATGCTTTCCCATATGTAGATGTAATTTTATTGAATGGCCTTTTGAGTAGAGTGTTTTTAGTATTTTAAATTGTTGAACTACATTGTGTTGTCGGTGATAGTTGTTCTCAAAATGCTTTGAACCTATTGCAAGGTTTGGAAGACCGAATACAGTATAATTAAAGTGACCAGTTAAACTGTTTTTCGGTCAGGCTTTTGGGGGTTTGTAATCTGCACATAGTGTTCTAACATGTGCTAATAATGTGTCCTATTTTTAGATGTACCATTAGAATATGTTGTGTTACTTTTTTACCAAATCAGTATATATGTTACGAGTAGGTGATGCCTGTTTAATATTACTCACCTTGCTTCCATGTGCTTTCTAGCTATTTACATTTTTTGGTGGGCCTCATCAATTGCACAATTAATCTCCCAGAAAATTATTTTATTGGCCAACCAATCATAAAATGTTGTCAGAAATTCACGAGACTCTCCTTATTGGCTGTGTTTATCGTGGGAATGCACCCTAGAAGCTAACTGTTTTATTTTAACATGCCCTCAGAATTCATTAGACTGTTACGATTGTATTTTAGTGGTCTTTCTAAATTGTTTGGTCTAATCACTTTATTGCAGCTTCCTATATCCCATACAAAATTTGAGGTTTACATATTTAATTTATTTTAAATTTGCTTTCCATGACACCACAAACCAAATAAATCTTGGAATATCAATTGTCGATCTTTGGACAGAATTCATTGGCTAAAGAGTCAGCGGATATTCATAGCCAATGAATTCCATCCATAATTGTATAATAGTCTTAATGCTAATGTGGAATGGGAGTTTTTGCTTCAGTGACATTTGTAAAGAGGGTCCAGAATTTTGGTGTCGTTTGTAGGTGTTTTGACTGTAAAAGGGATATTTTGAGCACCATAACCACTACAACATGCAGTTGCAGTTATAGTGCAAGCAGCCCCTGGTGCCTAAGCATGGCCGAGTGAAACGGTTTTGGATTGTTTTTACACTTTGTCTCCAGACACCCCTAGATTGATATCACTTCACAGAAATCACTAAAGCAAAATATCCCACCTGTACTCTCATATCTATATAGCAAACAGATTCTTTCCAAAGACGGTCAGTTCATATCACTAATGATTACATTCTTTCTAATGCTCTCTGCTAATGAAATCTGTCCTGAGACAGCTGTAATTGATATTGTTTATGCGGAGGCACTTCCACTTTAGCAATATCTGTGAATAGAAGCTGTAGCACAGCTTCCTGGTTAACCCGGGAAGATGTATTGAAAAACAGTATAAGTGTTAGTGATTATGGTGCTTGGCGTACCCCTTTAATTTTTATTTGTGTTCTTCACTAAACATTAAACTTCATATAACAAAAAAGAACACACGCTGTATAAACTTTCCTATGCTGCCATTTTTGGCAGACCTTATTGCATTTCACAATGCTTAGCTGTTTAATTTTAAATTCCCAGACTAAAATAATGAACCATTTTCACTGGTTACTGCTACCCACAAGTGATATTTAGCGTTCTCCTGTGTGTCCACAGAGATCCTTGTTCTGTTTAGTACAGAAAGGATATTTTCTTACTTTGTCATTCATCTGTATTTTTGATCACAGGGTTATGCCTTAAAATGCTCATTGGCTACAATTTTAAACATAATTTTATGTTTGGGATTGTACTGCAGGTTGGTGCTCATTCTTTCAGTATATTGGAGCTTTTATACCTTATCAGTGTAAAGAATACAGTACACCGTCCTCCTGCCGCAAGTGCATTAGACCCTCCCCATAGGAAAGCATTGCTCCAATAATTTCCTATGCGGTTTTCTCTGATGCTGGATGTCCTCATGCAGAGCGTCAGGACGTCCAGTATCAGGCGACCAAAAGTCACCAAGCAAGCAGGAAGAGCCTCTAGTGGCTGTCTTAGTCCAGCAAAGTAATCATTCTATTTTCTCAAAAATGTAAATGATTTGCATTGCAAAACTAAGGGGGACAGGGACATTGCACCCAGACCACCTTCAATGAGCTGAAGTGGTCTGGGTGCCTATAGTGTCCCTTTAAAATATTTTCATATCCTTGAAACGGGATCACTCATTTTTTGTATTGCGTCTTTTGATGTTTGCTGGGAAATGTAATCTATGAATAATACAATGCCAAAGATCATCAAGAAGTTCTATAAACCTGTTCCAATATAATTTTCCTACTTTTTTCTCCCAGGTTCCGCCTTCCCTTTTGAAGTATCCGCCAAACAGTAACAACCTAAACCCCATTCTTGGGCCTCAGCAAGTTGCCATGTTGAACCAGCTCTCCCAATTAAACCAGCTATCCCAGATACATGTAAGTTGAAGGAATGTTGGCTTGACGGCATACTTTATGTTGGAGAATGTGTTTTGTTTGATTGGATTGTTCCTCTATGAAGATTTTCTTTTAAAAGCCTTTCCCTTTACTTATTTGTTTACAGATACTATAAGCACCAAAACAACTGAAGCTTAATGAAGCAGTTTTGGTGTATTGATCATGTCTGTGCAGGTTCACTGCTCAATTCCCTGCCATTTAGGAGTTAAATCCCTTTTTTTTTTTTTTAAATAGTCTCATCTGCATCTGAATTGCACAGCTTTCCTTAACACTTCCTGTAAAGAGAAATCTAATGTTAAACAGTGATTTAACTCCAAAATGGCAGATAATTGAGTAGTAAGACTGCATGGGGCATGATCTGTACACCAAAACTGCTTCATTAAACAAAAATTGTTTTGGTGTCTATTATGCACCTTTAACATATTTCAGTAGGTTTTTAGAATGGATTGAATTTTGTGTGTTTTACATAGACATTGTTACAAAGCTGAAAATAGACTTGTGTCCATCAAGTTCAGCCTTCCTCACATGTTTTTGCTGTTGATCCAAAAGAAGGCAAAAAACCCAGTCTGAAGCGCTTCCAATTTTGCAACAAACAAGAAAAGAAAATTCCTTCTTGATCCCAAAATAGCAGTCAGATGTCTCCTTGGATCAAGCAGCTACTACCCCACTAATTAGAAATGATATCCCTGTATGTTATGTTTTTGCAAGTATTTATCCAATTGCAGTTTTAACATCTGTATGGACTCTGATAAAAACCACCTCTTCTGGCAGAGAATTAGATATCCTTATTGCTCTTACTGTAAAAAAAGACCTTTTCTTTGCCTTAGATAAAATCTCCTTTCTTCCAGCCTAAATGTGTGACCTTGTGCCCTATGTATAGCCCTGTTTGTGAATAGATTTCCAGATAATGGTTTGTACTAGCCCCGAATAATGTTATTTGTATAATGTTATCATATCCCCTTCCGATCCCAGGAGACATCTGACTGCCGTTTTTCCAAATTAAAGAGATTTAAATTGTTTTAACATTCCTTATATCAATTTTGTAGCTCGTCTCTGCACTTGATATCCTTTCTTTAGAATAGGTGCACAGCATATTCAAGGTGTGGTCTTACCAGCGATTTATAAAGAAGCAAAATTCTATTTTCATCTCAAGAATTTATGCCCCTATTTATACATGACAAAACCTTACTGGTCTTAGCAACTGCAGATTGACATTGCATATTGCTGCCTAATTTATCTATAACAATTCCCAAATCCTTCTCGTGTGTTGTTATCCCTAATTCACTACCATTTAGGGTGTAAATTGCTTGTGCGTTCCTGACCCCGAAGTGCATAACTTTGCATTTCTCTACGTTAAATTTCATCTGCCATTTTAGTGCCCAGTCCCCCAATCTATCCAAATCCCTCTGCAGCAAAGCAATATCCTGCTCACATTTTATTACTTTACAAAGTTTGGTGTCATCTGCAAACACTGATACATGGCTTTCAATGCCCATTTCGAGATCATTTATAAATGTTAAATAGAAGCGGTCCCAAAACAGAACCCCGAGGGACACCACGTACCACTTTTGTCCAGCCTAAGAAATGTATCATTAATGACAACAGTTCAGTGTTTTAAAAGTTAGGGCATAATAATTGCAAAATTTAGCAGCTGCATTGAATGGTTAAAAGTAATGCTCTCTTATATGTCACTGTAACATTCTTTTCCTCACAGCGCCTGTTGGCTCAACAGCAGAAGGTGCAGAATCATAGAGGAATGTCCTCCGGAGGTCGTCAGCAGCAAGAACAGGTATGCAGCTCTTTTCTACGGTCATCTGCATAATCCATCACATTCAATCAATTTATATAGCAGAGAGAAAGCAGACAATTTACCTCTTTATTTTAAATGTGTTTTTTTTTAATATACACTTTTCTGTTAAGTGCTCCCTTTTAATGCTTGCAGCACTGACCGCCTGGAAATTTACTGTATGTGTCCTGTAATTAAATGGTTAAGATGGGGGGAGGGAAAAAAAGATAGTTGGTTGCACAAAGAGGTTTATCGCCTCTGTGAATCCTGTATATGTCCCAATAAAATGCTTTGATAAATTGTATTGATGAGCATGTGCACACTGTTTCCAGGCCCGGTCATTTGGTATGCAACAACAGCAGGCACGTCAGCTGGAGCCAAATCTTCTGATGAAACAAGCTATGCCACAGTCTCAGCAGAGCATGCACCACCAGCCTCCAATGAAGTCGTATGTGGAGAACATGTTGCCCCGCTCTGCCCCAGACATACCAAAAGTACCTTCACCAATCAATGCGTATAACAGTTTTGGATTAGGTAAGTACTGGGGTGTCTAATTCATTCTGGTATAAAAACAATATTCCAGTCTTTTTTTCTTCGTGGCGTATAAGTGGGACCCATATATGTTGATCAGACAAAAATAAAAGCATGCATCACCAAACAATTTGACCCATTTAAATTTTGTTTGATTTACTGTTTTTTTGATATTCCACCTGAAGGGGGCATTGTTTCCTATTCAGTGAGAGGTCAAAAACATTGATAGTGACCTAATTATACCTGATATTTAAAGTTGTTTTGTTTAACTGAGCAGGAATAATCCTGTCTCGAAGTGTAGTTAAATTGGTGGTGTTTCACTGTTATTAATGAAGCCCAAAGAAATGATAAACATATACAGTAAACAATTCTGCGGACTAGCTGCATTTGGAGTATAAAAACTCCCAATAAAATACAGAAAGAAAAAAAAAACAGCCAGTAAACCGTTAGGGAAAGAAAGTTTACTCTCTCTTCCTTTGCAGTTAAGGCCAATAGCGTTCTGTATTGAGGGTGTTCTAGTTGTAAAAATGTTTGGGGAAAAGAGGACCTACATGATCCAGTCTGATGTTACTGCCCTGTAGTAATTGTCTGTCATCTGACCTTAGGCTTAAACCCCAACCTGGGTGTAAATATGGATCTTGGAGGGATGAAGGAGCCTGAGTCACGACTGAGGAAGTGGACAACCGTTGACAGCATGTCGTCTAACTCATCCCTGGATCATAATTCCAGTAAACATGGTAAGATGCTTCTTGCGGGTCAAAAACACATTTCAAAACCATTAGCCTATTGGAAACACAGTTAATTATGTCACATCCTTTTCTGTTAAGCACAGGGCCACAATTCTTGTCTTCCCACACCAATTGTGTGCATTTCTTTACATCCTAAATTTATGGTTAGGGGGTTCCCAATGAACCCTTTGACATAGTGTATCAACATTGTGGAAGCCCCGGGATAGGGGGGAGAGAAGAGAAACAAATGGCGCCATTATTTTGTAAGTGTCGGTGTGTATTTCTGTGTTTGTATATGTATATCTGACACACAGCTATACACACACCTTGACACACAATATGTACCTCTCTATGTGTGTATATGTATCTGTGTGTCAAGGTGTGTATCTGTTTGTATATATGTGTATGAATCTGACACATACACACACACACACCTTGACACACAGTGTGTACGTATGTGTGTATCTGCCAGTGTGTATGAATCTGATGCACACACACACGGGGCACATATATGCAAACACCTTGACACACCATGTGGGTATGGATGTATTGATCTGTGTGTCAAGGTGTGTATCTGTGTTTGTATGTGCCAGTGTGTATGAATCGGACACACAGATATACACACACAGATGTGCACACGGACACTGAAACAAACACCTTGACACACAGTGTGCATCTGTGTGAGTGTGTGTCTGTGTGTGTATATACCTGACACACAGGCGCACACACACACAGGCACATAGTGGCGCGCACACACACCTTGACACACAGATATACACACTGGCACATACACACACTGATAACCACTGACACATACACACACACACTTCCTGAGTGGTGGGCGGCAAGGGAGCAGTGATCACCCTGCTCAGCTCCTTCGCACGCCTCTTACTGATGCCGGAGTGACGTCCTATTCCGGCTCCAGCATTACTGCTGTGAGCGCGAGGGAGTTGGGCAGGGAGATTACTGCTCCCTCACTGCCTGCGGCCATTTTATTTTTTAGAATTTTGGTGGAACCCCACTTACTCATACTGTTTACTTCTATTAAATATCCTTGCTTTTTACTCTTGCCATGTACAGCAGAATCTCTTCCTCACGTAACACTTCCAACAGCTGTCCACCATTCTGCTATCCTCTGCAATTGTCTGGCTCTCCTGCATGCAGTTAAACTTCTCTGCTGGTGATCTAGCCTCATTGGAGTTCTAGTCCGCAACTGGTGTCACAAGTTGCCAGGCCAGTGTCCTGATGGCTCACATTCTAGCCACTGCAAGCATAATCTGGAGAACATCACTGGCACAGAGGAACTGTGCATGTTTTCTGTTGAGTTTTTCGTGACTCTGTGATAAATGTGTAATATTTTGCTTCCTTGGTGTAGGTGCTATTGCAAGTGGTTATAGGCTTGAAGATTCTCCTTTTGGATCTTATGATTTCATGAATGGCAGTAACTCTCCATCCAGCCCTCCAGGATCCATAGGAGATGGCTGGCCCAGTGCCAAATCGCCAAGTGGCTCCAGCAGTGTCAACTGGCCACCTGGTGAGTGACCATCTCATCCCATGATTTGTCCCAGAAATGTAGTTACCTGCATTTTGAGTTGAAGGGACTCTACTGTCTAAATAAAAAAATAAATGAAAATAGCTGTTTAGTAGATATATACCATGAAAACATGCAATTTGCAAGCACATCATTTGTAACCCCGCCCAGACTTTCTGTGGCTGTCCAATCACAGACTTCCCAATACAGCTCAATGAGAAGTCTTTGCAAGGCAGGTGCTCTGGGTAATTACTGGCCACTGAGCTAAACCGCAAGGGGTTATCCGGACCGACTGTCTGATTTACAGCCAGGAGTGTGTAACAAGGTTTATTTATAAAAGTGCCAAATTCTATACAAATCTGTAATTTAAAAAAAAAAAAAAAACTCTTCACACAAGGCACTTCAACAAGATGAAGTGCTTTAATGCTCTGGACTGTCCCTTTAATGTAATCTAATAGAAAAAAATGCACTGTGTGTAGAAGACGAACAATAAAAAAAAAAATGTTGATAATAAACTTGCTCTACTTGATTGCCATAATGCAAGGCCAATATTTATTGATGAGTATTGATATTGGATGATAAAATCCAACCGTTCTTTATTCATGTCTTAATTTTTCCCAAATACCAGTTTGATCGTCCATGATTTGCAGTGCATGAAAATTGATCCCATGAATTTGTAGAAACCCATACCATGCTGCATTAAAAACCAAGCACTGCACTTCCTCTGGGATCCATTTTCCGATTTATTTTAATCCAGCATTTGTGAATTGTAGTTAAATGGTGCTGCATTCCTCCATCTTTAACCAGTTTGTTCCTTTGCAGAATTCCGCCCAGGTGAGCCATGGAAAGGATACCCTAACATTGACCCAGAAACTGATCCTTACGTCACTCCTGGCAGTGTCATCAATAACCTCTCAATTAATACTGTGCGGGGTGTGGACCACCTCAGGGACAGAAACAATGGTATGTATCTCTCTTCTTCCTCACATGTAGTCCTCATTCTAGCTTCACCTATGTCACAGCAAAGGGCAGCGGGGTGAGCAATACCGATTACTCTCTTTTCCTCTCTTCTAAGGGTCATCCTCATCTCTGAACACCACGCTGCCTTCAACTAGTGCCTGGTCATCCATTCGTGCCTCTCACAGCAGTACAGCACAAAGCACTTCAGGTGTGCAGGATACAGAGCAGCCTGACTGTTTTATGATCCAACAGAGTGCTTTCTGCAAGTCTGTGCATGTGGACAGGGCTGGACCACTATCTCATGCTCCCCTAGCAATAGGGTCTTCAGTGCCCACTAATGTAGTGTTATTGCACCCTTAAACAAAAATATAAGAAACCAGGGCACTAGTGTCTGATTTCGTACTGCAGTTTTGTGTTCGAATCCACTGAATGACATAGAAGCCAGCATGTGCCTCATTGGTAAACCTACCATGAGCTTGGTGCTACTGTACTGGGTGACACATAATTTAGCATAATTCCCACGTCCGAGTGCTCCCTGAGCTCTGCCATTAGTTTTATGGCCATTAGTTTTATACCCCCATAAAGTCCTAAACAATAATGAGAAGTGAACATTTTAAATCTATTTGAACATATTTAATCCAGATTTGTTCTTCTAATCCGACTTCTGCATTATTCCAAGTCTGAGGAGCATTATCTCACTGAACTGAAAATACCTGTTTAATGACTTTTCTCCTTTTTTGTGTGTTAATTAGACATTTGCTTATTAAGATTGCATTTTATTTTGGAACATATTTTCTAAATAGACCATATCTCGAAATTATGTATTTTCTCTTTAACTCTTTTGGTCTCCATGTGTTAATTTGCAGTGCTGGGATATTTTACAGATTTTGCAGTAATTTCTCAATCAGTTTTCAGAGCTTTAAAAAAAATAAAAATTTGGTTTTCTAATATTTCTCTATATATTCTATAAGAGTTCATACCCAGCTGAACTCTGGGGAAAATCCATAAATTCATATTTTATCTCTTAATGATATATATTTAACAACAATTTTTCCTGCTTGCAGTTCGAAATAATGACCCCAAACAAGCTTGGTCTCCCGGTTCCATTGGAAATACTTCCCTGGCCCATGAACTGTGGAAAGTCCCTTTGCCATCGAAAAACTTCAGTGCTCCGTCCAGGCCTCCCCCAGGGCTGTCCAGTCAGAAACCACCTCCTATATCCACCTGGGAAGGCAACTCTCTGCGTCTAGGTGGCGGATGGGGAAATTCTGACTCCAGATACACACCGGGTAAAACTATTCTCCTATTTAATCTTTCCACACAAACCCGTTATAACAAAATGGAAAATAGATCTTTAAAACCTACCTTAAGAAATATGGCAATTTCCTCATAGACTCAAAAGGTGTGTTTTTTTTTTTTTTTGGTAATTCAGATTATAATATGGATATATAGTATATATAACGCAAATGATTCCTAGTTTGTGTGCAAGCCGTTAAGTTGTGTGACAATGAGATGAGCAATGAGGCACCCAGTTTAGAAATGTTTCCCTTTAGTTTGTGCTTTGTGACATTGTCATTTAACCAAAGTGTGTTTGTCTGAGTGATGTGATAAATGAAACGGTGATAAATTTACAATTTTGAAGTCCTATGCTACTAGTCAGGCCTTAAAGCGGCATTGTCATGGCTGCATATAGCAGTCACAGTAGGAGCAGATTAATTACTAATAAGTAATATTAACTTAGTATTAGTAAAGTTGGCTGAAAGACCAATCTTCCAACAGGAAGTGGGTCAAAGCTGGTCAAGCGTAGGAAAAATACATAAGACAAAATAGTCACTACTTTGTCTTCTATTTTAAAGAAAACTAGAGCAGATAGTAAGGAAAGAACACCACATCCTTAGAGAGGAGAGGAAGAGATTGGGGAAAAGTAAGTTCGGCTTGACAGTGCCGCTTTAAATGATTTTTGCCCTTGTAAGTCACAGTATGCTCATCAGGGGTGAATTTCTATTAAATGTTCACTTGTCAATGGCTAGAGGAAATGTTAAAGGAACACCATCACGTTAGGAATACAAATATGTATTCCCAACACTGTAGTGCCCTAGTAACTGCCAGAGTAAAAGGTGATTTACTTACCTTTTAGCCCTTGCCATGCCAACCTCTTCCGTGTAACTCCGCCTCGTTGATATCAGGCAATTTAATGCTTTCCTATAGGAAGGCCTTGGAAGACGTTTAGATCTAGATCTCTTCTGTCATGGAGCAATGGGTGTCTTCAGGCGATAAAGTTTACTATGTGCCTCATTCAATGCTCCAAAGTCTAGTTTGTAAAGATGCAAAATCCTGTTCCTCTGTTCTTTGTAAGATGTATTTGTCTGCTGAAGAAATGAGAACAGTAAATGGAGTTGCAATTTAACAGACTAGAAGGTCACACTATCAGAGAGGTTCTGCAATGTTATAATGGTAGTACCCGTGGAGGAGTTCCCCTAATGTTGTTTTTTTTTATTTTAATATAAAGAGGTGTTTTGAAATCTTGTTTTGTCAAGTTATCTTGTTTTGAATTTTATAAAATCTGTGTTGGTCAGGTTCTGCTTGGAGTGAAAATGGCTCAGGGAGAATAACTAATTGGCTAGTTCTGAAAAACCTTACACCTCAGGTAAGTAGGTATAAGTATAACCATAATGCATTGTATTGTTTCCGCCATTGGGGAGAGGCTCATGTTGCCTTTTTTTACAGATTGATGGCTCTACCTTGCGTACTTTATGCATGCAGCATGGACCTCTGATTACATTCCACCTAAACCTGCCATATGGTACTGCTCTGGTCCGTTACGGTTCCAAGGAAGAGGTTGTAAAGGCACAAAAGTCTCTGCACATGTAAGTAACGTCTTCCATCGTCTTTATTCACTCTCCCATTTTTATTTCAAACTTTTGCCAGTTGCTTTTTAGTGACTTCCAAGCTTCTACTTATCTAAAAGTATATGATAATGAGTGTAGAAGTAATGTAACAACAAAAAATAAAAACCTGTAAAACCAATTTGGATGTGTTCCTGTTGCTTGACATTCTTCATTATGGGCATGTTTAGGGAGTAGTGATGTCCCGAACGGTTCGCCGTGGACGGCGAACATATGCACTGTTTGGTCTGCCCCCTATGTCATCATTTAGTAAACTTTGACCCTGTACCTCACAGTCAGCAGACACATTCCAGCCAATCAGCAGCAGACCCTCCCTCCCACCTCCTGGACAGCATTCTTAGTGAGCTGTCCAGGAGGTGGGAGGGACTGCTGCTGATTGGCTGGAATGTGTCTGCTGACTGTGAGGTACAGGGTCAAAGTTTACTCAATGATGACATAGGGGGCGGACCGAACAGCGCATATGTTCGCCGTCCGTGGCGAACTGTTTGGGACATCACTATTAGGGAGCATTGACTATTTTAATAGGATTGCTTGCTATGTCTTGGAATATATTAACCTACTAAAACTATTGTCTTGTAGGGATATATTATTTTAATTTTTTATTTATTATAAACTGGCATTACATTTTCTGTAAATTATTATTTTTTTTGTACAGGTGTGTTTTAGGGAATACTACTATCCTTGCCGAATTTGCCAGTGAAGAGGAAATAAGTCGTTTCTTTGCACAAGGCCAGTCAATGACCCCCTCCTCTGGCTGGCAGTCCGTGGGGTCTGGGCACAGCCGGCTAGGATCCCTAGATAGTCCACACAGCATCTCGAACCGCGGAGATATCAATCACTGGAACAGCCCTGGTGCTTCTAGCACGAGTTCTGGAGACCATCATGGCACTTCTCTGTGGGCTACCCCAAACTATTCCACAAGCCTATGGGGAACCGCAAGCAGTGAGGCTGGTGGTATGAACAGCCCTTCCCCTGTTGGCGGTTTCCTTCCTGTTGATCACTTAAGTGGAGAGCCCATGTAGCACTTCACATATGACCTCAGATTATTTTATTTTGTTTTAAATTTTTTACTTAAACAGCCCAAGGCTGGACTGTTCATCAAAACGTCTGCAGACTCTGCGGACTGCTCTTCTGCACACTTCCCACTTTTTGTTTTTAGCCCAAAACATATCAGTTTGAAATACTTGAATCATGCAAGCCAATGTTATAATGTGAAAAATAATTCTATATTTACACTTCCACATTAGTGCTATTCATATTTTAGCTGCATAATGAGCTGTGTATTCATATGTGGGTTTTGAATTCCAGATTTAAACCTCCTTATCCCCCAATACCCTAGAATGTTTCTTCTGACTATGTTTGAGCTACATAACATTTTGCACTGGATGGTGCTTCGTACTTTTTGTTCGGAATTTATCAGAAGCAGCAGCCCAAGTGTGTAACTGTTTACTCTAATGTGTACTTAAAAGAGAAACAAAAATAACTGAATAATGCTTGTTCTTTCTAAGATGCCTTGATGTACCTACCTTATTGTGGTATTCTGAAGTTTTAACTACCTTCCAGTGACCGAGCACAGTTCAGTGACTTGTTGTAGAGCAGTAAGTCACTGATGTCTCCAACACTGAAAGCTGTTTAGGAGAACTGACGGTTAAAACCTTGTTTTTAAAAATAAAAGTATTGCACCAGGTTTTCGTGACTAAACCTTATAGACTTTAGCTCTACGGTTTTAATTAAAAAAAATTAAAAAAAAATTAAAAAAATATATATATCGTTTAAAAAAAAAAATATAAAAAGAAAAACACAAAAAAAAATTTAAAAAGAAGAAAAAAAATCTAGCGGCCACAGCTGTCATATATACCCTACGTGTGCAAGTGGGGGAGCAGCACTTTCAAACGGCTTTGCATTTTTTATTTTCGAGGTGCCAGGTTTGGAGCCTCTTGTTTACAAAATGTTTGTTTTTCGGTTGGGGGTGGGGGGGGATTTTTTTTTTTTTCCAAATGTTTACTCTTCCATGAGTTTAAGAAAATATGATAATTCTGGTGAGGATTTTATCTCTGGGAGTCAAACAGTGTTGGTTGTGTTCGCTTCCCCTCCCCCTCTTTATTTTGTGTGATTTTTTTTTTTTTATTTTTTTTTTAACTTCTAAATCATTGGGGAAAATAAAGAACATGGCTCTCAGGAATAATGACATAGGTAACGCTTCCCTTCTCCCCCATGTAAGAAAAATAAACTTTTTTAAAATATAGACAAAAAATAAAAAAAATCACTAGAAAAATGCAACTCTTGGCACTAACCGTGCTAATTTTTCTCAAAGACTTATTCCTCTCTGCCAAAAAAATCCCTGAGAAAGCTTTCTTAAGCCAAGATGAGAACATACCTTTGCTTTCATGCTGTCTTTTTAGTGAGTAGTTTTGAGATTTGCAGAATGCAATGTAGGGTTGGATCTTTATGTTAAGTGGCTCCTCGCCTTGTCTCTGCTTTGTGATAGTGTTTTTATTAATGTTTTTTTGTCCTTTTTTTGAAATTTTATTTTAAGAAAGCCGATTATTTAGTAACTATGCACACTTATGCACATTGTAACCAAGTACTGGGCTAAACAATTTACTTGTGTGTTGTACAAAAAGAAACTGTGTTTTTAAATGTTTAGAAGTTAATGATTGCAAAGGAACAAGTTACATATTGTTTTGTGTTTGCCATAAATGGTATTATGCTTGTTTGGTCAAAGAAAAATGAAAAACTGAACAAGGGGTAAAATAGTTGTGTAAATACCAACCTTAACCCTTTCACCTTATACTCAGGGCTGGAAATCTACCAGCAGGTACACTTCCACTTAAAATTGTAACCTCTGCCTTCTTGGGTAGATTCTTAGTCCATGCATTAACAGCTTCTTTCCTGGAAAGATAGGGAGATGCTTTTATAAATGAATCGTTTTCTGGCTCCGCTACGTGGGATTAGGGTTAAGAGTAGTGATTCCTATGTGCACTTTGTTTTCGGAGCAGTCCAGCACTAAAACTTCGTTATAAAGGGGTAAAATATGGAGCTGCAGTTTGTATGGGAACAAAAGTTGCTCAGTGGTTATTGCAGGGTGTGTTTTACTGTATTCTTAACTCATATGGTGCTGGACCACTCGTAGAATATTGCTTATTGGGAACACTGGTTTAAAAGTCTCCTCTCACTTACTACTTAGCAGAGTCCTTTATCCAGGTTCCCTGGGCATGGTGAAATGGTTAATGTTTAGCCTCACTCCTGTAGGCCTTGGGGTTTTTTCATGAAAACAGGATTTTACCACAAGTTCTAAATAAAACAGAAATAATTTTACAGAATTGATATTTGGGATAAACAAGCCAGGATTTGTTTAAGTTGCCTTTTTTTTTTCTTTTTTTTTGCGTGTGTTTTTATTATACTTTTTAAGCATAATAGAAAAAAATAACACAAGGTGCATTAATTTCTTATGAATTCCATGTTGTATTCTCAAATCCTGGCAGAGCTGTATATCCCAAGAATTGATTTCAAAAGCGCTCTTGGCATGTTACACCCGCACATATTGCCATTTTCTCATTGCCTTGATTCTTTGTGTCAGCCGATACAAATCAACTTGTGGCTTTTTAACTGTTTACAAATAGAAAAATGATTGTACATTTTACAATTTTTTTTTTTTTTTAATTTGATGAAGTTTGAGATTAGTGAACCATGTATTTTCGCTGCTTAGCATTGGGTAGGTTTTATTTTCCTGTGATTTTATTTAGAAGCTGGTTTTAATGCAGTCTGAAAAAAAAATACAAATATACTTGGACTGTATTTAGTGTTGTGAACTGTGTTAAATAATCAGAGGAGAAGTGTAATATTTTTAAATGTTGTACAAGGCAAACACTTCAGCGTTTGTTCCTGGTATATAAATATTATAGCCTTAGTTTATTTGGGATCACCTTAAACAGGATTCTGCCAGAACATGATTCTAAATACTATTATCCTGCACTAAGCTCGTAACTTGAAACTGTACAGGACACAGCCGCTTGGAAATTACATTTCTTGATGTTAACACTTGAGTATGCTTTTACCGCCTTTATACCTCAGTTAAAGAACAACCCAGCAATGACTAAATAGCAGTTTTGTTGCTTTCCTGTTTGTTTGTCCAGCAGATTTTGTCCTGCTTTTTTGTAGTGCTTGAGGGCACAACAGTGTTTGTAATATGTAGCTAGACAACTCTAGTGTAAATCTGCCAATGAGTGAGCTGTGATCCTCGTTAAGGTAATCATTTCAAATCAGCCTTCTATATTTCAATAAAACTTTATCTGTAACTTATTACAAACAGTACTGTAGTGAATCCTAGGCCTGCTGTTTTTTTGGGTTGTCTTCAATGGTGTTACTATGCGATGTGTCGCAGGACCCTCACAAACAGCAAAAAGGATTAACGTGTGTGCGCCAGAGAGGCCTACAATAATCACATTTCAGGTCTCTTTGATTTAATGGGGCTTGATCTTGGAAAAAAATAATTTAAAAAAATTAATAAAAATATATAAAATAAAAAAATACCAAAGCTAGCTTTGTGACACTTCCCAGGAGAACGATTTTAATCTTTCTCAATGATTAGCTGCCCTCCAAACAAATAAATTGGAGTGTTTATTTACATTATGTTATGTTGTGTATCGTTCAAATGCTTGAATGCTTCCTGTTTTATTTTTGTTTGTTTTATGACGCTTGTTATGTATTAAATAAAGTATGGTTGCTCTTAACATCAGACTTGTCTTTTTTTGGGTGGAGTTTGTTAGAGGTGTGTTGAGGCCATGTAAGTGAAACTGAAATAGTTTTCAACTTTTCTTTGTGGAATATGGTTGAATATGTTTTTCCTCCTTTTCTATGTATCCTTACTCTATGCAGACTACCAGGTACAAAGGCCAGAGCTTAGAACAATGATTGACAGTGAGCTATGATAGAGGCCCAGTTGCAGAATAAAGTAGTGTGGTATTATGCATTTAATTATATTTTTCACATCTCACAAATATTACATTTTGAAATATAGTAAGAAGTAAACATATTAAAAATTTCCCTTTAAGTTATTAAAATTGTAAACAATCATTACTCGGTTTATAATGCCTGGTAAAAGCAGAGCCCTCCCTTATGCAGTTCTCCTGTTTAGAGGAACACTAACTTTAACCCCTTAAGGACACATGACATGTGTGACATGTCATGATTCCCTTGTATTCCAGAAGTTTGGTCCTTAAGGGGTTAAAAAACAAAGATTTTTAACGTTCGAGGTGTTCCTGTCCATCTACAGACATAAATACCTAATATCTTGGCCCAATCCTATGGCGAGTGCATAACCATCACTACAGTTCACCAATCCAATGCTCAAAGAGAAGCTTTACCAGAATTCTGCATTTTCAGGCTGTGAATGGTGATGGCAAACATAGAGACCTTCATAAGTATTTGAATAAGTGGCTAGTTGTCAGACAGCTTACGGAGGTGTGGTTTAGGTAAAATATGAACCCTTCTACTTCTCCAAAATAGTAAACTTTCACTCTGTCAGGGGAAAATATAGGGGGAGGGAAGGCAGGGTCATTGAGATAAATTAGATTTTGGTGCTTGTCTATTTAACTTTATAGCAACTACAGGCAGTTAATGCCATGGGAGGTGGCTGCATATACACTAGAAATTGTGGGATGCCAATCAAGTAATTTGGTATTAGGGCAGCTGCAAGTTGCCTTTTTGTTCAATCCAGTAGCCAACTCTGTGTAGCTTTGCTTTTTAAAGTTTGTAATAGATATGAAAAATTGATTCAGATTGGCTCCTTAACTGTCGTTGGGGAGCGTGCACTCTGCAAAACATTGTAAACGAAGAGGACACAGTGATTCACACCGATCTGAGCTGCACTTAATCCATTGGACCACTACAGATGATCTCCCCCACTTTCCTTAAAGGTAGCAGGTATTAGGGAATGGAAAATGAACAAAGAAAGGAAACCAGATTCACAGAGCAAAGCAGGTAGAGACAGACAGAAATGTGTGAGAAACAGATGTAGGAAAACATTTATGGTCCGAATCAGATTCCTTTTACTCCATATCCGAAAATCGATTTTGTCCAAGATTTACCTATAAAATATTATTCATTAAAGCTCTGTAGAATAAAAAAGGCTGGTTTAGAAAATAGGACTTCTCATAAAGAGTAGAGAAGATATGCAAAAGTACAGATACAAAGCAGCCAAACTATGACAGGATGAGAAAGATGTAGAACCGCAAACTAAGTTGCATTGAGTAACAAAAGTATATATAATTTTTTTCATTTTTTATTGTTTGAAATATGTGTACCAGAAGTGACCAAAAGGTAGGACCATAGATCTTGTAGAACGTCCCATAGAATGGCAAAGCTTCATGGAAGATGACATGTTACCACATCTAAGGGTCTACTATTTGTGTACCTCTAATATGTGCAAACCCCTTTTGGCAGATCGAGTTTCACAAAACAATGTAGTTAACAAATGAGGGTTGGCCATCCCTGCAGTCTGAAGCATTTGAGAATTGGGAAGTTGATCCATCAGAACCCACAAGGTTCTCTACCCTTCACTTCCCCCCCACCCCACCCCACTACAGTTTAATTACTTATACCATTCACATTAAAAACAAAAAAAAAGTCTACCAGAACGCTAAGTCATACACCAGTATATTATGCAGGTGTTTCTGCAACTTTGCCCATTTAATTCTTTAATAAAATAAAATTGAACTATGCACCTATTACCAGCGCACAACACTGAATCCAAACATCTTGCCAGTTTTATATAGTGATACATATAATAAAATAAATAGATTGCAAGTTATGTTCAAGAGCATGGTGTATTAAATCCTTTCATGGTACATGAGTAACATATTCGGCTTTTTGTAGTCCCTTTTAGCCAAGAATGGAGAAGCACTGAAAGAACTTTCATGATGTTTCTTGATCATTCCGACCAGTCGCAGAAATGTCTAAAGTCTTTAGATCACATCAAAAACTTAGTATTCAATCAACTGTGTTAGTCATCAGAAGGTTACTCAGTCTCTAACCCTTGTCAACAACATTCATGTCTCCATCGTTCCACTATTTGAACATGCTATCACCTTCCCGTGTCTGTTGGTTTGGGGAAACATCCCTGCACGCTTCTTCCACCAGTAAATTTAATATGGATCCATGAACAGATGTCCTACGCTGTCCAGCTTCGTTCGGTGTTGACCAGTTCCATGCCTTCAAAGTACGAGTGTGGTCTGCGTGCGTGAAACTAGGATATGAAGAATACAAGATTTAGCAACAAATTCAAAGTAAATGTTCCTCAAATTTTGTGTTTTTGTTAAAGAAAATAAATTTATCGGGTTTTTAAACTAAAGTGAAAATTGAATTGGAGAAAAGACGAGAGGGGTGATATGATAGAAACATTTTAAATACGTAAACTGAATGAACACCGTAAAGGAGACTATACTTAGAAGAAGAAAAACTACCACAACAAGAGGACAAAATCTTAAATTAGAGGGGCAAAGGTTTAAAAATATCAGTATTACTTTACTGAGAGGGTAGTGAATGCATGGAATAGACTTCCAGCTGAAGTGGTAGAGGTTAAGACAGTGAAGGAGTTTAAGCATGCATGGGATAGGCATAAGTCTGTGCTAGCTGTAAGATAAGGCCAGGGACTAATGAAAGTATTTAGAAAATTGGGCAGACTAGATGGGCTGAATGGTTATCTGCCGTCACATTCTATGTTTCTATCTGAAAATAAAAAGTTGCAATGTTTCTGTGCCTTTTTTTCTTCCTTTTCGTTTTGAGAGGATTATGAAAAATAAGGCCAGGGACTTAATAGAATAACCTTGAGAAAGTGAGTTTCAAATTTAAGGCCCCAGTAGCCGAGTTGGAATCATAGCTGACTTGCAGAATGTATCTTGTTCAGCTATTTTGGTCCTTAAAATTGGAATTCACATAGAATTCCTTACAATTCTTATGTTAGTAAATATCTAAACGAAGAAATCTTGATAATACAATAAAAGCACTGGAAATTCACACCAATTTGTGTTGAACCCTTGAACCTTCGTAATCTTTGTATCTTGGTAAATGTGTTATTTGTAACCAAGCGTACCGGTGACTGAAGCGAGAGCTGGTGTAGAATTGGAAACGGAGTCCAGTGAATCGGTTCCATTGGCCAACTGGACACTGACACGTCACTCGCTTTCCCCGAATCGATCATGATGTCATTGACGCTGCTACAGCTGGTCTCTAACCTTGAAGACAACAGAACTGACTGATCTGTGATCTGCTGATCAAGTCACCTAGAAAAAAGCTTAGCATGAGTTATTCCACTAGGTAGATATAGCTTTAACCCTTGTTTTATTGGTTCAGCAGATGTTAAGATTTTATTTATAGACACTGGCGTGAGAATTTTTGTAAAATCTTTCTGTACTGGCCTTTATTACATTTTCGTAATAAAATATAAATTTTAAACACTTTCCAGCTATCCAGGACTCACTGTTTTGTCCCATAGCGAGTATCGTACAGATGTTGCTGTACTATATTTCCCATGATGCCCTACCAACCACAAAATATATAGTGCATCATCAGGCTGGCCAGACAATGCCTGTTGTCTCCACTGAACAATGGAATACTGGGTAAGAATCTGTTCTATTTGAAAATCTCACATTCTGATTGGCCGTTGGCATAAACTGTCAATAAACTAGCTCAAAAGAGTTCTATTACAGTTTGAGCGTTTAACCTCTTAAGGACCAAACTTCTGGAATAAAAGGGAATCATGACATGTCGTGTCCTTAAGGGGTTAAATATGTTAATGGGATTCCAACATGGCTGCCTCCAAAATGGTATTTATTGCTATTTTTTTTTTTTTTTTACTATAGAATGGTTAAATGAATATTATGATGATGAAAATATAATAATTAATCTGATGATAAATCCATTTAAAAACAACTAAAGTGTGAATTCACAGGAATTCAAAGTAAATTTCATTTCTTAAAGAGATTCTACAGTGCTAGGAATGCAAATCTGTATTTGTTCTCTAGTCCCACCCCCTCTCCGGCAGCTAAGGGGTAAAAAAACAAAACAAAACAAAAAAACCTGTAGTCTCCTACCTGATGTCCCTTGGCACTCTTCCTCCTATGACCTCATCCGATTGGTGTGGGAGGGGAGGGATAATGCACATATGCAGTGAGAGCCTTAGACCCTTCCTTAGAGAAAAGCATTGCTTTAATGCTTTCCTGTGGAGATTTTAGCTGGATGTTCACATGCAGAGCGTGACATCAAGCGATCAAAAGTCTGTTTGCAACCAGGAACTGCTTCTAGTGGCTGTCTGATTGACAGCCACAAGTGGCAGTCTTAGTCCTGCAATGTAATTATTGCAGTTTCTAAAAAACAAAACAAAAAACTGCATTGATTTACATTGCAGGACTAGGTGGGCCAGAGACACTGCACCCAGATCACTTCAATGAGATCAAGTGATCAGAATGCTAATAGTGTCCATTTAAGCCTTAATCGTCAAACTGGAATATTACATCAAATGTTCCCAACAATTTTCCCTTTACTGAATAACTTGGCCGATGTCTTAATTAAGGCTGTGACATGAAGTAGATCTTTAAGTGTGATTCGGTTTTAGAAAAAGGACACTCCAGACCCCTAAAGCACTTAAGCTTGCTGCATGCTTTATCTGTGAAGACTGTCCTATTTTACATTTGTTTTAAAAAAAATTTTACGAAAATTCAATAGAATATGGCACTTTTATAAATGAACTGTGTCATACCCCCTGGTTACCAGTCAGCTGCTCCTCTTACTTCGATGTTGTTTAGCGCGGTGTAGCTAAACTCAAGAGGCAGCAATTGCCCAGAGCACCTGCCTTGCAAAGACTTTGCATTGGGAAGTCTGTGATTGGAAAGTCACAGAAAGTCTGGGTGGGGTTAGAAGGGGAGGGCTTGTAAAGGCAGCAGACAAGAGATCTGCAGCTTTTGCAAGTTGTGTTTAGATATCTCTCCAATTAAAAATACATATCTTTTTCATTGGTAGTATATCTACTAAACAGGGATGTTTATTTATTAATAATTGGGCAGTGGAGTGTCCCTTTAATCAGTCAGAGTTGCCAGCAATAAGCTTTTAATACACTTTTAGTACAGGACAAACTAAGCTCATCACTTGTCATGAAGGAAGTCATTGACCAATAATGAGACTGACACACCATCTAATGAAGAGGTTAAAATGGCAATAATGCCTCACCTCAATATGAAATGCCTTTAAATTAAATGACCAAATAAATAATGTAAAAGCAATCCAACTTTCCATTGATGCATTTTATTGATTCCAAGAAAACAAATTAGATGGAACATTTAAAAGAAATCTGTGTGTAGATTGCCTGTCTGGTGTTTTCAGCCAATCGGAATTCCCCCCAAATATTCTGTTATAAATTAGCAGAGGAGACAAACAAACGATAATATTATATACTTTTGCTAACCCGTTTTGACATGTTTAAAAGTCCATAGATGGCTGTATTTTCCAGAATCACCCTGAAGGTTTACATTAAGATTTTCCGATTTTGATTCTTTAAATCCAAGAATCACAATGTCAGTGTTTTGCTCTCCAACTACGCTATGAGTCAAACAGGCCTTGCCTGCTCCCAAACTATGAATGAAAATGCAGACTTGTTTAAATGCAGATTTAGCAATTCAGTTGGATAATCCTCTCCTAATGGAAGTGTTTTGCTTTGAAAATTCAGGGCTATTCAGCAACAAACAGTAAACTGGCTGCATTGACAGAAAAAAAAACACTTTTGCCAGAAACACTCATTGTTATCGGTTAAAGGGACAGTAAAATCAACGGTATGTTTCTGTTGGGAACGTGCGGCTAATCGTAATCTAGTGTGATTTTCTTCTGCTTATTATAACATCCACTCAATAGACAATAGTTACCAACTCTCCCGGACCTGCCAGGGCAGTCCCACTTTGAAATGTGTCTTTTAATGTCTGGGGTTATGCCACCGCTTCCCCTGATCTCTGGAAATTCATAAAGCAATAGAAGCGTGTGCGGCATGGCTTGAACCATAAAGTGCCCTGCGCCCTTGCTTGATCAATAATTTATGGTGGGCTCCAAAATACACCAAAGGAAATTGATGTAAGCAATCCAAACCAACCAACGCTTCTCTGACCGCGCTCGATCCAATTCAAGCATTAAATGTAAGATTCTCTTTGAATTCCCGATAATTCTCACTTTAGTAAATAATCCTTCAAGTTTATACAACATAACAACTCAAGCTAGTTTTGGATACCAGGCAACAGACCGTTAAAGGAACACACTACAGGGCCAGGAACACAAACATGTATTCATGACCCTACGGTGTTAAAACCACCATTTAGGTGGCTTGCCCCCCCGACCCCCCACCCCATTAAAATATAATAAAACATACTTTATTTTCAGCACCGCGTGGGTCAGCCAGAGCTGTCCCCAGCCCCCCCATCTGCCTCCTTGCAGACATCATCAGAATTTATGATTCCTAACCAATCCAATGCTATCCCATAGGGAGAGCATTGGATTGGCTCAAATTGGCAAGAAGGTGGGATGGAGGTGTGGCCAAACACCACCCTGGCCAATCAGCAGCTCCTCATAGAGATGCAATGAATCAATGTATCTCTATGATGAAAGTTCAGGATTTCCGTGCAGAGGGAGGAAGATACTGAATGTCAGTCTCACTGTGCAGCACTACCCCAGGAAACACTTCTAATGACTATCTGAGAAGTGACCACAGGAGGTATCCCTAGGCTGAAAAGACAGTGTTTACAGCAAAAAGCCCAAAGATAATGATCCTACTCATTAGAACAAATACATTAAAGGACCACTATAGTGCCAGGAAAACATACTCGTTTTCCTGGCACTATAGTGCCCTGAGGGTGCCCCCACCCTCAGTGTCCTCCTCCCGCCGGGCTCTAGGGTGAGGAAGGGGTTAAACTTACCTCTTTCTCCAGCGCCGGGCAGGGAGCTCTCCTCCTCTCCGCCTCTTCGGCTGAATGCGCATGCGCGGCAGGAGCCGCGCGCGCATTCAGCCAGTCCATAGGAAAGCATTCACAATGCCTTCCTATGGACGCTGGAGTCTTCTCACTGTGAAAATCACGGTGAGAAGCGCAGAAGCCCTCTAGCGGCTGTCAATGAGACAGCCACTATAGGCTGGACTAACCCATTTATAAACATAGCAGTTTCTCTGAAACTGCTATGTTTATAAAAAAGGGTTAACCCTAGATGGACCTGGCACCCAGACCACCTCATTAAGCTGAAGTGGTCTGGGTGCCTATAGTGGTCCTTTAAGCTGTAGTTGTTCTGATGACTATAGTGTCCCTTTAATTTGAGTGATTGAACCTGAACTAGTTGGCTTTAAATGATTCCATAAACCCTGAAGAACAGGCTCTCTGTTATAGAGGCGACCTCCTACAGACAGGCCTGTTAGTAGCCAGGTGACAGTGTGTTCACATTGATTTACAGAAGATTCAACAGGCAGACGCTGTAACTCCAAGCACAGGACCAGCACAGCCTGCTGAGTACGGATTGATTTATCCCTTACACAATCAAACACTATTCCTGACTCTGTGATGTGTGTTTAATGGGGCCGGAGGATAGAGAAACACAGCAGGGAGATGAGGCTTTAATTAAGCGGCTAAAATCACAGCAATCTATTAAACCAATCTCTGTTAACATTGTGAGTGCCAAGGACTGACAAACACACATCAATTTCTGTAGCTTAATGTGTTTGTGCGTGTTTGCATTATATACAGATATTTTATATCGACACAGATTACTGTGAGTTTTTATTGCTGTGGAGCTCTGTCATACCCTCATACACACTTCACATTAATCTGAGTTTTTGAACTGTGTAATCCTGTGAAATACTCCTATCATACACACTGCACATTACTGTGTTTTATTGCTGTGGAGCTCTGTGATATATCATACACAGTGAACATTACTGTGAGTTTTATTGCTATGGAGCTCTGTGATGCATAATACACAATGCACATGACTGAGTTTTAATGTTATGGAGCTCTGTGATATTCTCATATCATACACACTGCACATTACTGTGTTTTATTGCTATGGAGCTCTGTGATATATAATACACACTGCACATGACTGAGTTTTATTGCTATGGAGCTCTGATATTATCATATCATATCATATACACACTGCACATTACTGTGAGTTTTATTGCTGTGGAGCTCTGTGATACTCCTATCATACACTGCACATTACTGTGAGTTTTATTGCTGTGGAGCTCTGTGATATCATACACACTGCACATTACTGTGAGTGTTATTGATATAGAGCTCTGTGATATTCTCATATACACACTGCAAATTATTGTGAGTTTTATTGTTGTGGAGCTCTGTACTATATCATACACACTGCACATTACTCTCCGCTCTGCCCATGACCTTCTCCTGTCCTCTGCTCGCACCCGTACAGCCAACTCACGCTTGCAGGACTTCTCGCGGGTGGCTCCCTTCCTATGGAATAGCCTGCCTACCGCCATCAGAATCTCCCCTAGTCTTCAATTGTTTAAAAAGTGCCTCGAAACCCATCTCTTTAGGAAAGCTCATGGCCTCCCAGACTAACCTCTACCTCACGTACCTGTCCCTTGCGCTCTGCTTCACGCCCACCTTGTTTGATTGCTACATCCTGTCCGGTTGTGTTTTACACCCCACCTATTCAACCTTTTATTCCTATAAGTTTTTGTAATTGTCTGATTTATTGTTAAATCTCCCCCTTTAATAATATTGTTAAGCGCTATGGAATATGCTGGAGCTATATAAATACCAGTAATAATAATAATGACTGAGTGTTATTGCTGTGGAGCTCTGTGATATATGATACACACTGCAACATTACTGTGAGTGTTATTGCTGTGGAGCTCTGTGATATATGATACACACTACACATTACTGTGAGTTTTATTGCTGCGGAATGAAAACCAAGATATTTAAAAAGGTTTGTACAAATAGTTTAGTCCATGTATATAATTTAATTTATTTATGGGTACACTATACTTTTTAAATTCACTATACTGCTACAAGATTTTTATAGTTAATACATTTATTTCCCACATTTGTATAGCACACATATTGCTATAGTACCGAGAAACCCTGAGAACTTCCTAACTCTATAGTCACGACTCACTGTTATGTATGAGGTTGTAAACTGCTGTGCGTATAAGAATTTTCCGAGACGCTTAAATTATGTAAAATATCAGCTTGTCCCTTGTAGTGTCACAGCAGCCCATGTAACGGTTTATCAAACGCTTGAATGGTGAAAGGCTAGGACAACCTCACTGCTGCCAGAGTATTAACCACTGAGCTATCACACTATTATAGTATCACCGTTAAACAGTTGAAAATGTTGTTTTTACGATGTGGCTAATCATAACGGCATTACATAAATAATAGCACAGAGCTATTACAGTGACATCATAATGACATTACATTATTAAAAGCACTGCTTCGTTACAGTAGAGGCGGCTGGTGAAGGTTTAAGGTGGGGCGCCAGACTCCTCCCGCAGAATTACACTCCTCCCTATATAATCCAGTGAGCTGAGCATAATACAGAGATACTCATACAATATAACCAGCTGGACACAACAGAAAGATATCTATAAAATTCATAGAGCTGTGTACAATACAGAGATAACCATGCCACAAACAGAGCTGAGAAAAAAAAAGAGATACAATACACAGCTGGGCACCATACAGAGATACCTATACAATACACAGAGCTAGGCACCATACAGAGATACCTATACAATACACAGAGCTAGGTAGAGTACAGAGATACCTGTACAATACACAGAGCTAGGTAGAGTACAGAGATACCTGTACAATACACAGAGCTGGGTAGAGTACATAGATACCTGTACAATACACAGAGCTGGGTAGAGTACATAGATACCTATACAATACACAGCTGGGCACCATACAGAGATACCTATACAATACACAGAGCTGGGCACCATACAGAGATACCTATACAATACACAGAGCTAGGTAGAGTACAGAGATACCTGTACAATACACAGAGCTAGGTAGAGTACAGAGATACCTGTATAATACACAGAGCTGGGTAGAGTACATAGATACCTGTACAATACACAGAGTTGGGTAGAGTACAGAGATACCTATACAATACACAGCTGGGCACCATACAGAGATACCTATACAATACACAGAGCTGGGTACCATACAAAGATACCCGTACAATCAGGGCCGGACTGGGGATACGAAGCAGCCCTGGAAAAAAATCTATGCCAGCCCCATAAGTCATTGTGCTATGTAGGGTGTTTTTATATATATATATATATATATATATATATATATATATATATATATATATATATATATATACACACAATTGAAATAGTTGGCTGCACTCTCGGATTTCCTGAAAATGTAACTTTTATTGAAATATTTAAGAGAAGATCAATGTTTTTATATTTATATATATATATAGGGGTGATTATTTCTGATGACTTAAAGGTAGGCAGACAATGTAATAGAGCAGCAGGAAATGCTAGCAGAATGCTTGGTTGTATAGGGAGAGGTATTAGCAGTAGAAAGAGGGAAGTGCTCATGACATTGTACAGAACACTGGTGAGACCTCACTTGGAGTATTGTACACAGTACTGGAGACCGTATCTTCAGAAGGATATTGATACCTTAGAGAGGGTTCAGAGAAGGGCTACTAAACTGGTTCATGGATTGCGGGATAAAACTTACCAGGAAAGGTTAAAGGATCTTAACATGTATAGCTTGGAGGAAAGACGAGACAGGGGGGATATGATAGAAACATTTAAATATATAAAGGGAATCAACACAGTAAAGGAGGAGACTATATTTAAAAGAAGAAAAACTACCACAACAAGAGGACATAGTCTTAAATTAGAGGGACAAAGGTTTAAAAATAATATCAGGAAGTATTACTTTACTGAGAGGGTAGTGGATGCATGGAATAGCCTTCCAGCTGAAGTGGTAGAGGTTAACACAGTAAAGGAGTTTAAGCATGCGTGGGATAGGCATAAGGCTATCCTAACTATAAGATAAGACTAGGGACTAATGAAAGTATTTAGAAAATTGGGCAGACTAGATGGGCCGAATGGTTCTTATCTGCCGTCACATTCTATGTTTCTATGTTTCTAATGTTTCAGTCCCTCTTGTGGACTTTCGTCATGATCCTGATGCAAGTCCACAAGAGGGACTGAAACGTTGATCTTCTCTTAAATATTTAAATAAAAGTTAAATTTTAAGGAAATCCGAGAGTGCAGCCAACTATTTCAATTGCCTATATATATATACTGGATACTGGAGCCCTGGTGATGCAACAGTGTGTATATATATGTGTGTATATAAATTTCCTGGTGGGCCGCGGCACCTGGGGCCGGTCTGACAGCCCTAATCATTGGGCTGACAGCTCCTGTGAACCCGGCCGGCCATGTGGAGCTGTGGGCCGCACAGAGCCCCATGGGAGCAGGGGGAGCCAGGCGGCCGGCACAGCTCACACATGGTCGGCCGGGATCATTAAAAAAAATAATAAATGCGGTGGGGGTGTGGCTTGCGTGCGGCGGGGCGGAGCTAGGCGTGCGGCGGGGCGGAGCTTCGCGTGAAGCGGGCGCCCCGCCGCACGCCTAGCTCTGCCCCGCCGCACGCAAGCCACACCCCCACCGCATTTATTATTTTTTAATGAGGGAATTATATATATATATATAATTTTTTTATTATTGATACATTTCTTCTTCTAATTCAAAATATTAGTTATTTTAGGGAAATTAAATTATACAGTAAAGTATACTCACACACACACAGACAATCTTACTGATGCACACAAATAGGCTCATTGATAGACAATGACACACACAGACAAGGTTACTGGCACACACACAACTTTAGTACAGACAAACTCTGATACACACACACAAGCTTACTATAGACAAGCTCGCTGATGCGCACAAACTCTCCCTACAGACAAGCCCATTGACACAGATGCTCCCTACAGAAGAGCTCACTAACACACAGATTCACTACAGACAAGCTCACTGATATACACATGCTCACTACAGACAAGCTCACTGACACACATATGGTCACTACAGACAAGCTCACGATCACACTCATGCTTACTACAGACAAGCTCACTGTACACACATGCTCACCACCGACAGGCTCCGACACACCCATGCTCCTTACAGACAAGCTCACTAACACACACACACATATGATCCTTACAGACAAGCTCACTGACACACATGCAAGCTCACTCACTAGCAGGCACACACACACACACACACACACAAACTCACTAGCAGGCACACACACACACAGAGGCTCCCTCACTAGCAGATGCGCGCACACACACAGATGCAGGCAGTCACTGACACCCAGGCAGACAGTCACTGACACCCAGGCAGACAGCCACACACACACACACACACCGGCAGACAGTCACTGACACCGAGGCAAACACCCACACATACAAAGACAGGCAGACACACAGTCACGCACACACAGACAGTCACACACAGGCAGACAGTCATGCACACACAGACAGTCACACACTCACACAGTCACACACTCTCACAGACAGTCACACACTCACACAGTCACACACTCTCACAGACAGTCACACACTCACACAGTCACACACTCTCACAGACAGTCACACACTCACACACTGACCTGCTTCTTCCCTCAGCCAGGCCCCCGCCGCACGCTTAACTCCGCCCCGCCGCACGCCTAGCTCCGCCCCGCCGCATGCAAGCCACACCCCCACCGCATTTATTATTTTTTTTTTTAATGATCCCGGCCGACCATGTGTGAGCTGTGCCGGCCGCCTGGCTCCCCCTGCTCCCATGGGGCTCTGTGCGGCCCACAGCTCCACATGGCCGGCCGGGATCACAGGAGCTGTCAGCCCAATGATCAGGGCTGTCAGACCGGCCCCAGGTGCCGCGGCCCACCAGGAAATTTCCCGGTATCCCGGTGGGCCAGTCCGGCCCTGCGTACAATACACAGAGCTGGGTAGAGTACAGAGATACCTATACAATACACAGAGCTGGGTACCATACAAAGATACCCGTACAATACACAGAGCTGGGTAGAGTACAGAGATACCTATACAATACACAGAGTTGGGTAGAGTACAGAGATACCTATACAATACACAGAGTTGGGTAGAGTACAGACAGGGCCGGTGCAAGGATTTATGCCGCCCCCTGTGTGTGTGTAAGAGAAGCAGTGTGTGTTTGCATGTGTGTGTAAGGGATGCATTGTGTGTTTCTGTGTATATGTGTAAGGATTGCATTGTGTGTGTGTGTGAGAGATACCTGTACAATACACAGAGCTGGGTAGAGTACAGAGATACCTATAGAATACACAGAGTTGGGTAGACTACAGAGATACCTTCACAACAGGTAGATCTAAGTTAAATACAGAGAAATTACACACCGAGCTGGGCACAATAGTGAGAAACTTATAGCTATCCCACACAGCTAGGATCACTGTGATGGATTACACAGAGCTGCAACGTAGAGATCCCCCACACAGTACATGTCACTATATAATGGTCCAGCTCTCTCTCTCTATCTTCCTAGCTCTCTCTTGGCTCTCCATTACTTGAGCTTGTGCTATAACTTTAACTTTCTATTAAATATTGCTGCTGTTATGAAACATGTCAGCTACTCTGTTAGCTCTCAGCACACAGTGTGCACATGGTTAAAGCATCAAGATACTGATAGACTCCAATCATCTCAGTTACTCCTGACTCACTATTAGCTCTCAGCACATGTGCACATAGGGATAAAGCAGCAGGATACCGGTATAATTAATCTGCAGTGGTAATATGAAGCCAAGATGTAGCTGACATGGTTAACACAATTAACAATCATTACAGATTAAAACATACTGAAATCAGAATCAGATCAGTCCTCAGAGTCACAGCCCCAGTCCTGTAATTTGAAGCTTCACAACCTGTTGACTCATCACAGCATGAGTGCCTCAGGTATCAGCTGTAGAGTGACTGAGCCCTATAAAGAAGAGGAGTGTGTGCATAGGAGATATTAATACTTTTATTGACAGATAGCACAGTGATATTGGACAGAAATTTCTAGCATTTTCTTCCCTGAGCTGCCATGGCTTTCTCTTTATTAATTATATATTTGCGTACATTTTTCCACATATTTATCGCTTACGACTCTCCCCTCCAGAAAAAGAATCTGTGTTTCTAAACTACTACAAATAGTAGTGCCCCTATGGATAAGCTTCCACTGCCTTACAGTGACATCATAATGGCATTACATTAATAATAGCAGGGCACCATTACAGTGACCTCATATTGGCGCAGAGCTATTACAGTGATATCGTAATGACAGTACATTAATAAAAGCACTGTGCCGTACAGTGACATCATATTGGCATTACATTACTTATAGCACAGTTTCATTACAGTGACATCCCAAGGCACTACATAAATAATAGCACAGCTTAAGGTAGTTGTTCTGGTGACTATAGTATGTATCTGCAGGCTTTTTAATGTAAACACTGCCTAGATGGCCATTAGAGGTGCTTCCTGTGATCGTGCTGAACAATGTGCACCCTCTGTATGGAGATGCTGAACTTTCTCTACAACCTCACCTCCCTGCTGTGTTTCTCTATCCTGCGGCCCCATTAAACACACATCACAGAGTCAGGAATAGTGTTTGATTGTGTAGGCTGTGCTTGGAGTTGGACACTATAGTCACCAAAACAACTACAGCTTATTGTATTTGTTCTTTGTTTTTGTTTTTAATTCTTTATTTTCTTTGTGCATGAGTTAATATAACAAGCTTTCATGCCTTGCCACAACAGCAGTAGCATGTATCGATATAAACAAGAAATAACAGTTGTGGCTTAGGATATAATTGTGTATTTGTTCTAATGAGTAGAATCATTACCTTCAGGTTTTTTGCAGTAAACCCTGTATTTTCAGACTGATCTGCCTCCTTGACAATCTCAGCCAATTCAATGTTTTTTCTATGTGAAAGCATTGTGATTGGCTCAGATCACCACTTCTGATGATGTCAGCCAAACAGACAGATCAGGGTCAGAGCCAGCAGAAGCAGGCAGAAATAAAGTAAATATTATACCATTTTTAGAAGGCAAGGGGAAGGCCAGGGGGGCTCGATGGTGTGTTTAACACTATAGGGTCAGGAATACATGTTTGTGTTCCTGACCCTATAGTGTTCCTTTAATAATAGCACCGACAGTGACATCATAATGGCGATACATTAATAATAACACAGAACTATCACAGTGACCTCATAATGGCACTACATTACAGACAGTACCATTACATTAATAATAGCACGGTGCTATTACAGTGACATCATAATGGTACAGAGCTATTACAGTGACATCATAATGGCATTGCCTTAATCATATCTTTGTGCTATTACAGTGACATCATAATGGCATTACAGTAACAGCACAGATATATTACAATGACATCAAAATGGTATTACATAAATAATAACAGTGTCATTATAGTGACATCATAATGACACTACATAAATAAAAAAAAGAGCTATAAAGCTATTGCAGTGACATCATAATGGCATTACATTAATAATAGCACTATGCCATTAGTGACATCATAATGACATTACATTAATGATAGCACTGTGTCATTGTAGTGTTTGAGATAAAGATGATGACCGTTAAATCCTGAATGCAGTGCCCCCCAAACTCATGAGGATAATCTTCTAAATGTAAACGTGGGTCATTTTTATTTAATATTTAATGATGAAATGTACCCTCACCCTATGCACCCCATAACTAGAACTAACCGAGTTCTTACAACCAGCTCCCATTGCTGTTAAAATAATGCAATTTTATTTATTTATTTGTGGGGGAGGCAGACAAGCGGCTAGAAGAATGGAGGTAAAAATAGCCAATCCAGAAAGTATTAAGCATGTGCTGTGATATTAATAAAAACTAAACATAATGCACATTTATGAAAGGTCGCCAAGCATCCTTGTTCCAGAGAACCAACATGTTTGCCGAGCGCCAGCTGTAGCAGTGGGGGTCTCTCCCACACTCCCATTGACCTGTTCTGTTCCCCCCTTTCTCCCCCTCACTCACTAATGCTGCCTTTAACATATACAGAACAGAAGTCGACGCTGCGATCAGTGCGGAGGAAAGGTTTCCATGACAACAGCTCAACCAATCACAAAGCAGAACTCCTGCATACTCTGGATACCTCTGCAAGCGAGGTAACTAGGTCTAAGTTGTGTTTTGTGATGACTTAACCCCTCGGGTTCTGTACTGCGTGGGCCGTTACCTCTCTCTGCACGTTTAGTAGCGGATCGATGCTATCCAAGTGTCTATTTACTAAGCAAACCGAGAGAGGTATCGTTTCATAGGTGACGTGCAGTGGTTATTTAAGCTCTTGGCTATGTATTTTTTTTTTTTAATTCTTTATTTTATTTGTGCATGTTATTAACAAATGGGTTTGCCTTGCCACAACAGCAGGAGCAAACCAAACGATGTACACATGAAATCAACATTATGGCATTAAAGACATTGCACAGATTTTGTATTAAGTTGTCAGGGTGAGCATGCGTATGATGGCATATTGGGGTACAAGGTGAACAAAAAAATTAGGTGATAACTGGTCATGGAGGGTGAAACTCTCGTATTGGCTATTAACGTTATTATCTGTACTAGACTTACGTTAAAGACAATCATGTATAGCTCAGTGCATGAGAGAGAGAGTAAACAGAAAAAAAAATTTTTATAAGGGAAAGTAAGTGTCCGAGAGGCATCCCAGTAGTGGTGTAGTGAACTGTAGTGAGAGCTGTTAATGTAGAGCCAACGCTTATGGGGTCTCCCTCTCTCCTCTGTAGAGGCAGGAACCCGTTAGGGTGATACCAGAGGGGGGGGGGGTTTGTATGCTTACATGTCATGCATGGTGAAGAGCACCAAAATGGTAGGGACCGGTGTGGTCAGTTCTCCGAGCTGGTTAAACACCTGCGTAGGGTGTGGGGGGACTTCCCCGGTATGTGACTATGTGTCGTCGTCGTTGTTGTGTATATGTGGGTCTTTAGGACAAAAAACAAAACAGTATGATGAGGCAATAATAGGCATAAATGGACTAGTTAGATGGTATCATTAGGTAAGTCCCGCTATAGTGAGAGGCTGTCATTTCCAAGCAGACTTCTGCTTCAGGTTGTACGTCAGGATGTTGGGGGGTCCCGAGCAGTGCGTGGTATGAACTCTTGTATTCTAGCGGGGTCTATGCGTGCCAGTCCTGATCCAGAGGCAGTGTCAGGAGAAATAAAGCCCAGCCTGCTTAGGTGGTCCTCGAGTTCTTGCAGGGTGCGCACTCAACAAGATTCCCCCTGCACCTGATATAGGAGACCTCGGCATTCCCCAGTGATAGGTAAAAACGTTACCTGCGCTCTGGCCTAAATCCCCATGTGCATTTAAACAAAAATGGAGGCTCTTTAGTTTTATTCTAATGGCCATTTGAATATATAAGCTCACCAGCCACGTCAAGGCAAGCCTCAATAGGTGAGTTCCTACACTAGCCATTAGATATGCTGATATCGGCCAAGAGTCTCCAGTGAGACAGGAAGGGGTATTTTATAAACCCTTTAACATTTAACCCTTTATAGGGCTTCTGCACATACAATAAACTTTGCTGATATCAGGCAAAGTGAGACAGAAAGGGGTGTTTTATAAACCCTTTAACATTTAACCCTTTATAGGGCTTCTACACATTCAATAAACTTTGCTGGCATCAGACAAAGTATAGACGTCTCTAATGAGACATGAAAGGGTGTTTTATAAACCCCTACATACTTTACCCTGAATAGGGCTGAATAGGCCCACGTTTGTCTTATTAAGACTTTATAAGTATGTAGGGGCAGCACCCCTTCCTGTCTCATCAGAGAAATTTGCCTTTTAGCTGATACCAGCAAGGTGATTTGTATGTTTTAGCCCTATTCAGGGTAAAGTATGTAGGGGTCCCGCATTTAGATTGGCGGCAGCACCTTCCACCGGGTCAACGGAATAGCCCTCTGAGGAATAAGAGGAACCCTCCTCGAAGGCCGCCATCTTGTCCCACGCAGCATGTTATTTGTTGCGGAACAGTTCCCCGATGTCCCGGCTTGGGAAGTCTTTGCCGGCTTTGGGCTTCTTGTTTTTCTGACCCATTTTGATTGCTCTATAGTAGGTAAGGTTTGTAGCCTTCTTGATTGCCAAATATTAGCTATTTTGACCTAAAATTTGAACTTCACTTTGAATTACTAACCATTCGCACTAGTTAAGAAACCTGCCTGTCTGGACGTTCACTGGAATTGGGTCATACTCCTCTGTACACGTTCCTGAGTGCTTAGCCTGTTACCAGTTTTATAAATGTTTTATCTGGCCAATGTACAGTTCTGTAGGATATTTTGCGGCATTATCAATAATCGAATTACGATATCGATTATTTGATGCAGGACTCCAGCTTTTGTCTAACTCCTCACATTCAACCACTTCTTCAAAAGACAGAAAATTGAAAGAAATGCGATTTCACCTTTTCTTACCTTAAAGAACTACGGAGCTATTGTGGAGGTGTTTCTAGCTAGGGAACTGATTAAAATGGCATCACAGTGACATTTGGTAATAATCAATAAGCATGTGTTACCTGGGTAGAACATGGGCAGGTGGTTGTGGTGGGTTGGTCTGGGCACAGCTCGGGGCCCGTTCTTGACAGCCGCACACACAGCTCCCCAGAGCTTGCAGGGGGAACACTTCCTCCGAACTGCTGAAGGCTGGATTATCGAGGGAATTGAGAGAAGCCGAAGCAGTCAGCCATGTCTGAGATGGACACCAGAAATGGGTGGGGACGTCATCGAAACGACTAAACCGTCTGTAACTGTGAACAAAATGAACGCATAGTCTGAACACCAATCACACACCTAGGCAGAGGTCAGTAAAAACGAGTGACGACAAACCTACAGAACAGTTTGTTAGAAACAGACAACATTTGTCCGACAGTTATTTTAATGGTTCTGAAATGAGTGGGTTCAGCAGAAATCCAACAATAACCAATGCAGATTTTGTTTGTTTGTTTTTATCAGAACAGTCGATTGATTATTCAATTTTCCTTGGAATAAACCCCCAAAACCCTCAGCCAATGGCACCTCAGAATGCACCTCAAAAACACTTGATTAGATTGTGTTACACATGGATCTTGTACAGTGTCCACAAACATTACATCGATGCTTCGGGAGATCTCAGTTGTCATGAAGATATGTATGTTGATTTATGAGAATTGAAGTTCCAAAACATGTGTTTGGGAATGAACTAAAACATTCTTAGAGTTTTGAGGACTGTGTGATTAAAGATGAATACATTTAAGTTCAGTTTTACGCGAACAATTTCTAACTTTAGCAAGGTTACTGAAATAAAAGTTTGTGTCATTTTTTGATTTTGAAAACACTTGCGCTATACTGGCCAAAAATAAAACATTATTGATCAGATAATGACGCTGGAATTTATCTCATAGTACTTTTTACGCAACGTAATCTGGCCACTGTAATCGTTCCGAGAACAATTAAGTGTAATATTCTGGTTACAATTATTCATATTGGTTACCTGCTTTGTGTCTGAGCCACTTTTTGCTGAAGGATCTGAGTCTGAAATCGGCGGACAAGAATGAACACTGCCGCCGCAGCACTAATGATGATGCAGAACACCACTGCGCAGGCAATGGCAGCCAGCCGATGATGAGTCATTCGGTAATCGCAAGTCTGTCCCATGTACCAGAAATCCCTTCCAATCGGGCACCTGCCCAGGACAGCAAAATATTAAAAACAATAACAATCTTTCTGACAAGCTAAACAAAATGTGTGCCAAGCTAAGTCAGGTAGAGAGACAAAGTCATCACTCAATGAGACTAAAATTGGCACTGCTTTTCACCCAGGTCATCAAACTCAGAATTTTACTAATTTAGTTAGTTGCACGGCAGTTTTTAAAATATACACGTTTTCTAAATAGCTGTAAGTGCTTCCTTGCCATTTAGTGTTTATGTTACATACACTAAATATACATATGATCAGCTTGTTATTTAAAAGGGCAGATCCTCTGTGCAGTATTCCACACCGCTCAGATGTCCTACTCTCAGGGCAATGTCAAGGCACACATGTTCTGGTCTGGTGGGAGTTTTACTTCAGGACAGAAACTGCCACGATTATTTTAGCCCTCCACCAAAAACTATACGGTGGTAGAAGAGTGGAGAAACACCATGAAACCTAACACAACACTTTATTTTATATCATGTAATATAGAAGATACATAATGATGAAGCATATATTAAGCGAAAAAATACCACATCGGGGTTCCAGCTCATTTATAAACTCGATATCACTGTTTTGGTTTTGTTGTTCATTATGAAGTCTCCAAGATCCGGTGATGCCATTTTTTCCCCATAATACACTGTGTATTGTTATTTAATATATGTGTGCGATATCAAGGTGATATTATTTTGCTACTCACTGGCATTCTGGATCTTGACCTCTGCGGTGGATGCAGATTCCGTGGTTGTGGCAGAAAAGCCCGTGGCAAGGAGACTGACATCGAGCTCCAAGTTTTCTCACTGGTACGCACTGGAATCCGGCAGGACAGGAGAACCAGTCTGTACACGGCTCAGCGTGTTTCTCTGGGGAAAGGATAGTGGGTGGAAAGTGTCAGAAGTCGCAGGGCGCGCCGTGGGCGCCTCAAATCAGGACAAAACAGAGAGCAAACTTTTCTAAAATGGAAGTTTGTAACACAGCATTGTCTCGACAAGATGGAGTCTGTGCTGGAGAAGGTGTAAGTATTTAACGTCTTATAGAGCACTTAAATATGCTATTGCTTAACATGAACTTGTTATATTCACTTTAACCCCTTAAGGACCAAACGTCTGGAATAAAAGAGAATCATGACAGGTCACACATGTCATGTGTCCTTAAGGGGTTAAATACTGACACCAATATTTCTTTTATAGTTTTGCCGTATCTGAGTTAATACAACAATTTATTTTGTCTTCCCCCACCACCTCTTTCTATTTAGTCAGTGGCATACTAATGGAGGGGTGGGGGAGTGGCCTGCCCTGGATGCCACTCACTAGGGGGAATGCCATGACTGCTAGTGTTATGAGTCACTCTCCAGGGTTGTGTAGGTTTTTTTTTGTAATTAAGGGGTGGTGTGCAGGTTTTTTTTTATTTTTTTATTAAGGGGGGCATGCAGGTTTTTTATTAAGGGGTGTGTGCAGGGTTCGTTTTATTAAGGGGTGTGTGCAGGGTTCTTTTTTATTAAGGGGGGTGTGCAGGTTTTTTTTAATTAAGGGGGCGTGCAGGTTTTTTATTATGGGGGTGTGCAGGGTTTTTTTTATTAAGAGGCGTGCAGGGTTTTTTTATTAAGGGGGTGGGTTTTTATTAGGGGGTGTACGGGGTTTTATTTATTAAGGGGGTGTGCAGGTTTTTTGTGGGGGGTGTGCAAGGGTTCTTTTATTAAGGGGTGTGCAGGGTTTTTTTTTAATTAAGGGGGGTGTGCAGGTTTTTTTATTAAGGGGTGTGCAGGGTTCGTTTTTAAGGGGGTGTACAGGGTTTTTTAATTAAGGGGTGTACAGGGAGCTTTATTTATTAAGGGGGTGTGCAGGTTTTTAAATTAAGGGGTGTGCAGGTTTTTAAATAAAGGGGGGTGTGCAGGGGTTTTATGTGTACGGTGGGTGTATGAATTTGATGTGTAGGGGGTGCAGAATTTTATGTGTAGGGGCGGTATGAACTTTGTGAAGTGGGTGCAGGGTTTTTTGTGTAGGGGTATGAACTTTATGTGATGGGGTGCAGGGTTTTATATAAAGGGGTTTGAATTTGATGTGCAGGGTTTATATGTGTGGGGTGCACACTTTTTATATGCAATAAATATAAATAAAATTCTGGGTGTTTTACATTTTTAAGGGGGTGGGTGCCCTTACCTTTATCTCTGGTTTTATGAAACAAATCGATTTTATATTCACTCTCCTTAGCTGCAAATTGTGTTCTAAAAGTTCTGTTTAAAAAAACCTTGCCTTTGCACGGTCAGAAATTCCTGAGGTGATGTTTCATGTAATTGGCATGTCTCAAATGTTACCAGTAGCTGGGAAGGCAACTATTGAGAATGTAAGAAGGAGTGTCATTATATTAAAGTATAACAGCCATCATTTTTAGTATGATATAAAATGTTACATATATTACAAAGCAACATAGTTACAAAGGCTGAAAATAAGAGGCCATCAAGTACAGCATTTCTCACATCTGTTTCTGCTGTTCATCCAAAATTGAACAAAAAAACAAAAGAAAGGCAATCAGAGCTCTCCTTGGAACAAAAAACGGCTAGCAAACTTATTAAAAATGATATCCCTCTATATTATGTTTATGCAAGTATTGCTCCAGTTGCGGTTTAAAAATCTGTAAAAACTCTGATAAAACCACTTCTTCAGGCAGAGAATTCCATATCCTTATTGTTCTTACTGTAAAAAACACCCTTTCCATTGCCTTAGGCTAAATCTCCTTTCTAAATGTGTGATCTCGTGCGTAGTCCTGTTTATGAACAGATTTCCAGACAGTGGTTTGTATTGGCACTGAATATATTTGTATAATGCTCTCATATTCTCTCTGTGAGTCATTTGTCTAAACTAAATAAACTAAAATGCAATTGCCTCTGTGTGTGTTGTTTTGTAATGTGTACATATAGGTAACTAAATACCTATTTTCAGAGCATCTACTGGCTTACTTTTGCTCTACAGTGGCAGCCATCTTTAAACCTCTTTGGCCAGAAACGCAGTTTATCTGACTAAGACATTCAGGTAATCAAGAGCTAAGGCGCGTTCACAATTGCTGACATAAGGTACAAGCGCTGGGCATCTCAAAAATGTACTCTAGGATGGTATCAGATCTTCAAACTCTGCATGGTTGTACCAAATAAAGGGTGCCTTTTACTAAATAGGGCTAAAAATAGATCCCCCAAAAATTAATTAAAAGATTATATGCAATCTTTTATTTTCTGTAAAATGGACAATGTACAAATGTAACAAACCAAATACAGAGGCGGCAGGCGGTAATATCGTATTACCAGGGCTGCTAAAACAATACTAACTTCGTTTTAATTGGCGCAGTAGCCTAATTTTATAGTGGTATATTAATGTTTGATGACTGAGTTGATTTAAGGGCCTGCTTGCAAAAAGGACTGTAGCAAGTGATTTGGAAAAGGTTTAATTTACGATTAGTAACAGGCAACCAGTTACAGAGGAAACTTGGAGTGAGAGGGAGAGAATGTAGAGGAGGTCAGTGGGTCAGCTCTCTGCAGAGAAATTACCAGTGTTAGAACGGGAAGTCAGAAAATCTAATCATCAGGTCTCACTGTCACTTGGAGCCAGCAAAATGCCCATGATTCATCACATACCATAAATACTGCAATCTGTCTAAATGATGACACCATGTAGAGTGCAGGTATTTTCCATGACAAAACGGGTTAGTAAGTGTGATGTTAGTATTCTGATTTCAAAAGGATTTTCAAATTAACATTGCAACAAATATATTTATTTATTAAATCATTTTGCTCTGTTAAAAAAAATGTTTTTGTTTTTTATTTACATAATGTTATTATTTTTGACATAAATTAATGTTATTCTACAAGATTGTAAGATGGCTAAAAAGGCTGGCAAATCAGCGCAAGGGGTGGGGGCAACAGGCAGCCAAACAGAGCACTGGGACTGATGGGTGGAGAGGGAGTCTGATGATGTCACCCAGCTTCCTCCCAGATACTCTGCAGTTATAGCTAACGTCTTATATCAGGCTATTGACTTGTGAATTTTGTATTTGCCCTGGCGAGATGAAATTCACCCCTTGCAATGCCAAGAATCTTCAAAGGTCAATTTAAGTAGTCTGAGTGTGGTGTCTCTGTCCTTTTAATCCTGCAATGTAAAACAGTTTTTTTTACAAACTGCAATGTTTACATTACAATGTTAAATCCTCTTCTAGTGTTTGTCATACTGACAGCCACCGGAAGTGCTAACGCGGCATTGACCGAGTAATGTTGGTCATGTGACGTGGAAGCCCCCATAGGAAAGTATTGATTCAATACTTTCCTTTGGGAAATCCTGGGTGTGCTCAAGGCACTTGACTTGCACAGGTCAGCACACAAAAAATACCCTTTTTTTCCCCTCCTAAAGGATACCGTTGGTAGGAACGGGCAACTGTATAGTGGTATTATTATTATAATTATCACTGTTGATGTCACGGAAGGCGGGGAGGTAAGCAATGCCACAAGAGGCTCAGTGCAGGAAAAAAAGGTAAGTAAAAAATTTAATTTCCTAATTTTAAATGGCTTAAGGACATACCTGGGGACAGGGACACTAAAGCATTAGGAATCCAGGTGTGCATTCTAAACGGTTTAGGGTTCCTTTAAGGCCTAGCTAGTAGCATAGGACTTCAAATGTAGGCCCTGCTCATACAATGAAAATTCACAGAGGCATTTTGTGAAAGGTACACAAGAATTAGGGAGCTGTAGTCTAGAATCATGCCCCCTGTCTGCAATGTACTGACCTGTAATTGAGATGCTGTGAATTTGGGAGCTAAGGCTGTTCTCCATGGTTTGTGAGGATTCGAAAAGCCAGCGAGGGTCACTAAGGACTAGCTCCTGAGTCTCTGACATCGCAGTCCCAACATGAACGCCAAGCTGAATTCGGTATTCCAGGAGCGTATTGTTCCACCTGAAAAGACACTAATGGTGGTTAAACTTCATCATTTACCTGTGGCACAGGCCACAATTGCTAGTATGGCTAAGGAGAAATGTTGGGACACATTAAAACAGAACTATTGATTGTCATTATAAATTTAATTGATCCTTTTATTATGACATTATTTATATAGCGCGAACAAATTCCGCAGTGCTTTACCGTGGGTGGACGAACAAACATGAAGTTGTAACCAGATAAGTTGGACACACAGGAACAGAGGAGTTGAGGGCCCGGCTCAATGAGCTTACACGATAGAGGGAGTGGGATAAAGTGATACTCCTTCTACGAGGATTGGGTTAAAAAAGGTAGTTTCTAACCCATTACTAAGGACCCCCCCCCCCAGTAGGAATGGCAACTGTGTATTATTATTATTATTATCATTTACATAGCGCTAACATATTCCACAGGGTTTTACAATTTTAAATTGGGGATAATTGGCATTAAGTAATTTTCATACAGAATATAACAGAGAAAAGAGGTGAAGAAGACCCTTTTAAAACAAGCCTACAATCGATGAATATATAGTGTACATGCATTCTCTAGTGCCGTGGAGACTCAATTGAAAGAGAATACTATTAACATTTCTATTCGTTGAGGCAAGAAACTATGCCATACATAAACAGATTTAAACACCTTCATATTTGAAATTGATCGAAAGCCTCAAACTTGCATCATTTAAACAATCCCTCCAACACCCCTGCCAGAAATCCACTTATCTCTGTAGAACAATAGGAGGTCATCCCAACTGTGAAGACACTGGTTGTTACATTGAAATGCTTCTGTATTTGTACATTTCTTTTTAATTACATTATTCACAAGGAAATTGCAAATATCCTGCTTCTACAAGCTATTTTGTCACTCCTCAGCATGCACGGACAACCCCTACTTGTAAAGAACAATATTTTCGTTTTTAATTTCCTCTTTATTGTAACATAAAAATAAAATCTATAAGCTGTCACCTCATGGTGGTGTTTGGTGGACACAGTAATTGGTACCTAGAAAAAAACTATTGGAAACTATGACAGACGGTCATGCAGCCTAAAGGAATGAGCCAAGGTCATCAAGATGAAGACTAAGCAAAGCCTGCAGAAATGACGTCACAAGAGGCGAGAGAGACAAGACACAAGGCTAGCATTATCAGCCGTCTGTCACAACTATGAATGCCATACACAAATCTCTCCGTCAGGGTCAGAGGGTCCAGACAACCCTTCCTTCCTGACACTAGTTAAAATGAAGTCAGCAAACGACCCCCGGGACATTCCATAGAACTATTCCAAGGGTTTCCGCTGCATAGCTGTAAGCAGAAGACCCTTTTCACCATTCCTGTTTGTAATATAATGTAGCCAAAGTCTTGTTCTGGATGTTCTCTTGTTCCTGGCTAATCCAGAATGAGAGACGTTGACAGATCTACAAATCCCAAGTAATTCATTTTCTTGGTTAACCCATAACTTGGCTGGAAGTCTTGGACAAATTTATTCTGACGTGTTAACTTATGCATTATCTCTGCAAGTAAGTATAGCGAAGACCTCACACTGTCTCTAAATAAAACCAGACTCCAATTCGCCCTTTAATGGGGACATTATTAATTCCCTCTGAGCAGATCAAGTATCATATTGGAGTCAAAACACCAGGAAGTCATGAATGGGTTTATAGGGGTCACCATGTCAACTATCAATAATAACATACTGAATTTAAGCCCGGCCAGTGTTTACAATTACAAAAAATAAAATAAAATCCAAAAACAACAAGTTTAGGACCCTCTGAGGACTTCAAAAGTATCTATATACTATGTCCTGATTACCCAAGAAACTGTGTTGTAGTATTGAGTGGATTCATAAAACAAGAATACCAATGAAGTCTCAGTAGTGTGTTAACAGTCAACATCGTTAGTCCTTTAGAGCTACTGTAGCCTTCGACCCCATCTTTTACATGGAAGCCTAGAAGAGAAAAGGAGACCCTTATGGACAACACCAGGATTTTAAGGGGTGTGTTTAGTTACATTTCTGTTAAGGTTAATAGTATTATTTTGAAGACTTGGGCATTAGTTTTCAGAAGAATCGCAATTCTGAGAAAACAGTCTTGTTTATCCATTTATTTGAATTTCAACAATGGAAGAATGACTTACTGAACAAATCGCTTGAAATGTGTAACAGTACTTAACCATTCCGCATGCAGGCAGGGGTCCTCTGCACTCCAGCCTTCAGACAAGCCGGGTGCGGCTCAAACTCCTTGGCGACCGCGTGCACCGAACAGTCTTATCGGGCGTGTGGCCTTTACAGTATTGGGAACGCTGCTCGCATTGCGAGCACGTTCTTAAAGGGGAAATGGGAGCCTAACCTTGCGGTCGGCTCCCATTGGCCCATGTCATTTCGGCGCCCCCATTCACGCACGTTTTGGGGCGCAGGCATGACGTGGACCAATCAAATGAAAAATAAAAATATTTAAACTTACCTGGCCATAGATTCTGTGCCCTATTGTGGTTTCTGTTCCCAGTACCCTTTAGTGCATCTCTAGTGATTTGTATTGTATTCTGATATTGACCTTGGCTTTATTTTCTGTCTTGGAGTTCCTCGTTAACCCTTGCCTGTCTTGTTTGCCCATCTGATTTTTACCGTGTACCTGACTCTGGCTAGTTTTCGTTTTCACTGTCTCTCCGTTACCCTGACCTTGGCTTGTATTTCAACTAGGCTTTTCTCTGTCTAACGTTAAGTCCGGCCACTCTAAGGTCCTGTAAGACGTTTATATTTCATTAGCCCGTTCCTTGCGATCCTAAACTCTGCGTGTTAGGGTTTATACTCCGTGACAAAATGAAAAATCTTCTATTTTTGTCCAAATTCATACAGGCAAATAAAAAATTTCCACTGTGGACAAGTCTGTTAATATATAGCATTACTCAGATTGATACTATTACTCTAATTATCAATTATAACTCTGGTGAACCCATGTGTATCCTATTCCTTACCATCTTGTGTGGCTCTGCTCTATCATCTACTGAGCTGATGGCTGCATCTGCTCTCCCACATCACATGACGGGTGCACCAAAAGTGTCCACTGAGACTGGGGCCCAGTTGCAACTACACTCAAAATGACCCATTCAGACACTTTACTATCCTAGGACATGAATGAACGAAGTCTCCCTATATGATGTAAATCTGGTTTCTGTCCCTGTGTTGGCCATGTTCTAATTCAGAGTCAGTTTTTATGTCCCGGTGCTAAGGTCACGTTAATACAGTCCTAAATCTGGTTCACAATTAAGATCTTCATCCCAAGAATTCTAAGCAAGCAGTGTTTGGGTAATTACAATATTTCAACATAAATACATTTTTATATGTTGCTGTACAATGACGGCTATGATCTTTTTCTTATTAGTTAACAGTTTTTCCCAACATGGTTGTTAAAACTTGTCTAATTCCTAAACTACCCAATCGAGCTGTAGAGAGCTTCACACAGGCTCAAATACTGGAGCATCTTCTGATGGACCAAGATGGATTAGATCGTGCAGACACAAATGTGACAAGTGTAACTGCTTAACTCACGTGACATTTGGTAACTGAACTCCATCAAACCCAGGGACAGACTTGTATAAGGTATTCACCTAAAAAAAAACAAAAAAACAAACAAACATTAAATACATCAAATAAAAAAAATCAGATTACTATAAGCAGTTCACATGATTTCATGTTCTCAGTTATACTGTTGGACCTATCCATACTGACCTCTTGGAGCCAACGTGCCTGGCATGTCTCAGGATTCTCACAAACTCCAGGTGATAAGCTCTTCAGGACCATCTTGTAGGTGACATTAATTGTTTGCACTGAAAAATAAGAGGTTTAAAATAGCAGATGGTCTCATAAATTCTATGGCATTATTAATGAGGCAATGGTGAGCAGAGTCAGTAATGGCAACCACCGTCCCCTGGTTTTCTCTGGGCTTCTATTTCAAGTGTTTCAACGTTCTGGCTAAACATCTTCAGATTTGTATTCCAGTAATCACTCATTATCCACTGAACTCAGAGACTGGCCTGAAAAATCCAGAAATTGGATTGCATTTCTGGAAACCAGCAGAACAGAGGGGAACATTCCATATGTGTCTCTTCCCCTACAATATTTTAATACAACTTTTTAAACAGAACACTTTTATACATATCCTCAACGTTCTCAAGATTTAACCATGTCTAGATTTTTCAATACAGCCTCCAAATTACAGAGAATAGGGGCTGGATGTCCACCTGTCTGAATACGACTTAAAGACTGAAATCAGAACCACATTATGAAAATACGCAACCAAACACTTAATGCACTTACAATTAGAGAGAATTGGTAGCTGTCGGACTTTAAATTCGGTCTGCCTAAATACAAACTCAATACAAATTCTACAATCTCGTTGGAGAGGATTTGCAAGGAGCCAGTTGCCAATTCTAATATAAACTGTAATTTGCATTAATTTGATAGCAATCTCCATGAATGAACGAATCAACTCTGTAGGAGGATCCAATGTACCCCAATTATTAAAAACAAATTTATGTTCACTTCTAAAACATATTTTATTATTATTTTAATCATTTACCAGCTGCATGCTTGTATTGCAGACCTCTGTGGACTTAGCTTGTCTTCTGGGTTTGTTCAGAGTGAATCCAGTTGAAATTTGGAGTTTGATAAATATGCAAATCCTTAATTTTACATGCCATTCCTGATTTTAAAGCATATCTTGGCTGGCACCAAATGAAAAATGCACATTAATTTGAAATAACTGAAAGTCACTGAGCTATTACTGAATTTAACTGAGTTGGAGTGACAGAGCTGACGGATGACCTATTGAAGACTATGGGGTTAAACCGTTAAAGGACCACTATAGTGCCAGGAAAACAAACTTGTTACTATATAGTCCTTAGGACCCCCCCCCCCTCGCGCAGCCACTTACTTCAGCCACTTACCTTTATCCAGCGCCTGGCTCCCTTGGTGCTGGTGACCTCTCCTCCTCCTCCGATGTCGGCTTCAGTGAGACAGCCACTAGAGGCTGGATTAACCCTGCAGTGAAAACATAGCAGTTTCTCTGAAACTGCTAAGTTTTCAGCTGCAGGGTTAAAACCTGGGGGACCTGGCACTCAGGCCACTTCATTAAGCTGGTCCTTTAACTACCTGCTATAATGTACTGTGACACCAGTAAACAACATGATTACTAACAAAAAAAATGTGTATTACAAAAATAACAAAGTGCTAGGAATACCAATATCATCAGAATTAATACCTGGATCAACTACTTGATATCCATGTAGGATAGGCCTGAAGTGATGTTGATAAAACAAAGTAAAAAAAGACAAAAAGTTATACCTGGCTGCTAGTTAAGAAAATAAAAACAGAACTGAGTGTATCTTGTCCTATGACCGACCTTTAAAGACTGGAAGTTGCTCATCTACAATGAAGATCCAGTCTCTCGTGGGATGCACAGACATCACTTCGCTGTTCGTTTGTGGCGTTTTGGTGTAAGAAGACAGACGTGGAGAAATTTGAGATTTTAGTGTGCTTGGGGACTCAGAAGAGAGTCTTGGCTCTGGTTTTCCAACAGTCAAACCGTCTGCTGTTGTAAAGACTGTGGGAGGGCCTCCTGCACCAGGAGAGGTCAACGTAGGGTTTGAAGAATCACCATCTGCCATACTTGGGTTAGTTCCAGTATTCTGCATAGGTGGTTGAGATGGGCTGTGGTTCAATTCGTACCACTGTTCTGAAGCTCCAGTCTCTTGTAAGTGTTCAACAGTCACTGGTGGGACAACTGATGAAATATCTGTAGTTGTGGATACTGGACTCACCTCTGTCAGTGTCAAGATTGTTGCCTGAGTGTCTGTGTTGTGGTTCTTGAGGAGATACTGGTCTCCCCGTTCTGTAGAATCCTCGTTCACCACAGGCCAAATCCATGTGGTCAATGAGGAGTTGGGTTTTGTGCTTAGATGTGGCTGTTTTTGTGTGGCTTGTGTTGGTTTGTTTTGAGTTTCTGAGAATGCTTGGGGATAACTCTGTGTAGTTCGCTGTGACTGAGTTTGTTCATTTATTTCTGGCTCAGTAAATGTAGTTAGTTCTGCATGTTTTTGCCATTGTGGCTCACTTTGTGTAGGCAGTTGTAGTGGCATTTTGGTTTCTTCTCCTAACTTTGTTTTGCTGTAATATTCTGAATGGGCCTGCAAAGGTGGACTATGGCTTATCTCAGTCAAGTTATTTTTTTTAGATGATTCTGTAGAGATCTGTGGGACTAGGTCAGGTTGTGTCTGTGTAACTAGGTCAGGCTGAGTGTGTGTGACTCGACCAGGATGACTCTGGTTAACTAGGTCAGGCTGACTCTGGATAAATAGGTCAGGTTGTCTCTGGGTAACTAGGTCAGCTTGACTCTGTGTAACTAGGGCAGGCTGGGTCTGTGTAACTAAGTCAGGATGAACCTGAGTGGACCGTTGTGGCATAGTTTTTGAGACTAGTTCAGCCTGGTTATATGTTGATGGGTCAGGATTATTTTTTGTTCCATACGCCTCCTTGGACTCTGTGACTAGGTTAGACTTGGTCTTTGAGATCAAGTCAGGGTAGGTTTGGTAGGTGAGGTTAGCATGAGTGTTTGTGGTCAAGTCATTCTGGTTCTGAGTAGTTAAATCAGTCTGGTTTTTGTAAATTTGGTCACTCTGGTTCTGGTCAGTTAGGTCAGGTTTGGTCTGGGTGCTGAGGTGTGGCTGACTATTTGCAGTCAGGTTTGGCTGGATTTGAGTGAAATCGTCAAACTTGGACTTTGTTACTAGGTCATGTTGGGTTTGAGTGATAATGTCTGATAAGGTTCGTGTGACTAGGTCTGGCTGGGTATTCATATCTAGGTCAGGTTTAGTCTTTATGTTAACGTAATTTTCATTTTGTGTGATGTTTGTGATTGGGTCGAGCAGTGTCCGTGTGGCTTGATCCGTATTGGTTTCTAAGTTGAGCTCTGACTGGCTCACAAGATTAGACTGACTCTCCATGGCTAATTTTGACATGATTTGACCAGTCTGCATCACAAAGCTTTGCGTAAGTGGGTCTGGTGTGCTGTATGTGGTGGTCACCTCTGTCAGGTTCTGCATAGTTAAGTTTCCTTCTGAAGGGTGGTTTGTGAAAGATCTCAATTGTGTGTGCGGTTGTGTTACTAGTTTTGAGTATAGTCGAGCATTCTGTCTTGATAGGGTCTGAGATGATTCTTCTAAAGGAATTTCGGTAGTCATTTCCTGGGTTAAGTCCGTGGTTAGAACTGGTGAAACCTGCAGGTCTAATTGTCTCTGAATAGGTTTCATAAATCTTGGTTGAAATGGAGTGATTCGATCTGGTTGAATGTTTTTTGTTAACTCTGATAGAAGACTTGTTATTTTCCCTTGTTGAATAGTTGTGTTCACCCCTTGTTGACTAGTTGTGGTTATTACTTGTTGAGTAAATCTGGTTATTCCTTGCTGGTTATTTAGGCCTGGATGACTAGTCGTGGATACCAGAGTTTGCATGTGTTCATTTACCTCCAACCGTTCTTGTGTGGTGGAATGTGGCTGTGTCTGCACTGTGAACCCCAGTTGTGTTTGGCTTAATATATCAGATTGGCTTTTGTCAGTGGCAGGTTTATATTTAATTTGCGTCCTTGATGCCACTTTCTCTGTCACCAGTTCTGTCTGTATGTTAACAAGTGTCTTCTCCTGGGGTTTTGGATCTGGTGGTGTCAACAGTTCTATTCGGTCCTCTAGAATGGGGTCTGCTGTGGTCTCTACACTTGACTCCTGTTGCCTATGTGTGTTTAATTGTGGCAGTGTACCAGTTCTTGGTTCAGAGAGAAAATCTGTCCCTAATTCTGCTGATGTTATGAGATGTTGGGTAATTGTGGTAGCATTGGAATGAGTCTGATGTTTTTGTTCAGATTGGAAATGTGACAATTCAGGGGAAAGTTTCTGCATTTGTGTGGTCTTCCATAATTCTGCGGACTCATCTGATTGAGTTTGGTCTTCTTGTTCTGAGTCGGTTTGTGTGTTCATTTCTTCCTGTGTCAATAAACCTGCTTCAAATTGGACTTTTTGGTCAGATTTCTGCCCAACTTTATCATGAATCTCTTGAAGGGTTGGCCCAGATATATCAGTGTATCTCTCCTGCAGTACTCCAAAAACATCCTCCACTCTATCTGCAAAGTTAGCAAGTGTTTTGTGCCTACCTTTTGAAAGTTCGGTGTCAACAAGAGAATTCCCTGTGGTATCTTTTTCCTGCAAAACTTTCTCAGAGGTGAAATTGGACAACAAACCAGCAACTCGGTGGAGTTTATTATTTTTTGAGCTGGAGTTCTGCATTAGTGATTGTAAAGTGCTATTTGCTAAAATATTGCTGAGGGGTGACCTTACAGACTGGGTTGTAGACTCCTCACCCATTGTAAAATGTTCTACTTTGTGGGTTCTAATTCCATATAGAGTGTCCTCATGACTAGTCTTTACTGGCCTGCTCAAGGACATCTTGTCAACATCATCAGATTGGACCTCGCTGGCAAAATTGGTAGTACTAGAGGAAACATTTAATCCCGTATCATCAAATTTTGGCATGTTTTCCACCTTCAAAGCATCTTGGTTTTGCCCTTCAATTACTGTAAGACCATATTCTGTGATTTTCTTTAAGCTCTTGACTTTGACAGGAGGGGTGATAATTTTCAGTTTTTTTGATTTCTTTAGCAATGATTGCCCCCCATGTTCAATGCTAACGATTGCCGGCATTTTGGTTGGGTGTTTAGTTGTTGTGTTCGTTGGGAAACCAGGAAAAAGTCCTTGTTGGCGGCTGGTAAAATTCAGTTTCCACTCTCCTTGTAAAGACTGGACTATGGCGGGCGTTGTTGATGGATCTTTCTGGACATTTTCCACTAAAGAATAAGGATGTGGTGTTGCAAAAGTTTTATTCATTAGTCCAGCAGGCATTGAAAATAAATGATGTCCTTGCTTTGGACTAGTCCCAGTTGTACTGTCCTTGGCTTCTAGAGTAACCTTAGTGAAACGTTCCAGGTCATCTGTGTAGTTTGAAAGAAACTCTGTGAGATAAAAAAAAGGAAAATAATCAGATAGATAAAAACTAAACATATAAACCAGTTATATTATTAGCATTGTAACAAACTATAAGGACTTCCAGTGCAGTGATTTTAAAATCTATTAATGTAAATATGGAAAAACACTTATGAATGGTAAGTTGCGATGCAACATAGGACTGAAGACTATATATATTTTGGTTCTTTATTATGGGGGTAGAGAACGTGAACCAATAGAATTTATAATCCCTTGGCATATCTCTAGATATAATCTTTCTATTTCAACCATTAGCACCAAGGAATAGTAGGAAAGGGCATGAGTAATCTTGTTATTAACAAATGGGCGAGGGAAGAGGGGTCCAAGCATTGGGACACCTAATGGATATCTTGGAGTCTAATCAAGACACTGCCCTAGTAATATATTATATATATATATATATATATATATATATATATATATATATATATATATATATACACACACATACATACATATATATATATATACACATATAGAAAAAAACAAAAGCCTTGCACTCCTACTTATAAAAATTTAGTACCCGGTGCTAGATTGCATTAAAAATGCAGAACAGAAAAAAATCAGCACTCCCAGGATTTTTAAATAAAGCTTCTTTTTACTCCAAAATATCGACGTTTCAGTTCCTACCAGGAACTTTCATCAGGATAACAAACATAAGATTTATGTTTGTTATCCTGATGAAAGTTCCTGGTAGGAACAGAAACGTCAATATTTTTTTTTTAGTAAAAAGAAGCTTTATTTAAAAATCCTTTTTTCTGTTATATATATATATATATATTTGTGTAAGGGGCAAAATAGCCGTATATGGAGTAAGGATCCAGCATAAGCTTAGGATAGTGTAAAGGGAGCAAGTCGGTTGTGGTGTGCCGATACCGACGATACGGTAGGCCTGTAAATAAAGAGGGCCCACCAAGGAGTAAGAAAGTAAAGTAAATGGAAAGAAAAGAGAAAGTGTTGAAATGAGGAGTGGGTGGGAGGGTCATTCTGATGCTGACCTCAAGCGATATGAGTCAGGTAAGATATATAATTTAAGCCCCTCCCACAAATACAGGCAAAACTGCCTTAATACTTGTGTAAGGGGCAAAATAGCCGTATATGGAGTAAGGATCCAGCATAAGCTTAGGATAGTGTAAAGGGAGCAAGTCGGTTGTGGTGTGCCGATACCGACGATACGGTAGGCCTGTAAATAAAGAGGGCAAAAATGAATAATCAAAGATTTAATACAGTCAACAAATATATACAAATTAACCAGACATTTCCTTAAATGCATTACAGTATTTAATTCCTGAAAGGATTTTGAAGGTAGGAATCTAGGACCGAAAGTGGGCACCATTTGTTGTGGGTAGGATAGTATGTTATCTCTACTGTTGGTGCATGTTGACTCATTTCGGAATGTGGTAGAGCCAATAGGTAATGATATATGTGTTTACGTACGTGGGATCGTTGAAGACAATGATCTGTCTGAGTGGTGGTGATGGTAGTGGATTCTCTGGCCTGAGAAAGGCATAAAAGGCAATGTGCATGGCTGGTAATGGCTGACTTGGTAGTATAATTGAATGGTTGTAGATCTAATAGGTCCGATAAGGATGAACAGTTGGATGGCTATTGGTAATCTCTGAGAGGAACGTGGGGGAATGGATTCCTGAAAACCTCTGAGTATATTCTTTTCTGGTATGATAGCATGAAGTTTATGGTAGTTTTGGCCATAGGTTATCATGTGTTGTTGAATGCCTGTAAAATATATAATTAATGGTGTATGAGATAGTTTAAGTTTAAGGTGGCAAAAATAAGCAAAACTTAGGAGAAATTTTGTGACACAGGTTGAGCTATGTCGTGTTCCAATGAGATTCTTTAAGCCAGGTGAAAAGCTGTGTTATGCGTTCTACAAGTATGGGACGAAAGTGCTAGCTGGGATAGTGCATGCTATGCTGCATGAGTATGTCTAATCCATGATTTTGTCTCTGGAACGAAAGAGTGGACGTGACTGTATGGGCGGCTGTAGGAAGCGTATGATGAACATGCCTGGAATATAAATGAGACAGTTGTCGGCAGGGATGTATACCCCCGTCTGGTACATGAAAGTGAAATGTGATAAGTGGCCAACCAAGTGAGTTCCCCAGAAACATCATGAACTTATGGATGAGTAGTGGCGTTTGTTGATGATATGGTATGTGCTTAGTTGTCTGAGTAACAACGGATTGATGACCCTGACCATGATTTACCCCATGCCACAGCAGCTGCTACAATGGGGTAGATCTCCCAAAGGGGCTGAAGTGGTGGAAAAATTTCCAAACCTGGATGCCATGGCCAACAGCCCCAAAGCAATTGTTCCCGGTAGATCGCTGCCAAACCCGTGGTATACACTGCATCTGACCATCTGGTTGGAGAAGTGTCAGACAATCCTGGAAGGAACATGCTTTTACCATGCCAAGTGGTTAAGAAATCCCCCCCCATGTGCAGGTCTGCTGTTGCTGAGGTGTCTAGGCACCTCCTCTGATCGTCATGTTGGAAGTGTGGAAAAAAGGGGAAAGTACTCTGGATGTGAAAGCATGGCAAAATTAAGGAACCTGGTAGGGATCGTAGTTCCTTGCAGTTGTAAGTACTAAGCAGGAGGTAGTGATTGATGTAGTTGAGAATGTTCCCTATTTGTCTTGTGGTAACTTGCGTGTATGGATGCCGACTCAAGTCATATGCCCAGTAATGTGAAGATAGTGTCTGGGCCTTCTGTTTCTTATGGGGTACTGGGACGCCCAAGTGGTCAACCAGACTAAGCTGCCGTGAGGCTTCTAGTGAAAAATATGCTTTCTTTGATTAACAAGAAGTCTTCTAGATAGTGTATGACTGTAAGGCCTCTGGATATGTTATCATAACCAGCACAGAGTATCTGCGAATATCGATAGTAGGCTAATCTGTAGCTCGAAAGTTGAGCGGGGAAAGGATTGCCCAATTTATGCCATGTAAGTGCCAGTGTGTAGGGTAGATGGTAGCCGTTTACTGCGTTGATGATATTGGTCTTACTTAATCAAGCTTCAACCCATGCTTGAGTGATAGCTGTAAAGGTAGATCAATGGTGTTGTATAGTAAAAAAAAAATCCTCGGAGGGTATGAGGGAGTTGAGACTTGGGGTAGCGGAGGTGTGTGTTACCAATAAGTCCATGGTTAGTCTTTGTTTAAGGGAAGATTCCTTGTGACAATACCAATGTGTGTGTTTGGTGCCATGCTGTAAATGGTGGAGATTGGAAGACCCCTCTGCAAATCTTGGCTATGAGTGTGTTTACAGCCAATGGTTTTGTTGTGCTGACTGTAAGTGAGGGCATGCTATATTCCTTGAAGGTGTGTTTATGATACCTGTATGGGAGCCCTTTGAAGCTCCAGAGCTTTAGTAAATCTACTACAAGTCTGGAAGGGTGATGAGTCAGTAGTGTTGAAAATGCATTGGTGTGTACAGATGGTGAATACGTTATTTGTAAGTTGTATTGGGACACATGGTTTGTCATGTGCCCTGAACTATTTGAACATATATGCAACAGTCTGTATGCAATGCAACTACTCATATCAGTGGTCTCTGGTAGTTCAGAGGTGCTGGTACCTGGAGCCTGAGAGTGCTCGTCCATTTGTTTGGGACAAAATCCCTTCTGTATGGGTACCTGCACAAATAAACATCTCCACATATTCCAAATGCCAACCCAACCAAGGGATGGTCAGTTCCCGATTTACCTGGAATCCCTGGATCTGACCATCACAGATACATCATCATACATATATATGCCTTGCTTCCCCAATGTGCTGGGATCATACGTGCAGGTTTAACATCTTGTGTGTCATAAGAATTGATTGTACCAGGTAACCGAGTTTCGGTTGGTGCTGGTTGTACAGTAGCGTGAGGCCCAGCCTTGTGAGGGCTGTGGTGACCAACTCGAGATTGCCAGTCTGTCATAAATTTTTTGGCTCATGAGTTTATGAGTGAAGCTAGCATAGCCTGGGTGTCACCTGAGTTGATGTAGCTGGGCCTTCCCCTGCCTCCGTGTTGTCCGTTGATGTATGGAGGAGTTTGAATAACTGCTTTCCTTGCTGTAGCAGGGTAGGGGATTTGTCACCTCCTTAGGTCGGTGGTAATGTGTGGGATCGTCCAGGATCTGATTGCTGCTGGACTAGCAACATCTCCTCTGCTTGAAGGTGTATCAATTCTAGCCGGGGTGCTAGGAAGAGGTGATTCTTCACCATCTTTTTGAGAAATACTTAAATAACAATAAAGATTGCAATTATTATTTGTACCCAGGGTTCTTGTACTGGCTTGCTAGCTAAGCCGTAAGGCGAAATGATTAGACTTGGTGTTTTTTGGTGACTGGTGAGGCCCTGCTAGTTGCCAAGTGGCTTGAGAGGCTCTATCTATGCTTGGCGCGAGGGGATTTTGTGTGGCCACCGAACGTTGTGGCAGGATGTTGGCCTCTCGGTGACAGTAACCAGAAAATAGGAAGGGGAGTGACAGGTGAGGTCCTCTCTATGATACAATGCGAGGCGACTAGCTCACGAGTGGCCCGAGGGGTGTATGCCTCCGAGTGTGAGGCGGGGTGTTGGCCTCGCGGGACCACTAACCGAAGCATAATGCAGAGAAAAAAGGGGGTAATACCTATTGGGCCCTAGAACCCTAATTGCCAGTACACTATTACTATTCCAGGGAAGGTAAGAGATGGATAACTACGTGAGCAGGTGTATGTACCTGGTAGTATGGTATTGAACCTGACAATCCGTATAGGTTTTTTAGTAGTAACTGTAACCTGAATGGATAAAACCGTATGGCATAAGGAAATATGGCATAGACCAAGCTTATCTTAATACGTACAGTATATGTGAAAAGTAAAGTGACGTGATGTGTAAATATTAAACATCGTAGCCATACTGGTTAAATATGTATCAATCTTAACCCATTAAGTGCCGTATGTACAAGTGAAAATGTGGTCTGTCCCCACCTTGTATGTTATATGTCCCCTTGCTAGGGGAAGTCTGTTGCGGGAGCAGCGTGCTGTGAAAAATGTATGTGAACTATATTACCAGTTACATATATACAGATGTGTCTGCTACTGTGTAATAATATATGTATTTATACCAGATGTTGACATAGTGCTTGCTATGTGAATTGTTGTATGTCTTATTGAATGGTAGGGGTCAGTGAACATGGTGTTGCAAAATGCAAGTGCACTGGAGATCTGCTGAGTGCCCTATAGGTGGCAGTGTAGTTGGATACTGATTGGTATGTGAAATGTTCTTTGTCTGTTGACCTATAGGTGTCAGTGTTTTGGTGTTTGTAAAACCCCATGAAAATTGTCAATGTACTTGACAGACCTGTAGGTGGCAGTGTTGATAGAACCACTGTTGGTCTTGATGTGAAATGTAAATTATTGTGAATTAAACCTGAAGTTGAGCCCGTGCTGGAGTTTAATTTATGGTCTATAGTTATGTTTAAAACAATCTTATGTGTAATTTATATTGGCTGGTAAATTGTATATGACATGTGAAGACAGTTTGCTGTTGACCAGTAGGGGTCAGAAATGCTGATTGTATGTTAAAATACCCTTTAACCCCTTAAGGACCAAACTTCTGGAATAAAAGGGGATCATTACACGTCACACATGTCATGTGTCCTTAAGGGGTTAATGCTACCATTTGACAGATAGGAGTCAGTATAAAAGCGAAAATGCTGTAGTTCGTTTGTTTGCTTATGAAGTGGAATAAAATCTGAGAAGCCTGTAGTATACTGATTGACCGGTAGGGGTCAGCATGTAGGCGAAAATGCCGTGGTTAGTTGGTTTGTACATGAAATGCAATAATGTCTGAGAAGCCTGTAGTACACTGAATGACTGGTAAGGGTCAGTGTGTAGGTGAAAATGCAGTGGTTTATGGTTTTGTACATGAAAAGCAAAAACGTCTAAGAAGCCTGTAGTACACCGAATGACTGATAGGGGTCAGTGTGTAGGTGAAAATTGCAGTGGTTTGTTGGTTTATACATGAAATGCAATAATGTCTGAGAAGCCCGTAGTACACCGAATGACCGGTAGGGGTCAGTGTGTAGGCGCAAATGCAGTGGTTCGTTGATTTGTACATGAAATGCAATAATATCTAAGAAGCCTGTAGTACACTAAATGACCAGTAGTGGTCAGTGTGTAGGCGCAAATGCAGTGATTCTTTGATTTGTACATGAAATGCAATAATGTCTGAGAAGCCTGTAGTACACCAAATGACCAGTAGGGGTCAGTGTGTAGGTGCAAATGCAGTGATTCGTTTATTTGTACATGAAATGCGATAATGTCTAAGAAGCCTGTAGTACACCAAAAACCGGTAGGGGTCAGTGTGTAGGTGAAAATGAGGTGGTTTATTGGTTTGTACATGAAAATGCAAAAAACGTCTAAGATGCCTGTAGTACACCGAATGACCGATAGGGGTCAGTGTGTAGGTGAAAATGCGGTGTTTGGTTGGTTTTTTCATGAAATGCAATAATGTCTGAGAAGCCGGTAGTACACCGAATGACCGGTAGGGGTCAGTGTGTAGGCGAAAATGCAGTGGTTCGTTGGTTTATACATGAAATGCAATAATGTCTAAGAAGCCTGTAGTACACCCAAAGACCGGTAGGGGGTTTAAACGAATGATATGCATGAACATGCAATGGTTTTAGAACAGACATAGACAAAATGCAGCCGTAAAGTGAGGACCTGACCCGTGCATGGTGCCGTGGGACTGATGCCTGGCGTAACGGGTAGGTCGACTTACTGTTTGTGAGTCACTTGGACACCATCCACGGTGATGGTTTGAAGAAAGAAGGTGGTAGGCCGGAAAAGCCTGTGGCTGGATTCCTGACACAGCTCTGCTTAGAAAACCTCATGGAGTAATCAGGTAAAATGGCGTCTGGATGACCCGGAAGTGGAAATCATTCTGATGCTGACCTCAAGCGATATGAGTCAGGTAAGGGGTGTCCCTTATATAGGGGAGTGAATTAATTTAAGCCCCTCCCACAAATACAGGCAAAACTGCCTTAATACATATAGTTTCAATATACATTTAACATTTATTTAGACGTGTTTGTTCCAATGATTGAACTGAGAGCTGCCAATAATGTATGGTAGAATTTAACCAGTAGTAAATACAATCACACAATCACACAATCACAAAGGATATTAATGGGTTTAGTGTTCATCCACAAGAGTCCATCATGTCAGCCTGCTGGAGGCTTTCATGATTCACAATATTTTGTATCTTGATGCAGTGAATTCTGTTATTTAATTTCAGCAGATTTTCCAGTAAATTGCAATTACACGACAGGCTGAAACCAAGTATCACAAAGTAATAATCCGCCATCTTGAATGTTGGTAGTAATAGATTAGGGAGTACCATGAGAGTGGCAGAGAAAAGCTGCCAAAAGCCATGGATGAGCAGGAAATCAGCCGAAAGTCGGCATTGCCCTGAATTTCTATCTTTTAACTGTCAGACCCTGATCATACAGGATAAACTAGTGATATACTGTATCTTAGATAGAATTCAGTATTGGTAACGGCTGTATTTGATTAATTATTATTTTTATGTATATATCTCATTTCAGTAAGTGTATACTTTATTTCACGGTAAATTATAAAATAAGGTCTCTGTTATTTTATAAACATGTCTTGTTCCTTCACACACTTTATTTCCTTTGGCAGCTCTAAGAAAGTCTTAGAATTAGCAAGTCCAACGAGCCAGGGATTCATGAGTTGTCCTGAAGGACAATTTAGAAAGGTCAATGATTCCATTGGTTGCCAACAAGGAAATGGACGATAACGTCTTAATGGTATAGTTGACTGTTAACAAGGCAATTGAAGGTCCATCTCACAACACGGGTCTACACATTTTAATTATATCGGACCAGCAGGTATACTTAGCACTTGACAGTTGACATTAAGGAAAAATTAAGTAATTTCACTAGAAATTAGTGGTTTCCAATACCAACCCAAGGCACACCAATAGTTTCAGCAATTATCTCCATAGGAAGAGGATTGTCTAAATACTGCTGGTGCTACTCGAGGACTGGTTTGGGAACAAATGCTGACTTAAACAGGACATAGAAGTCCCTAATCATCTTCATTTTATATTTTATTTACGACTTCTCCAGAGTTATTCTAGTTCTTTTGTGGAATACAATGGATTTTTTTTATATTAAAAAAAATCTAAGAAAATGAATCCAGAGGTTTGGCAGATGAAAATATTTTAATTCTGACACTTTTCCAAATGAATCACAGCTCCAGGGCATAAGAGTCAAGAACATGCGAAAAAAATATAATTATACTTACTATACTTCTAAACACTTACCGTGAACATGAATTGTACCAATATTCTTCTTGTCATTGGCAAAAAAAAGATCTGGAACGTGGCAAAACCTAAATTTCTAGTTTGACAAGAACTGTATAAAAAGCTTTCCAGAAACATGTTCTATGTCCTGCGCAGTATTTTACAAAAACGATACAATCAGGTTTATTCAATGAACTGATATTTATGTATTATTATTATTAATGCCATTTATATAGCCCCAACAGATTCCGTAGTGATGTACAATAATATGAAAGGAGGGATTTGACTATAAATAGGACAATTACAAGAAAACTTACAGGAACGATAGGTTGAAGAGGACCCTGCTCAAACAAGCTTACAGTCTATAGGAGGTGGGGTATAAGACACGTTAGGACAGGAAATATCAATCAAGTAAGGTGGGAGTGAAGCAGAGCTGGAGGAGAGAGTAGAGTGCTGCCATTTAGCAGAAAGCAAGAGACAGGTATGTGAGGTAGAGGTTAGTCTGGGAGGCCATAAGCTTTCCTAAAGAGATGGGTTTTAAGGCACTTCTTAAACGATTGAAGACTAGGGGAGAGTGTGATGGCGATAGGCAGGCTATTCCATAGGAAGGGAGCCGCCCGCGAGAAGTCCTGCAAGCGTGAGTTGGCCGTACGGGTGAGGACAATGGAGAAGAGGTGGTCACGGGCAGAGCGGAGAGACCGAGAAGGGGCATACCTATGGATCTGTGATGAGATATAAGAGGGTCTAGAATTGTTCAGTGCTTTATAGGTATGAATTAGTACCTTGAATTGACTCCTATAGCATACAGGAAGCCAATGTAAGGCCTGACAGAGGGGTGAGATGTGAGAGAACCGACTAGAGAGGAAATCAGTCTAGCGGCAGCATTCATTACAGACTGTAGCGGGGCAATACGGCTTTTGGGAAGACCAATTAGGAGAGGGTTACAATAATCCATGCAGGAAATTACTAGAGCATGGACAAGCTCTTTAGTAGCATCTTGGGTAGGAAAGGGGTGGATGGGGGCTATGTTTTTAAGATGGAATCTACAGGATTTGGTAACATGCAGGATGTGAGGCTCCAAGGTGAGGCCAGAATAAAATATAACGCCAAGACAGCAAGAATGGACTGATGTGGATACCACTGACTTCAAGGGAGAGCGAAAGAGGAGGAAAGACAAGGAGTTCAGTTTTAGAGAGATTTAGTTTTAGAGAGCGGGAGGACATCCAGTCAGAGATGGAGAAAAGGCAAGCAGTGAGAAGTTGCAGGACGGCAGGGGAGAGGACCAGGGTGGCGAGATATAAATAGGTGTCATCAGTGTACAGGTGGTAGTGGAATCCAAATGAGGCAATAAGTTTGCCAAGAGAGGCAGTATAAAGAGAAAATAGAAGGGGACCAAGGACGGAGCCTCGGAGGACTCCAACTGAGACAGGACGAAGGGATGAGATATCATTAGAAAAGGAGACACTGAATGAGCGTTGGGAGAGATAATGTAGAATTGACAAAAGAAATGCATATTTTGGGGGGAAAACAGATAAGCAGGAAGACTAGACAATTTTGGTTTTCCAAATTTTCTATTGCGTCCTAAAATGTGCTATTGCCAAGATAACCGGTACTCCGGCCCACTGTTCATCACAGTTAGATACTAAAACAAGAGGACAATATCCTTACACTGTTACCACTGTTACTAAAGTCATATATATATATATAAGTTTGTTGTTTCTACTTCATGTTAAAAACTAAAAACAAAAAAAAACAATGACAACATGTCACGAGCCTTTGTTTCCTGTATTCTACGACCTATGTATACAACTTTGGACTACAATCAGGCTCTTGCATGAGCAGCACTTTGTAAAATGCATTACCAACTGTCATTGAAAAAATAAAGAATTATAAAAAAAAAATAAAAAAAATGTGCTATTGCCTTTTCTGTAACAAATCATAAAGCTCAAAGCACATATAGAATGTGTTTTACGGGTATAGAATACATAATGAAAGCTTGTGATATCACTGAACAGGTCAGATCTGGGCTTGTTCAAGGTTGGTTCCATTTCCCAGAATTCTATGTTATCTATGGTTAAAGGTCACCTCAATAAAGTCATTATGGTACGGGAGGTCCATGAGCACCTGTGACTGGCTGAGAGCAAATGAGATATGTTGGTAAATCTAATGAGATAAAACTCTAAAAAATGGCAGAAGGAGCACTTTAATAATGTGCAAGTTAAGTCAATATACATTTACCAAAGCAAAACAGGAGCAATTCTCATACAAAGTGTAAAATGTTTTGAAATATTCTGTCTGTGTCCTTGTGACTGCCCCACGACATAGCACTTTGCCTCGTAACAGTTTTTTTTTTGTCTATATTTTACAAGTGACTTCTGAAAACATAGAATTTGACCGCAGATAAGAGCCATTCGGCCCATCTAGTCTGCCCAATTTTCTTAATACTTTCATTAGTCTCTTATATCAAGGATAGCCTAATGCCTACCTATGCATGCTTAAACTCCTTCACTGTGTTAACCTCTACCACTTCAGCTGGAAGGCTATTCCATGTTTCCACTACCCTCTCAGTAATTAATAAAATATTATACTATGGCACATTGTACAAAGGCATTCTAGAATTTGCCCTTGGGAAAGGAAGTTGGATTCGCTGTCCTGGGGCCGGCAGACAGGAAACAAAAAGTGAAATCTAAGTCTGTTTTCTTACAAGACACGAGGGGCTGTATTCAAATCTCATTAAACAGCTTTCCCACATTTCATCTCTCTCTCCTTCTGAGAGGTCAGTGGGGTGTGTATTTTATAGGCAGCCCCTCTGCCTGCTTTGGCACGTACTGATTCATAGAAGATTGGAAGAAAGGTGACCCAAGAGGATCTGGAAACAGGGTCATAAAAAAGCATTTTTTGGAACCATTGTTTGCCCGCTCAGTTGCCAACTACGTCAGGCAACTTTTGGCTGTCTTAGATTAATCGGATTTGTAGTATGGCTGAGATGTTGTATGGTACCAGTCTTGGCTGGATTGAGCCACCTTGGAGAAGATTGTACCCAACTGTCCTGGATTTGTTGAGAAAGTCCTGATTTGCTCACCTGGAGTCTAAAAAGGGGGACACCAGAGAGAATCTCCGTAAAGCACAGCAGGAGTACACTATCAAATAGGTATGTCCTGTGCAAAATGAACTCAGGGCTTTCCTGCCTACACAGACCTCTTCAACAGCACTGTGCACATGGTCAATCATGAGGGGAGCTTACCAATAAGGAGATAGCTCTATCTGGCGCACATGCACACCAGGCCAAGTACTCCTGCCATGTCAAACTCCCTGACGCATCTTTTTTTTTTATGTTGGGTTCATATCCACCCTAGTAGGGCCTTGATTTAATATTATCATTATATTTGTATTATTATTGCCATTTATATAGCCTATAAGACGCGCTTACAGTCTATAGGATGCGCTTACAGTCTATGGTCTATGGGACAGGCTTACAGTTTATAGGACGCTGTGAGGAACTGACTCTGCTGGGTTTCGAACCCTGGTTTACATGGTGCTAAACCTTTTCCTTACCAGTAAACCAGCCTGCCTTTTGCAAATTTACCTGAGATCTGATACCATTGCTTGTAGAGTCAAGGTTATCAGTGACAACTCTCTTCAGCTGTGTCTGGTCAGGTATCTGGTTCTTGGCCTATAAAAGCCACTTCCTGTCTCTGTACCTTTGCCAGATTATTGTGGTTCCTGTACTCTCTAATCCAGCGTGTTCCTGTTTCTCCTTCCTGTTGCTGAATTTGGACTGTTTTGACTTTGCTGCTTCTCCTTCCCACTGACCTCGGCTTGCCTCACTACGATTATCATCTTTCTGTTCCAGTCTCCCATCTCTGCTTAAGACCAGAAAGCCACTCAAGGCTCAGGGGCTCAACCACCTGGGTAACGAGTGGCTACCTCTGGCAGAAAATATTGCTGATCTGGCTACTGGACTCCAAAACTTTGTAACATCAATATCATTACAGACGCGCTTACAGTCGTTGGGACAAGCTTACAGTCTATAGGACGGGCTTACAGTCTATGGGACGAGCATACAGTCTATGGGACGAGCTTACAGTCTATGGGACGGGGTTACAGTCTATAGGAAGGGCTTACAGTCTATGGGACGAGCTTACAGTCTATAGGACGCGCTTACAGTCTATGGGACGGGGTTACAGTCTATGGGACGGGGTTACAGTCTATAGGAAGGGCTTACAGTCTATGGGACGCGCTTACAGTCTATGGGACGCGCTTACAGTCTATGGGACGCGCTTACAGTCTATGGGACGGGCTTACAGTCTATGGGACGGGGTTACAATCTATGGGACGAGCTTACAGTCTATAGGAAGGGCTTACAGTCTATGGGACGGGGTTACAGTCTATAGGAAGGGCTTACAGTCTATAGGACGCGCTTACAGTCTATGGGACGAGCTTACAGTCTATAGGAAGGGATTACAGTCTATGGGACGAGCTTACAGTCGTATATTATTGGATAAACCTTTAGAATGATTACATTTTCTGGTTTATTGATTATTGTTTTTTTTTATATATGATATTTTAATATTTTTCTAAATTCTTTGAAAAGTTTATCAAAAAAATTTACATAATTTGAAAATACAAAAATATGGAATAAAGGCCTGCGTATCACAGTAAAGGCAGTTTTATCTAATTTATGATTATTTGTGTATCGTGTGTAACTCACTGCTCTAGCTATTACATTTGATGTAACTTTTTTTTGTTTTAAAGGACGTGGTGGCTTAAACGCCAAGCACAGAAACAAAAGTGATTTAACTCCTAAATGGCAGAGAATTGAGCAGAGAGACTGCAGGGGCACGATATATATATAAACAAAAACTGCTTCATTAAATTAAAGTTGTTTTGGCACCTATAGTGTTCCTTTAAATTAATAAAAATGAATAAAAATAAATTTACATCAAATAAATCATTTTTATTTGCCAGGTTCTGGGAGCAATTCTGGAGCGTCACCCAGTGAAGGAAGCGAAGGCTTGCAGACACAACCACAACCCGGATGAACCCCAAAGAAATGCCGAATGATGGGTCTCCACAAGGACCGGCTCCAGGTACCGGCAGACCACCCAGGCTGAGGACCCCACGAGGGTTTCCCCCGCTACACAATAAACGCAGACGAACGACTATCACCACCAACCGACATCAACCACGTGGAATCACCTGCACTCTCTGGACGGGGAAAGGCTCAACCACAGGGAGGCTCTGGACCGAGGGGCACAGACAACTACCCCACAACAAGGATAGAGGCTGGAGAGGCACAACAAAAAGGAGCAGAAATGCCGCAAGCCCAGGCAGACAGCCTGAATACCCGGTGTACTTACCGACCACAGGGATTGGGTAAATCCCGCCCTCCCACAGTGATCTCCACCTGGGAACTTTCCAGCCTTACCACACCATTTTACTGTTCCCCCACAGTTCGTATATTGTTACATCTATACTTACCCACACCCTAACACAGCATACTCTTTTGGGGATTATAAGCCATAAACTATCACCCATCACTCTGCTATGTGGCCATATTCCTAGAAACGTCTACCACTAATATAGGTAGAGGGTTATTAGCCAGTGGTATTACCAGTTGAAAGTAACTAAGTACATTTCTATATTATGCATGTTTGTTTCTCTCTCAGTCCATTAGATAGAAATGTGCTTCTGAAGCTCTTATTCTGTTCTTCCATTTATTCTAAGGAAAGGAAAATGTGCAGCAATGTAAGCGACCAACATTATATAGAATATCACGCACATGTTTACCTTTTTTGCCTAATTGTTCCCACGCTGCCAACGCTGAAGTAGACATGCCAGTCTAGCTTGTTTAAACATAATAATATAAAAATGTGCAGCCTATATGTGCCCAGTCGAAATCTTTGTTGTTTAATCTCTGTGTGCTGTTGTGGCACTTTACTTATGCCTTTAATCTAATTGCACAGAAAAATAAAGAATAAAAAAAAAAAAAAATCCAACACTACATACAAACACACCCCAGTTATCAAACAGTACATAGAGGGGACGGGGCCTGACACTCATGATGGCCAGACGCACATGCTGTTAGCTCCGGCTATACAAGCTTCATTTACCGTCTAAATCGCCTTGTGCAATGCAGACAAAACCTTCTTTCAGCTGCAGACCAACATTATGTAAGCCTGCACCGTCCTCTTTCCAGATTGACTCGGTCGCTCAAGCACTTACCTCATTCTGGATCTGCAGCCTTACGTGCCCGGCGACCGAGAGAAGCGGCCGATTTCCCGACCCGGTGAGCACAACAGGCTGAAGCCTATCTACAGCTCCGTTATCCCCCCCACCCCCCTCTGGACCCGTGGGGGGTATCCCGGTCCCCAATGGAGAGCTGATCTTCTGACAACTAGTAACAGACAGGCCTGCAACACTGAATCCATGCCTCGTGTCCCAAAATGGCCGTCAAAGGAAGGCATTGTGAACGGCCTGCACTGCCTGAACTAGTGGGCGCAAGCACTCATACATCAAGGAACAAGGCCTTGGACGATATAGAGCAACCTGCACATAGCAATATCATGACATCAATGGATGCTGTGTTTGCCCGTTTCTGGGCACACTTGGAAGAACGCCTGACAGTATCTCACCCTCTATCTACAGGGGGAGTTCAGAGGAGCAAGGGTGGGAAAACGGGAGGACCCCCTCAGGGTGGCACATTTGCTCCGACGCAACTTACTCGCTTCAGCAGCCCACCCAGACTACGGGCCACAGTACGTCGACCACGCAAACAGAGAACCAGAGGCCAAACCAGGCCCCAGATCATCCAGGACTTCCGTTGCCCTTTTCAGGGGAAGGACTTGCAAAGTTCCTGAGTCCGTGGCTCAGAGGTGATAGCCCTTACACAGGCATGGTACGGGAGGGTGGCGCCCACTTGGCATATTTACCCTGTCACTCCCAGCAGACGCTACATGCTTATTGTCAGCTTACCTTTATCAGGAGTCGGCTGAATCTTGGGGCACTCCATGTGGCAGCCTTTAACCCCTACTATAGGCCTTATTAACCAATTGTTTCTGCATTCTGTTAAAAGCTGCACCTCAATAAAAATACAGATTAACAAAAAAAACTAAACAATACATATAAACATCCCCTTCATTCAAACACTACACAATAAAGCACATCTGTATTTAAAAGCCAACACTGCACACAAGTACAGCACTGCACTACAATGGCAACAGTACATACAGATACATTGCTACATGCACACACATACACATACAAAAACATGATTACATTCAAACACACAAACACTGCTCACAAATAAAATCCTCAAAGTTTGGGAAAATGGTAGATCCCCAGCTGGCATTGCATTGTGGGAGTTGTATGACAAATGGGACATAACTTTTAGCCCAAACATTTTTTTATTGCACCAGGGCCCTCTCTACATTAGTCCATAACTGGGACAGAAATCAACCGATTTTTATGTTTCATCAGAAATGTTCCAACAGATACGTTTACTTAATGTATTTATGGGCTGTTCTCCTAAGGCGATAGAAAAATGGGGGAAACCCCAAATACGTGTCCACTGTCTCACTTGCCAGCCAGTCACTCTTCTCTGGTGTGAAAAAGTAAAAGTCTGTTTATGTTGAACCCCCCATTAGAGCTCAACTATAGGACTGTGTTTGAAATATCCTGTCCTTCTGTTTCCTGAAGCCGGATAAAATCTGGGCTGTTTCCGCAGATTCCCCCGGACAGAAGCAGTGACCTTATCTGCAGGAAAACCTTTCTCAGATTAAGGCAGGCAGGCCTGGGGGGCTGAGAGGGACAGAAAGTGCTATGGAAGGGGGTATTGCTTTCATAGAAACTAGTAGCAAACTATGTACTTTTATTCGCAAACGTACAGATATAGTAATAATACCCTCCACAGTGACGTAAAAGCAATGGCGGCAAGTGAGTCATAAGAATCCAACATAATAGCCTCTAGATGGATTTGGTTGATTTCAGAATCAAATCCATTTCCTTGACAGCGTGCGGCCGGCATACTGACCTTTCCAACCACAAGGGTCTCTTATAGAAGCACACAGAACACAGTGGCTTCTTAGTTAACCTTGATTTGGGGAAGTCATACAGTAGCAAAGATCCCCAAGCACTATGTAAACTGCGGTGGATCTATATGTCCAGAAATTATCATTTTGGACAGGTTTTCATTTCACTATTTATTACTTTTAAACATTTCCCTTTTTATTTTGTTTGGTTTTTTTGTGTTACTTTTTGTATAACACATTCCATTCATTCATTTTGTTGTTGTTTCTTGACCTTTTAATGGGCTGATCATTACATTACAGTGATAAAATAAAACATTACAGTCGATAAAGTGTGAACACAGGCATTTCTTTAATAAAAATAATGACGTACCTCCCAAGTGTCCCTATTTAGCAGGGACAATTCCTATATTGAGCCTCTTTTCTATCCTAATGTCCCTCTTTTCTAGGAGCTCCATATTGTTGTTGTGTCTGAGTGTATAACAGAGCTCCACAGCAATAATACTCCCAGTAATGTGTCTGAGTGTATAACAGAGCTCCACTGTAATAATACTCCCAGTAATGTGTCTGAGTGTATAACAGAGCTCCACAGCAATAATACTCCCAGTAATGTGTCTGAGTGTATAACAGAGCTCCACAGCAATAATACTCCCAGTAATGTGTCTGAGTGTATAACAGAGCTCCACAGCAATAATACTCCCAGTAATGTGTCTGAGTGTATAACAGAGCTCCACAGCAATAATACTCCCAGTAATGTGTCTGAGTGTATAACAGAGCTCCACAGCAATAATACTCCCAGTAATGTGTCTGAGTGTATAACAGAGCTCCACAGTAATAATACTCCCAGTAATGTGTCTGAGTGTATAACAGAGCTCCACAGCACTAATACTCCCAGTAATGTGTCTGAGTGTATAACAGAGCTCCACAGTAATAATACTCCCAGTAATGTGTCTGAGTGTATAACAGAGCTCCACAGCACTAATACTAACAGTAATGTGTCTGAGTGTATAACAGAGCTCCACAGTAATAATACTCCCAGTAATATGTCTGAGTGTATAACAGAGCTCCACAGTAATAATACTCCCAGTAATGTGTCTGAGTGTATAACAGAGCTCCACAGTAATAATACTCCCAGTAATATGTCTGAGTGTATAACAGAGCTCCACAGTAATAATACTCCCAGTAATGTGTCTGAGTGTATAACAGAGCTCCACTGCAATAATACTCCCAGTGATGTGTCTTTAAACTACAATAAATGTGTTTAGAAATCAGTCTGTGTGAATAAGAAACATTGTTCTTGTTCTAAATTACATTTTAGTTGCGTAAATTGTTATTAGTAAGTCACGTAAAATTCACCGCTCACCGCTGGTCACAGCCCGACTCACACCCCCTACAATTAAATTATCTTTTGTCCAATTCAAAAGGACAACAGGACTGTCCCACTGAAACTGGGATTTTTGGTAGGCCTACTTCATTGTCAGAGTACTGTAGTACTACTGTTCTCCAGAGAGTCACAATTTTATTTTCTGGTGGCCTCCGTTTTGGGGACACTAGGAATCTGTCGCCAAAGAGAGTAACGCAAGTGTATAATTAAATGTGCTCAGGGCATTAGGACCCTGCAGAGAACACTGAAACAGGTCTTTCGGTACAGTCTGTCCGCAGTGGACTGGCCTGAATGATTGACTGTCATGTAATGAAAACTACAATTATTAATTAATGCAATTTTTTTTTACACAAAAAGCATTGATTTTCCAGTGTCCTCTGTCAGTTTTTTGGACATAGAACACACGCAGATTATTCGCACAATATACTTAGTTAGTCGGACATCGTTGAGATATACAAAAACTATTACTAAGCTTGAATATAGCCCTCTTCACCTCTTGGTTCTGTTGACATTTTGTTTTTTGTCTGTCTAACACCTGCTGTTTTAATTTTCCTTTCTACACTTCTCTGGAAATTACACCACGGATCAAAACACTGAAAAACATCTATAACTCGTGGGAACCTTTTGTCATGTGATGCTAAGATTTCTTTTAAAAGTGTATTAAAAAGATATAGCAAATATGGTAATCCAGCTCAAGCCAGGCACACGATGCAAATGAGGAGAAGAAATAGAAATGTTGAGGAGTATTTATTAAAGCGTGGTGCAAAAATTTAAAAAGGGGTGAATTACCAATAAATTATGCCTTATGTTTCCACTGGTTTCCATGGTGATTTACTTTAGACTACTTTTTACAACATAAAGACTTTTGCACCCTCTCACCTGTTGACCCAACGCGTTTGCACCACAACTCGCATGGGAGTATCGAAACATTATAAATCTGCTGCTCTAACTACCGGTATTTCTTACATTCAGAATATTATTTTTGAAATCTGTTTATTTTTAGTATGGAACACATTTTGGCCACGTCCAATCACACTTATCCAACAGTTTTTAGAATTTGTGGTCTATGGTCCCCTTGTTAAGATACACAAATGGTGCAGATTAATATTGGGTCTCTTCTTGCTATAAGAGGGGAGCTCGCTTTTTTTTATTTTTAAAAGGAATTTTCACTCCTCATTTATGGTGTTATTGACATATGTCATATTACTATTGCTTGTACCTTATATATGCCTAAAAGAAGGAAAAAAAAAGACTGAAAAACAGGAAAATCAAAACGTCTACCTCTCAAACAATTTAGTAATGAGCTGCATATCCTGAAGTATTATTTCTTTTCAATAGTAATAGCAATAGTTCCAAATTGTGGTGATTAAAAATCAAACTGAAAAATTTAGGCAGGAAAAGCCGATTTGGAAAAAAAATGTCCCAACTCCTCTAGAATCAACACTGTTATTTTAGCCTAAATTTCGCAAATTCATTTTTCAATTCACTAAAATTCTGTGTCTCAGGAACTGGAAATCATAGACCTTGTGTTATTAGAATATATATTGGAAAATTAGGTATCCGAGGGTTCACCTTTAAAATGCCCACTAAGTTTCAAAAAATCACAATAGATGGAACACAGTAGGAGGAAGGGAAAGATTTAGCAGATGTTATTTACTATATCAGGTGTTGTCTAGAACGGACTGTAGAATGTCACATTTTGGGTCATCATAACAGTAAAAATATAGCTGGATAGTTTACTATCATTTGCTGGAGGATCTTTCCAGCTCCCCCATTTTTGCCTAATTTTTGAAGTTCCCTTGTTGATTCCCATTTTAGTGCATATCTCTGTGTATCTTCCAAACATATACACCATTGTGTTCTAATTTTTAAGTTGTGTGTTTAAATAAAAACTGACACTTTTTAGTAATTTAAATATTTATATTTAAATATGTTTTTGTAAGGTCAGAAGAATAAAATGAAATGTAGATAGCTGTATCTGTGGCTTTCCTAGAACTAAAGAGACACTATAGTCACCAAAACAATTTAGGTTAAAGCAGTTTTGGTGTATAGGTCATGCCCCTGCAGTCTCACTGCTCAATTATCTGCCATTTAGGAGTTACATTTTTTTTTAATGCAGCCCTAGCCACACCTCCCTGCATGTGACTTACACAGCCTTCCTACATATTTCCTGTATAGAGACATCTAATGTTTACACTTCCTTGCAAATTTTGCTTAATATAGAATTTATTATCTTCTTCTCTGTTAATAGTGTGCTGGACACTACAGGAGCCCCTTGTGTGTGAATAAAGTTCAATTTACAGAGTGGAAGATAAAAAAACTTCTAAAGCAAGTTAACAAGTGATTTAAAATTAAACATTTTTTTATGATGTAGGCTGTGTGAGTCACAGCCAGGGGAGGTGTGGCTAGGACTGCATAACAGAAACAAAAACTATTTGACCCCTAAATGGCAGAGAATTGAGCAGTGAGACTTTAGAGGCATGATCAATACACAAAATGGCTTCATTAAACTAAAGATGTTATGGTGACTACAGTGTCCCTTAAAGGGACACTCCAGGCACCCAGACCTCTTCTGCCCATTGGAGTGGTCTGGGTGCCAAAGCCCACTACCCTTAACCCTACAACTGTAATTATTGCAGTTTTCATAAACTGCAATAATTACATTGCAGGGTTAACTCCTCCTCTAGTGGCTGTCTACTAGACAGCCATTAGAGGGCACTTCCTGCTTCATAGCACAGGTTTTCTGTGCTAGAGCGTCGCTGGATGTCCTCATGCTGTGTGAGGACTTCCAGCGTCGCTCAATTCCCCATTTCAATGCTTTCCTATGGAGAACTCTAATGCGCATGCGCAGCATTGCCGCACATGTGCATTAGGTCTCCTCAGCCGGCAGGCAGGATCAGTCTCCCCGCCGGTTGACGTGATGAAGAGGAGGAGCGGCGGCGACCCGAAACCACCGCCGAGGGACATCAGCCGGGGTCTCAGGTAAGTCACTGAAGGGGGGGTTTTCACCCCTTCAGCAACCGGGGATGAGGGGTGGGAGGGAGAGGGGACCTGCAGTGACAAGAAAACGGATTGTTTTCCTGGGACTGGAGAGTCCATTTAAGTGTCTTTGCATTGTGTGCCCTGTCTTTGCCTTGACAGAACTGGATGGTGATTGTTAAATCTTTAATATATATTGAAAAGAAAACAGAGCATTGCATGAAAAAATGCTTAACCCAAGTTACAGGTGATCTTCTGTTTTATTCAATGGTGTTATTTCCAGAGAAGTCAGACATTTGTTACATGAAACATTGGCAAAACGTAATGCCGATCCGCCAGCTTCTATAATAAATCAGAGATCATTCAAAGTATGAAGACTAAAATGGTGCATGGTCTTACTAACAAATATTGCCATTCACACCATAATGTGTCCACCTCGGAGGAAAAAATGGAGAGAAACTACACGATAGCAACTTTCATATTTATTAAACTTGAATAACTGTAGTAGATACCCGCAGAAGCTCTCTGGTGTAAAGGATAAAGCAGTAAAGAAATTAGAGAACATATGAGATGTTCCTACACTAAGGAACAAATGAACAGATGTAGTCTGAGATCTCTTAGCATGGGATAAAGTCAATGGATATTGTGCTCATCAACTAGATTTGCTTTGCTAAGCTACATGTCCAACGTCAGGGGTATTTACAGACCAATTATACAGCACCCCAAAAAGGAGAGCCCCAAGCTAATCCAGTGGCAGATCCAGAGCCTGATCTCGGGAAGGGCACTTGTAGATTATTTAAAGAAATAATCCAGATATAATTGCAGTGCTCAGTGTAGTAGTTGCGGTGCCAGTAGTGCCAGGATTCCATCCGAGTGTAAGTAGTCAAACCGTTTAAGAACAGTTTGACAACTTACCTGGGGTCTGCTGGGATATAGGGCATAGGAGCAGTGGTATGTGTTAGGGGGGAAGTGTGTATTAAAGGTGCAGTGTGTGTGTGAGCGGTGAAGTGTGTGCCTGAGGGCGGCAGTGTATGTCAGGGTTGCAGTGTGTGTGTTAGGGGGCAGTGTTTATGTGGGGCAGTGTGTGTGAGCAGTGCAGTGTGTATGTGAGGGGGCAGTGTGTGTGAGAGTTGCAGTGTATGTGTGTTTGGGGCAGTGTGTGTATGGGGGGGCACTGAATTGCTCTAGAGCTCACTCTCGCGAGATTTGGAGCGTTGCCGTGGCAAGGCTCCGTGCTCGCAAGAGTAGGACCCGGAGGAGCTGCAGGTAACAGCTCCCGGGTCCCCTCTCCTCCATCTCCCTCCCCGGTCCGCAGGCACATTGCAGGGCTGGCACTTGGACAATGCCAGCCCTGCATTAGCTGGCAGGGGAGAGCCGGGGTGGATGGGAGGGGGGCAATTGCCCCGTTGCCCCCCCCTTCCCCCCCCGGATCCGCCAGTGAGCTAATCTCCTTGTGCTGTAGTGTGATGGGATTCCAGCATGGTTAAAATTTAGTAGGCCAAAATCTCCATGTGGCATATGTGTATGTTGTGTCAGTTGGTTAGCTACATGTAGCTAGGATACTGTCATCAGTGTACTGAGCATGTGCAGGAATGCAGGAACTGAAATTGCACTTATTTCCTTTGTCTTGGATGGGCCATGTGGTTTGACTAGATGTACAAGTCTATATTCTGCTCATTGATTGGTTAAAGGTATATGTGGGTGTAGCTATTAATGGGAGGAGTTATGTGCCTATATAGGGAGCCTGCACTATTGTTCAGGGCTCAGAACTTGCTGTATTTTTGGTGACATTAGTCCCTCTGAGTCCCGATCGGTGATCCAATAAAGAATCTCTTCCTTCCTGAAGAAACCTGTGTCCATCTCTCTGTGCTTTGCTTCCGTCAGTTTCTCCGGTATCATTTGGTGCATTGGCCGGGAAGCTCATCGTTCAACGGTAGCTGAGAGGCAGAGGCGTGAGACGGTCTATCTTTGCCCACGTTCTCTACGGCTGCACCCCTGAACTTCTGCGTGGACCTCCCTTCGTCTCGGCGCCACTGGTCTGTTGTCCAGGAGATCATCGGCCTCTACGTAAGAAGTGCTGGGGTGTCCCCGTCGATGAGTGTGAACTCAGGTTCAGGAACGAGGAGGTAAGACAACTGCTGTTTTAGACGGCAGACCCACTAGGGGTATACCGATTGTGCGGTAGGCCCAAAAGGGGTTTAAATCTGTGTATGGAATCTGCCCCCTCTGTCGGAGGGAAGGAGCGAAGGCGCACCGCTCGATCGAACGCTCTTTAGTAAGACCGTTTGATCTGGTTAGTCAGGCGGGGTCCTGTGTAAATAGCCCTAGCCGGACACCGGTGTCTTGTCTAGACTAGCGTTCTAGGGTGTATATTACGTTCGCTAGGTCGGAGGGACCGGGAGACTAAGCGGCGCCTGTGTAAATTCGGTTCGCTAGCTCTCAACCTATCTTGGCTAAGTGGGAAGGCGTGTAAATTTGGAACCCACTAGACTTTTGATAGAGTAAATAGACTAGAAGGGCAATTTCCGCCCTCTAGTTCGCTATATGTGGTGCTTGGGCAGTGTGGCTAACCAAAACGGGTGTATATAGTTTTAGGTAGTCTATTCAAGGTACTGGCCAATAGTTTAGTTGGGATTATTGTAAATGTTGTTAAATATATTGTAGTTGGTGAATTGGTTAACTTGTATGTCCTACTAGAAAGTTAGAGCTCTGCTGTCTAGTGGGAGTGTAAATTGTGTGTATAACTGTAAAATAGCGCACGGTACCATAACTACTGACATGTACCATAACCACTGACATTGTGTAAAAATTACTAACAATTGCTGTTTTATGTTATATGTATAATACCATAACTGTTACTAACTGATCTGTGACTTTAAAACTGTATTATAACCACTTACTAACTGTACCATAACCACTGACTGTAAAGATGAGGTTACTAGAATGTGATATAGTTGGTTAGTCAAAAGTTGATTTATAGTACAGATAATTGTAGAGATGAATTTGTTGAAATGTTATGTGATCGGTTAGTTTATATGGATTAATAGCGTGGATAGTTGTATGGTTTGAATAATAGTTACATTGATAAGTGTATAGTCTTTGGTGGGTTTTTGATTTAATTTCGTGTGTGCGACGTCGTGATATTGTTGAGCATGTGAGGATCCTGTGTGTGTGTTTGGGCCTAGTGACTGCGCAATGTGTTGCTGGTGATAAGGAGATTGGTGTGACTGTTGTAACTGTGTGTATATTTGTACAGCTTTTTGAATCAGACGTTCTGTTGAAATAATCTGATTCACTTGGCTGTTAGTCTTTTGTCTTGTATGTTTAAAAAAAAAAAAAGTAGGGAGTAGCTTGTCCTGGTGGCTGCATGGCCTCCATGTAGCAGTCTTCACTTAAATTTAGTGCAGAGTGTACATGTGGCTGTAACTAGTAGGCTGGAATTCTATGATCAGTTTCTATATATTGACTGTTGGAAACTGATTGTTGCCTTGGTGAATTAAACTGTGTCATATGGGAAACAATGTAGCCACATGGTGGTCAGAACTAAGGACTTAATTACAACTGCTTTGGACATCCCCTCCCCCCCTGGCATCTGATTACCAACCCCCCAAACATCCTCCAGAGCCAGATTAGCCACGCCCATTTCTGGCTGGTATAATCAGTATTTGCACTCCCCCTGCTCTACTGTCCCCGCCTACCCACATACCTATCTGTTCCTGTGTTTCAAACTCTTGTATTTCTGTACTACCCCTCCCCCTAATCAATGATCAATGGTATCAGATGGTATATTGGTTTTTTTAGTTACTGGATGGGCCCCTCCCAGCTTTGTCCAAAATGTCCCCTTTTACTAAACTACAAACTGAAATGTTTAATTTACCTTAGAACTAAAGATTTAATCAAGCCTAGCTAGCAGGGTGGACATTGATTAAAATAAGTAATAATAAAATAGGACATAATTAATTAAAGTCTATTTGTTTCATTTGACTTTAGGGAGGCACTCTAAGCCACCTACTGGCCATCTTCGGGAGTTACATTGATAATACATTGTTTATAACAGATAGATGTAGGATTGCTTACCCTATTTTAATATATTTATTGCTATAAGGTTTTATTTTATGTATAAATATATTAAAAGTTGAGTTTTCTTATTAGACCCATAAAGATTATTTTGATACAATTACCCTCTGGTGACACCTACTGGTAGGTTTTTGGTTTAACACTTTAAAAAAAAAACAAAACGTTTTTTCATCCACCAAATGCTGACTAATAAAATTATCTTACTACTCCTAGACTGGAACCTATTATTGGGCAGCCTTGCCGAAGTCCCATATTAGACACTGCTTGAGTCAAATAGGTTGTATACTCCCTTTAATCCAGAGGCCCCTGAAAACTTCCGAATGATAGACTCAGCATTTGTCAGCCAGGCCCAAGGTGATAGTAAAAGGAAATTAAAGAAAATTAGAGGGATTTGTAGGGATGTCCATAATACAGCTAATGGAGATTGCAAATACAGTATATATGAATAGGGAGATGGAGGAAGAACGTAAAATGAGGAAAAAGGCAGATATGCTAGCGGTAGCTATCTTAAGTGTAGAAAGACAGGGAAGTGAATAGAGGAGACGAGAATAGGCTGAGCAAGGGACTTTAAGTAGGAATTAATGTGCGTATTGTAGAAAGGAGGGACATTGGAAGAGTGAGTGTCCACAGAGAGAGCAGTATGAAGGTGATAGACAAGGAGAGAGAAGGGTACGAGGAGGTTATAGTGGTAGTTATAGAGTAAGAGGAAGTTTTAGAGGGAATGGTGGGAATAGTAGAGGAAGTGTTCAAGGAGACAGATACTATCCACCCACGCAGAGACCTAGAGAAAAAGAGGATAGAGATTTTGTGGGTCTGGCTGACACTATCATGGAAGACTATTGATACCGACTGGGCTCCATCCCACTTGGTCGAGCGGAGCCTATGGTCGATGTAGCAATAGGGGGAAAGAGAAGTTCTTTCATGATCGACACAGGTGCTGAACATTCTGTGGTGACTAAGATGGTGGCTCCGCCTTCGGGGAAGACTATAACTGTGATAGGAGCTACTGGGAGAAGTGCAGCTAGACCGGTTCTTAAGAGTCGCACTTGTATTCTGGGAGGCCATGTGGTGAAGCATTAGTTCCTATATATGCCAGAGTGTCCGATTCAACTTTTAGGACGAGATCTATTATCGAAGCTTTAAACTCAGATAACCTTTTACCTAATGGATTAACATCTCTGAAGTTTAAGGGATTACCAGGCATAATGGTGATATCGGTGCCGAGGGAAGAAGAATGACGCTTCTATTCCATAGTGACAAGTGTTAACCCTAAGAGTGATGAATCCTTACTTGACATTCCAGGAGTATGGGAAGAAAATAATCCTCCAGGACTTGCTCGTAATATCCCACCAATACATATTGAGTTAAAGCTCGGGGTGTATTCTGTTAGCCTTTGTATGTTGTTCTTTTATCTACCCCAACAGCTGTAAAGGTGGCGGAAGTGACTCCTTGGATTCATCATTCTAAGGTTAAACCAGCAGCAGACTCTTGGCAAACTACTCCAGATCCTGAGAATCCTTGCAGGACCCGGTTGAAGCGTGCAACTCAGTCGGAGTGACGAGGGGATATCGAGACATTCTAGTTAAAAGTCTACAAAGATCATCAAGTAGGTGTTTTGACGGCCATAATAAAGCCTGACCACCTGCCTACGTGTCATAGCCAGAGTATCTTGAAGGGATCTCTGTGAAGGAAAGTGAGGATCAGAAGAACAACATCCTTGCAGCCCTCACAATCGGGAAGCTGAGAGGCCATCGCACGGTCGAAGAAAAATGAGGATTTCAGGAATAATGTGTTTTATTGTGTCTTAGTATTTTTATGATTTTTCAGGAAGGTAGGAGTACAGACATACCGAATTGCGATAGTTGCATTAAGACTACTAAAACAGGTAACCAAATATCCCAAACTCTCATCTGGCACTCACAGTATGAATGTAAGGGATCTGTATCTAAATGTAGATATTTGGATATTGATTATAGTGTGTGCAAGCCAATATCAGGAGAGTCTAAATGTTTTGATCCCCATTTCCAACCCCGTACAATTTGGTTGGTAATTCGGAATAGTAACTCCCAGGGGACATTAATAAATAGGACTGTGATAAGCACCATACATTCCGCGGGTATTCTACTATTTGATGCATGTAAGGCGATTTCGGGTAGTGGAAGACTTTGGAATGTATATGGTAATCTTAAATGGGAACGAACTTATGGGTTTAATGATAAATACTTATGTCCCAGTAAAAGATCTACTGATCCTGATTGCCCAAATAGAGACTAACTTCTGCCCCTATTGGTCATGTGTAGGTTGGGAACCTGGGAAAAACAGTGGATCAAGATATGATTATCCAAAGGTTGCCTACCACACCATACTGTAAAACTATGTGTGTAACCCCGTTCACATGACCATTTCCAATCTGCAGTACTTTATTGACAGGTTTGGAGGTCTGTTTGGGTTCCAAATATATGGCACAGGAGTAGATTCAGGAACAATAATATATGTAGGTCTTGAAACTGAGACAGTGGCAACTCAAACTCATCAGGTTTCTCATTCCTTCTATGAGGAGATGAGTATTGAGGATAAAATTCCCCATAATGTTAACAACCTATTTATTGATTTGGCTGAGGGTATTGCAGGTAGTCTTAATGTAACTAATTGCTATGTGTGTGGAGGTACTAATATGGGAGACCAGTGGCCATGGGAGGCAAAGGAAATATGGTACCCTGGCTCTGAGACATATGAACAACAGATACCTTTCCAGTCTGATCATCAAGTAAGTACTAGAAGTAAATTGGAATGGTGGTTAAAAACCTCCATTATAGGTCATGTTTGTATAGCCAGGAAAGGGACAATGTATAACACGTCTGTAGGTGAGCTAACTTGCTTGGGACAAAAAGCCTATAATGTTAATACTAAAAATACTACTTGGTGGTCAGCTTCAAATGTCTCGGAACCTACTAATCCGTTTGCCAATTACACTCATTTAAGGGAGGTATGGTTTGACTTATCGGCTACATCTAGTTGGAAAGCCCCAGCAAATTTATACTGGATTTGTGGTAAGAAAACTTATTCGGAGTTACCACAAGATTGGGAAGGGGCATGTGTATTAGGTATGCCAAAGCCATCCTTCTTCTTGTTGCCAATCGAAACAGGAGAGACCTTGGGAGTTAAGGTTTACGATGTAAATCATAAAAGGGAGAGAGCATCCTTGAATATAGGTAGCTGGGAAGATGAGTGGCCCCCTCAACGTATTATTAATTATTATGGACCTGCTACTTGGGCAGAAGATGGCACTTATGGATATAGAACTCCGATTATATATGCTCAACCGCATTATTAGACTACAGGCGGTAGTTGAGATTATTACTAATGAGACAGCTCAAGTGCTTAATCTTCTAGCTAAGCAAAATACCAAGATGTGATCAGCCATATACCAGAATAGGCTAGCCCTTGATTACTTACTAGCAGTAGAAGGAGGTGTATGCGGAAAGTTTAATCTAAGTAACTGTTGTCTGCACATAGATGATGAAGGGCAGGCAGTGGCTGAACTTACAAGCCACATGGTTAAATTTGAGCATGTACCTACTCAGGTCTGGAATGGGTATAACCTAAGTAGTTGGTTTGGAAGTTGGTATGAGCAGCTTGGAGGAATTAAGACATTAGTAGGAGGAGTAGAATTTATTATATTTTTTTGTGCCTCCTCCTGCCCTGTCTAATTCCACTAGTGGTAAGGTCCCTACGTAGTATTATAGAGAGTACTATAGAGAGAAAGACAGCGGCTCATGTAATGGCTGTCTGGAAGATATGATCCCCTAGCCCGAAGAGAATATATTCAGGATGAAGAATGTTGAAGGAGTTTTTAAGATGCTTACAAGGTCTACTCTGGTTCAATGGCTACTTGAGAGATGTAGGTAAAACTGTGATTGGTGATGCATCTGGAATAATGTTATATCAGAGGCATCAAAAGGGGGGAATGTGATGGGATTCCAGCATGGTTAAAATTTAGTAGGCCAAAATCTCCATGTGGCATATGTGTATGTTGTGTCAGTTGGTTAGCTACATGTAGCTAGGATACTGTCATCAGTGTACTGAGCATGTGCAGGAATGCAGGAACTGAAATTGCACTTATTTCCTTTGTCTTGGATGGGCCATGTGGTTTGACTAGATGTACAAGTCTATATTCTGCTCATTGATTGGTTAAAGGTATATGTGGGTGTAGCTATTAATGGGAGGAGTTATGTGCCTATATAGGGAGCCTGCACTATTGTTCAGGGCTCAGAACTTGCTGTATTTTTGGTGACATTAGTCCCTCTGAGTCCCGATCGGTGATCCAATAAAGAATCTCCTCCTTCCTGAAGAAACCTGTGTCCATCTCTCTGTGCTTTGCTTCCGTCAGTTTCTCCGGTATCAGTAGGCTTACAGTTTAGTAGAATAGTGCAGTAAATATGTAAGGATACAGGATCCAGTGGTGTGAGTGTAAAAGGCAGAATGATCAGAGCAGTGGTTCTCAACCCAGTCCTCGTGGCCCACCGACTGTCCAGGATTTATGTGTTTTTCTTTTTTATTCCAATGTAGACAATGACAAAACCTGGACTGTTGGTGGTCCATGAGGACCTGTTTGGGAACCACTGATCTAGAGAGTATTAGTTTGCAGTCTGGTCTTCAGGCACACTGACAGCCTAGGATCTAGATATTTCCCATTTCTGGTCTATCAGGGATACAGGCAAAACCTGGACTGCTGGTGTAGCTTCAATGGTTACTTCAAGCATCATAACTACTAGAACTTGTTGTAGTGATTATGGTGCCAAGAGTACCCTGGCGTGGTTCCCTGGTAATGGGGCAAACATTTAGCAATGGTTTACCCTTGTGCCTGGGTCCCCACCAAGTTTAGATGCTCCCTGGTTGTCCAGTAACGCACTTCTGGCTTCTGCAGAATAGCAGAAGGCATGGCGGTCAATACTCATTGGCTGAGAAAGGCAGACATTAGCCACTCTGGTAAAATTTTAACACTCTGTAATTTGAACATGGATCCTCCAATCAGGGCGCTGTTGTGACAGCTAGGGCGAACTGTGACTAGCTTTGCAGGGATATATATTATGTGGTGGTGGTAAGGTCCCGGGAAAAAGGGGTTCTGGTGGACCTTTTGTGTGCGGTGTCTCTAGGACTGTGAGAGTACAGCAGGAAGCTGATTTTGCTAGCTTGGAATAATGTGATTAAAGGAGCACTATAGGGTCAGGAACACAAACATGTTTTCCTGACCTTCTAGTGTTAAAATCACTATCTATCCCCCTTTGCCTCCCTAAATATAGTAAAATCTTACTTGTATTCAAGTCTGAAGCTGCTGTCTCTGCCTGTGAACTTCCTCTGGCATCACTAGAAGTGGTGGCCTGATCCAATCACAATGCTTTCCCATAGGATTGGCTGAGACTGACAAGGAGGCATCCACGATGCTGATACAGTATGTCAACAGGTTCCACTGGAAACAATAGATGGGAACCCCTGATATAGATCATTCTACCCCCTACATTAAGACTCATTTAATATTTGGGGAAAGCTATAATCCCCGAAATATTAGGGAGAATGTCTCCAGAGCTATAATCATTGCAGCCTGGTCCGGTGGAAGAGGACCTCAGAGACCCCAGTCAAACTTCGGCGAAGTGCTCCAAAGTCCGTCGTAACAGCAAGGAAGCTGAACTGGTGGAGGTACTCAGTCGGAGTACAGTAGCTCTGTCACAGATCTATTCTGAGCCGGCAAGGCAGTCTAGTTTGAGGAAGCAGGGTAATCTAGTTTGATGAAATAGAGTGACCTAGTCTAGACAAGCAATGAAATTTAGCTTAGAGTATGCAGGCTGATCTAGTTTGATGAATGTGGGTAATTTAGTTTGATGAATGTGGGTAATTTAGTTTGGAGAAGCAGGAAGATCTAGTTTGAGGAAGCAGGGAGATCTAGTTTGGTGAAGAAGGATGATCTAGTTTTGGGAAAAAGGATGATCTAGTTTGGGGTAGAAGGATGATCTAGTTTGGGGAAGAAGGATGATCTAATTCGGGGAAGAAGGATGATCTAGTTCGGGGAAGAAGATGATCTAGTTTGGGGAAGAAGATGATCTAGTTCGGGGAAGAAGATGATCTAGTTCGGGGAAGAAGGATGATCTAGTTCGGGGAAGAAGGATGATCTAGTTCGGGGAAGAAGATGATCTAGTTTGGGGAAGAAGATGATCTAGTTCGGGGAAGAAGATGATCTAGTTCGGGGAAGAAGGATGATCTAGTTCGGTGAAGAAGGATGATCTAGTTTGGGGAAGCAAGATGATCTAGTTTGGGGAAGAAGGATGATCTAGTTCGGGGAAGAAGGATGATCTAGTTCAGGGAAGAAGGATGATCTAGTTTGGGGAAGAATGATGATCTAGTTTTGGGGAAGCATGATGATCTAGTTTGGGGAAGAAGGATGATCTAGTTTGGGGAAGAAGGATGATCTAGTTTGGGGAAGAAGGATGATCTAGTTCGGGGAAGAAGGATGATCTAGTTTGAGGAAGCAGGATGATCTAGTTTGAGGAAGCAGGATGATCTAGTTTGAGGAAGAAGGGTGATCTAGTTTGAGGAAGCAGGATGATCTAGTTTGGGGAAGCAGGGTGATCTCGTTTGGGGAAGAAGGATGATCTAGTTTGAGGAAGAAGGATGATCTAGTTCGGGGAAGAAGGATGATCTAGTTCGGGGAAGAAGGATTATCTAGTTTGAGGAAGCAGGATGATCTAGTTTGAGGAAGAAGGATGATCTAGTTTGGGGAAGAAGGATGATCTAGTTCGGGGAAGAAGGATGATCTAGTTTGGGGAAGAAGGATGATCTAGTTTGGGGAAGAAGGATGATCTAGTTTGAGGAAGAAGGATGATCTAGTTTGGGGAAGAAGGATGATCTAGTTTGGGGAAGAAGGATTATGTCGTTTTATAAAGCAGGGTTATTTAGTTTGTAAAAGTAGCAAAATGATCTAGTTCCAGGAAGAAGGATAATCTAGTTTCAGCAAACAGGGCAATCTATTTTGAGAAAGCATGGCAGTCTAGTTTGCGGAAGCAAAGTGATCTAGAAAGCAAGATGATCCTTTGAGACAGCAGAGTGCTTTTTGTGAGTAAGAATGTAACCGGGTCACTGGAATCTCTAAGTACTTAAATCACAGATTATGGTAAGGGTACATGGCGGCAGGGGGCATTGAAAACACCCAGGCATGGTTCCATTTTTGCTCAATTTCAATACAGAAAAAAGAAATACAAAGAACTATATAAAATATGTATTTATTTATTGGGGTGGAGGAGGGGGTGCACCAGTGAATTGTCCATGAGCAATATTAAATGACACACAAGCATGTGATATTACCATAAGCAGACTCTGTCAGAATAACTAATAGTAAGAATAATGTAAAACATAATCCAAGCACCAGCCATCCACCCATCACTGCCAGTCAGCCTTCATCTGACTGATAACCTTGAGAGCAGTAAACCAACAACTGCAGGGAGGGGGGGATTTATAAAACATCTTCAACCAGATTCAGCCCACATGAACCCCATGAAAAAGGGAAATCCGGGTACAAAATAAACAGTAAAGAATATATGAAAATCCTGCTTCTGCAGATTCTACCAATACATGAATCTATATATATATATATACTAGAAGGATCCATGCTAATTATTACTGATTGCAGCTTTTTTGATGCAATAAATACACACACCATCTACCCATCTATTCATGTATCCAGTGAATTAATAAGAGCCAGGGCTCAGCTTCATGCAATGCTTTGAACACACAGATCCACAGATGCTGTTAATTAGAAGTGTGTGTAAAATGTGTGTCTAATCCAGGGGTAATGGGGGGATGTGCTAGGAAAATCGGATACAAAACAAACATGGATAGACAAACCTGGCTGTGGAATGGGTTTATATTGTCATTTTATTCTCAATATTCCATGCATCCACCTCTATGTCTGTGTCCTGAATATCAATGACAGCAGCAGATATAAAACATGCCTTTTACACAGTATCTACACTGTAGCCACATACTATGACCAGGTGGGGTAAATGTGAATTATATCACCTATAAATGGGCTGCCCCTTCCCTGTCTGTGTGACCTTGCTAGGTAGGTATAGGGGTGATCATGGGGTCTGGAGGGGGGGTTGAGGGGGTTCAGGTAAAAAGCAATGTATTGGGGGGGTCACTTACCGGCCCCGTGAAGAAGCAGGAGCAGCAGGAAGAAGCGGATCATCGTGGGGCCATTAGGGCCACTGTGTTGGGGATGCTGGGGTGATGCCAGTCTCGGATTGGTGGGCAGTGCAAGGCTGGGGATGCACAGGGAATGGCAAGTTTAAATGCCCATGCAGCCAGCTGTCACAGCTCTGTGCTGCCCCCCACTGAGCGAAGCGGGGAGCCCCCCAGATTGGGGAAGGTGATGGGGACACATGTTTTGGGTCCTGCACTGCTCCCCAGCTCTGCACTCACTGTCACTTGTGGCTTATCCTCTCCCCCCCTCCCACATAGAGTTCTTACATCACTGAGCAGTAACAGGGGGGGAGGGAGCCTGTATGTGTGTTTGGAGAAGGGGGTGCTCCCAGGTTTACATTTAAACACACCAATGGGCTGCTGGGGGGGAGATACTGGATTTACATAACCAGCACCCCCAACTGCTGTCCATGAATTAACCCTTTCAGGGACAGATTGTTACAATGTTAACAGCTTCCTGCTAGCTATAATCAGTTACTGCACAACATTCTATTTAATTGCTTCAATGTGCTGCTTTTAAAAAAACAAAACAAAAAAAAAAAACCAATAATTTAAGTGATGAGGATCTGTCTCAATGACGTTAGTCAAAAGCAATGCTGATGAAAAGGGGATGAAAGTAGAGCAATGGGAAGCATTAGTCTATTGGTTGCCATGGTGATTGCTCCAAGTTAGCGTCAGTATTGCTCCCTGGATAGAGACCCATGTAATTCCTGGTATTTGCCAACCCTCAGCCTTGAGTGAAATGGTTACATATTAAACTCTCCCTTTGAATGGACAGATGAATTATGCAACAGGTTGAAAACATTATATATATAAATATATATTTATTTATTTTTTAAATAAATGCACCCCCAGTTTTGTTAGTAATTAGCATTTTTCCAGTGTCAGCCATGTTTGCAGGATGGACCCTGGTCATTTTCTGTACCATTTTTCAAAACAATCTGTCAGGTTTAACAGTTTAAACCTTAATAAATCCTGCAGCTGCGTTGGTGATATTTAATAATAAAAATTCCACACTGGGAATATATAATGGCCCCTGTCACTCATACGCATGCAGCAGGCACTGGTTACCATGGCAACACATACTACCAGAGAAAATGATTAAAAAAGCCCAGTGTCTTTAAAGGACAGACAGTACCTGAGTATAGTTACCCATACTTACTATAAATGCCATACAGGACACAGCTTCAAACTGACTGGGAGGCTCAGATCAACTGACTTAATTAAAGCATTTACAATTTGCAGTATGGTCAGGGCAACACTTTTCCTGTACTGCCCATCAATGCAAAGATGGGTGTCTAGGGAGCAATGCTACTGGAAATGGATGGACAAAAGGTAAGTCCCCAAATGTTCTAGAACTACGACTGCCTTTAGAGTGGCAAAAATGGCATTGTATCAGGGGGGATCCACACTGCGGCCACCCCTGCTATAGAAAGTGACAACCATGATTGTTGTTTTCTGTAGAGTTCATAGGTTAACCAGACTTCCCCAAATTCCAGCCCTTCAGGTGTTGCTGAACTACAACTCCCATGATTCTATGAATTAAATAGGCTGAGATTTATGGGAGTTGTAGGTCAGCAACATCTGGAGGGCCGGAGTTTGGGGAACCCGGGGTTAAACGATAAAATTCAGACCTGCCAAGTTTGACCGGGAGAGCTGGGATGGTAACGGTGGGTGTCTGTGGCACAATTAGTGTCATACGCATTATACCTGTGTATGGATGAGGTATGTCATGCTAATGTACACACGTGCCAGGGTGCCATTCTGCCCAAATGCTGAACATTACTGAGTTGCTGGCTTATGAGCATAAATACCCTGTATTTAAAGGAACCATCCAAGCACCATAACCACTACAGCCATGGCACCAGGAGTGCTCTGGGCCCCCCATTGTAAGCAGTTAAACTGGTTTAGAATGCTCCTACTTATTACCTGGGTCCGCCAGGCACCTTTCCCCACCTCCACCAGCACAGCTGGGGAGCTGGAAGCTACTGGTAGCTCTCCTGAGCCACATACTGCAGAACAGGATTACTCTCAGCCAATGAGCTAAACCCTACACCGCTGGCCTCAGCTCACACAGAGAGCTTCTGGCTCTCTGGCTGAGGTAGTGGAGGCTGTTGCAGTGGTTATGGTACTTGAAGTCTTCCTTCATCAAGAAATGCAGAGAAAGTGTGATTAAACATGCTATCGCCCAGCGTGTTCCTCCTGACAGCGACTAACACAGCTAGTCCACTAGGTCTGCAACGTGCATGACTTGACAAATCTGAAAATCAATGCTATCTGTCTACGAGAGCTGTTCCCAAAGGCTGTTCATTGATTTCTCTCCTGCACAATATGAATAAATTCAATGTACTGCAGGTGAGCACTTTTCATGTAGCAGTCAGCGGCATTAGGTGATTTCTCGCCTGGGAAATATGATAAATAGGGCACACTAAAGGAGCCATCACGTCTCTGGAAGTCAGTCCTTCTTTCCCTTATCCCAGTAACCAATATAGAGACAATAACTTGGGTAGGTATAGGGTGCACTTCCCTCCACAGTACATCCATGTTCAGAGTGACATCAATGTCCAATGATGCTCTAAGAGTGCTCAGACCAGTGCACACACACCTGGCCTTTCCTTCCATAGTGTTGTACACACACACGCTCCCTTGTGTGCAATATTGTACGCGCTCTATTTATTCGCATGGTACGCTCTGAGTATGCCAGGAAGCCAGTCGTACAATATAGGCTTTTTCATCAAAGTGAGAATTCAAGGTGAATTTTAAATTCAAGGTCGAAATAGCCAAACTTTAAAACATTTCTAAGCCGGCTCTGCATTCAGTTCAGCTAATTTGGCCCTAAATCTGATATTCACTTCAAATTCACATAGTTAACACGCCTGTATAAAATATTACATAACCATGGTTCAGAATTAAAAAAAGAAAATACAAACATTTGCCAAACATATCAAACGGAGAATAAATCAGATTTATGACAATTCTGCTGTCTTATAATGTAAGTAATATATATCTGTATGTTACTCTGACCCCCAAATGTATATCCACATAGTGATCTGTGTCCCCCTTCCCTGTAATCGAGAGCCAGTGCTACATGAATGAAAATCTCTATTAAATGCCTATAAGATAGGCAATCTCCCAATTTCCTCACTACGATTACGGACTAGCAAACTGTAGCAACGAGAAAATGTGCTACAATAAGGTGTGTTTGTGAGAGGAAACGTGGTTTGATTAATTACAGAAAGTCTAGCACATTGCTGGTAGCAGTGAGTAACACCTCCTCTGTGTATTGTGTATACTAATTCTGGAAGCCTCGAAGAATCCACATCACACTGCAGCCTCACTGTCTGTCGAGGATGTTACAAGGGAATCTATCTTTGAAAGACAAATCTAGATCACAAACAGATCTCAACACAGCTAGAAGGGGAGCAAGCAGATGTATTGATCAAGCAGAAATTAGAATTATTTTAAATTTTTCAAGAAAACAGTTGATAGCAATTCTGTTTATGCAATGTATGAACTAGCGAAACTCAAAAATATATTGAGTGCCAGAATCTACAAAAAAAATTCCTTTTATTTATTTTTTTTAAATTTGCTCTAGAAATACAGGAGGCTGCCATTAGTAAATAAGGATGTATAAGGAGAGGTATTAGCAGTAGAAAGAGGGAAGTGCTCGTGCCATTGTACAGAACACTGGTGAGACCTCACTTGGAGTATTGTACACAGTACTGGAGACCGTATCTCCAGAAGGATATTGATACCTTAGAGAGGGTTCAGAGAAGGGCTACTAAACTGGTTCATGGATTGCAGGATAAAACTTACCAGGAAAGGTTAAAGAATCTTATCATGTATAGCTTGGAGGAAAGATGAGACAGGGGGGATATGATAGAAACATTTAAATACATAAAGGGAATCAGCACAGTAAAGGAGGAGACTATATTTAATCCCTTAAGGACCAAACTTCTGGAATAAAAGGGAATCATGACATGTCATGTGTCCTTAAGGGGTTAAAAGAAGAACTACCACAACAAGAGGACATAGTCTTAAAAATAATATCAGGAAGTATTACTTTACTGAGAGGGTAGTGGATGCATGGAATAGCCTTCCGGCTAGTGGTAGAGGTTAACAGTGAAGGAGTTTAATCATGCGTGGGATAGGCATAAGGCTATACTAGATCTAAGATAAGACCGGGGACTAATGAAAGTATTTAGAAAATTGGGCAGACTAGATGGGCCGAATGGCTCTTAGCTGCCGTCACATTCTATGTTTAAATGTGTGCATTTTCTAGTCACCGGTAGAAACTGGAATTCTATCTGTAAACTGGATTGGCTGAAACCATTAAACAGCCCATTGGAATCCAGCTGTGATTTCAAATGGGTCATATTTTTCCCAACCCTGCAGTATTCCCCAGAAATTATCATTAGGTAAACCCAACTTTAGAAACCTAGCTAAACATATCTTTGGGTGCGATTCAGTGTTAATTTTGTTGACTACATTTTAGTCGACTAAAAGTTTTTGACATTTAGTGGAATAAAACTAAAATTATTCAGATGACTAAAATACGACAAAAACTAAAATGGCATTTTAGTCAAAAGACTATGACTAAAACTAAATAGAAATTTGCCGCCAAAATTACTACTGGTAAATCTCATTTATATCCACACATCCTGTCCTTTTCAAAACATTGCAGTCTTTAGCTGCAGAATACTTTAATCTTTTTGCTCATTTCACATTCATTTTATGTGCTTAAAGGGACTCTCCAGTGCCAGGAAAACAATTTGTTTTCCTGGCACTGCAGGTCCCCTCTCACCTTCCATCCCCGGTTGCTAAAGGAGTCAAAATCCCTTCAGTGACTTACCTGAGGCAGCGCGGATGTCCCTCACCGCTGCGTCTGTGTCCGCCCACGCTCCTTCATCACGTCAGCTGGCGGGGGAGACTGATCACGCCCACCGGCGAGTGAGACCTAATGCGCATGCGCGGCAATTCCGCGCACGCGCATTTGACCTCCCCATAAGAAAGCATTTTAGCGACGCTGGAGATCCTCACATAGCGCGAGGACGTCCAGCGACGCTATAGCACAGAAAACCTGTGCTATAAACCCGGAAGTGCCCTCTAGTGGCTGTCTAGTAGAAGTACAATGTCAAAGTTGTTACACTATTCTGTTACAAAACAGGGTTCTGTTCAGGTTAAACCATAGAGAAACCCCTAGGTTGACAACACCCCACATGTACATGGACATCAAGACAAACTGAACATGAGCTTTTTTATTTTTTAGAGTAAGAGTCGTTCAGGCTTGTTATAATAAGCCAACAGAGAGTAATTTTCTAGGGATGGCAATTACATTGAAAAAAAGAGTGAAATTCTGAGCAATAAAAACAAGGATGGGCGGATTGCATGTGCACTACATTAATTAGGATAGGCGTACTTGACTAGAGAGCTGTACTAGCCGTGGGATAACCAACGGTGAGATAACTATAATAGGGGTGGGAGCTGCAACGGTGAAGGACTTGCTCATCCAATTTCAGACAAATGCAATTTAGTCTAAACAACGAAAAGTCAAATGAATGAATGAAAGGTGAAGGCAGGACCAGGGTGGCATTTGGCCAGGTCACCCCCCTTCAATTCTGAGTAAACTTCCATTTACAGTTAAGTTAATGGGAGTAGAAAGCACTGGGAAGCAATGGGCTGAGAGGTTAAAAATGTGGACGAACGACGTTGATTTAGTAACAAAATCTGGTTCATCCAAATCTGTTTTCAATTTCAGACTCACCATATTTTTTCTTTGTGCACAAATCTAGAGGGATAGTAGATAGGGAGGATTATATTTGGTTGGGGGGTATAGTGGGGGAATAGACCCAGAGGGTCAAATAAAATGCAGGCGCTTACACGCCACCTGTGTAGTTCTTATATTTATTCTGTTTTTTGTATGATCTCTCAAAATGTAAACAAATGGAATCCATGGATCAGATTTATATGTGCTCTTATTATGCCTGATTCCACTAATGAAAATGTGCTGAAAATAAATAAAATGCAGGAAAAGGGTGTGTGGGGTTAGGTGATGCAGGAGAGACTGAAGTGAGAAGAGAATTGGCAAGTGATTTCAGACATAAGGACTAGGATGTTGGCTTATATAAAATATATGGCATTTACTGCAGTCAAGATTCTATTGGTGCAGTAACGTGAGAGTCGGGATGATGACCTTTTTGCCATGAAATACTTTTTGAGCACTGTACGCCTTGATGTTTGTGCTTACTTCCAAAGAATGAGACTGTATGAACATTTTGTACACATTTATTAAAGGCCAACACATTCAGACAGCTTAAATACAGGATTCTGGAAGAAGTGCTGACGGCAGTTGCGAAGTCACTGCATGCAGGCGCGATCACAGAGCGCCCACCCCAACTACCTGCAGAGAGACAGCATCCTAAATGGAGAGCAGAGTTACAGTGTAAGTTATGCAGCAGACAGGATTTCACACTATAGAAGTGGACAGCATGTATTATGACACACACACACAGATCGCTTAAAATAACACGACTTCATTTTGAAAATCCATTGAGTGCTCTCTTCATTCATATCTACTATATTGCTTATGCT